GATATGACTTTTGAAAGTTTTAAAGAAATGTGTGCTTTATGCTGGAACGAACCGTTTAGTTTCCTAACTATATTTAAAGACTGCGATATTAACCAAGGATTTCGATATAGGAAAACATTTGATTGCTTCATACATTTCTAATCGTCCTATCGCGGCGGCGGAAGCTGTTTCGACCTGTTCAAGAGCTGTTTAGACCTGTTCTGGAGCCGTTTAGGTCCCCAATCAAAAGTTGTTTACACCTGTTCAGAGAGCTGTTCCTATAGAGGGGTTCTACATTCAGAACGTGACTAACTCTCCAAAGGTGTTACAACATCCTCCCGTAAAAGTGGAGAAGCCCGCCACCACCACAGCAGAAGAACAAACTTTACCACTATCAGTAATTCAAAAGAAACTAAAAATATTGCCTAGACGGTTATCATTTAGTTCGACTCCTTTTTGACTTTCAAACTCGTTCGCGTCGTCGTCTAAAATGAAGCAAAAATCTTCTGCTTTGCTGGTACTGGGAGTGGTGGTGGTGGTCGTCGTAGTGGTGGCTGATTTTAATATTCTGTTTTCCAAAATTTTTATTTTTTCTTCTTCCGATGCCGGCTTAAATTTTTTGACAGGTACGGGTTCGTCCTCCTCTATGGCAGCCGCATAAAAGTTGACGTCCGAGAATTCACGCATCCCCTTCAATAATAATTGTAATTCTTCTTCGTCATCGGCCGCCACTCTCAGGTATCGGACGGGGAGATTTTTTAATTTTCCCTGAATCGTTTCATTTTTCGGTGAATATTTTAAAAACAAGTAAACTCTCTTATTCAGAATCTTCACCTCTTTCCTCCCATACCTATGACAATTTGATAGATTTTTAGTAAATTATGAAAAACAAGACAATGAAGGTGACAGACTTACCTGAATATTTTTTTTTTAAATACCGCCAGCATCTTGTTGGAAAGTCTGGCGGGATCCGTTGACTCAAAAATCAATGTTGACGGAGTGTCCATCTTCGTTGTGTACAATCATTCATTGTCGTAGAGTTCGATATATTTATATGCATTTATTTTTTTAAATATTATCTATCCTAAACTTTCCACGTCGTTAGCACGAAAATAACACAGTGTATTCATACTATTAAATGTGATCACGTTATATTTATCAATTGCGCAAAACATAATAGTTTTGACCCTAACCCCGCTATCCGATAGAAGCGGTAAAATTCTACAAAGTGATATTATTGATCACATACGCGTCTATTAGAATAGACAAAAAAAGTCTGCTGCGTATACTATACTACTATACTATATATACTATATATTAAAGAAGTTGGTGAGTTAATTAAAACAAAACATGAATATTACAAGTGGATAAAATTTCTGAAAAGAAACATTTTAATTTTCAAAAAATATTTAAAAAGTGTATTGTCATCGTCGACAACCAGAAGAGCGGTTGCAAAAATCGAATCAAATGTAAGTCTTTTAAAAAATTTCAAAGAACAATTCAAACATCATAAAACAGTTAAAAAAATAATGCAAAATTAATTTGAGTTGATAACGAGCCTTGCTTTAAAAATCGTATTAAAACGGGAGAAATAGTTAATTTAGATATTAAAGATCCTATAATATTTTTTAGCAAGGCGTTTAGATCATTCTCTTGTCAAATAAAAAAAGCCCTTCGGGAGTCCCTAATTAAAGTTAACGTAATATTTCTTGCAGATTTTGTAAAACCGCAAACGGGCGAAACCGCCGTAAAACATTTTTCCACCAAAAATCGCGTCATCGATCATAATACCGATTTGAAAGAATTTTATAGTAATTATATTAAAAATAATATATAAACAAAATTGGAGGATTTTCCAGAGAGGGATTCTTGTTGGGCTCTTCACCGGATTCTACAATTAAAAGTCAACATTAATAATTATACACCGATAAATATCGGTCTTTCAACTTATGTATCGATGCCAAAATTTATTATTAATAAAAAAGCTGTTCTTAATAATCAAAATAACGATGAATATTGTTTTCTTTGGTTTATCGTTGCCGCGCTACATCCTTGTCGTACAAATCAAAATCCGCGTATTAGCTATTCGTATCCTCATTTCAATGAAGTTTTAGAATACGATGGCATTGAATTTCCCATCAAATTAAAAGACATAAAAAAGTTTGAAGAAATGAATAATATTTCCATAAACGTTTTCTCATTAGAAAGGCGGGAAATTGTACCATCATGTTTCAGTGAATTATCTTATTTAAGAACGGTTAATTTATTGATGCTTCCCACCGATATAATCAATGATTACGACGACAACGACGACGACGACGACTACGACGAAACAAAGCGGAGATTCGACTCATAGCAGATTTTATTGCGATCGGTGCTTAAATCATTTTTATTCGCAACAAACTTTAAATAAACACATATTTAGTTGCAGAAAATTAAATAAAACCAAAATTACGCTCCCGACAGAACAAGAGAAACACGTAACCTATTCGCATTATAAAAAGAAAGAAAAAGTACCGTTTGTCATTGACGCGGATATCGAGTGTATTTTACAAAAATACGAAGATTTCGCTGTGACGGGAAACATTAAAAAATATCAAAAACATATTTCTTGTAGTATTTCTTATTATCTGCTGTGCAGTTACGATAATAATCTTTCCAAATTTAACTTGTATATGGGTAAAGATTGTATGAGCTGGTTTTGTCCACAATTACAATAACTGGCCGTACAATAAAATTCTATATTTAACAATGCTGTTTCAATGACACCTTTGACTGAACATGAAAAAGATTCACTCTATACATCAACCACATGTCTCATTCTTCGTGCAATCTTAATTACAAGGACGATCGTATGATACCCGTGGTATTTCATAACTTAGGATACGATCTACATTTTTTCATTAAAAACTTAGCAACTGAAATTCCCGGCTCGGTAATATTACTACCTCGTAACAAAGAAAAATATATATCGTTTACAAAATATATCGAAAACACGAGCGTTAATTTTCAATTTTTGGATTCGTTCAGATTTATGGCTAGTCGCTTGGATAAGTTAAGTTCTTATTTAGATCCTAGCGAAAAAAACATTACTAGAAGCTTTTGCGAAAATCTCGAAGAATTTCAGTTGTTACAGAAAAAGGGAGTCTTTCCGTATGAATATCTAGATGATTGGGAAAAATTGAACGACGTCGAATTGCCCCCGATTGAAAATTTCTATAGTAAACTTAGAAAATCCGGTATTACGATAAAAGATTACGAGCATGCCAAAAATATTTGGGCAACATTCAAAATTCAAAATTTACGCGAATATATGGAATTGTATTTGAAAACAGACGTACTATTGACAGAAGTTTTCGAAAATTTCAGAAATGTACGTCAAAAAACGTATGGCTTGGAATGTTTGAAATATTACACGGCACCGGGTCTGGCATACGATGCATGTCTTCTTATTTCAAATGTTCAACTAGAATTAATTTCGGACATCGATCCATTAATGATGATCGAAAAAGGAATACGCGGTGGAATTTCACAATGCAGAACTGATACGGAAAGGCTAACAATAAATACATGGAAAACGATTATAATCAAGACATTCCTTCATCATATTTAATGTATTTCGATGTAAATAACCTATATGGAACGGCAATGAGACTACCACTACCGACGGGTGGGTTCCAATGGATCGATAATAACGCATTTTATTCATCATAAACACGTCGGACGATTCTGACGTTGGGTATCTTCTTGAAGTAGATATAGAATATCCTACAATACTTCACGATGTCCACAAAGATCTACCTCTATGTCCGGAACGTTTGATTCCACCAACGGGCCAAACAAAACAGCCGAAATTATTTACAACATTGTTTGATAAAAAAAGCTACGTAATACATTATAAAAATCTCAAACAGGCTCTTCAGTTAGGTTTACGCGTTACAAAAATTCATAAAATATTACAATTTAACCAATCTCCGTGGTTGAAAACCTACATTGACCTAAACACACACTTGAGGCAGCAAAGCAAAAACGAATTCGATTTTTTTTTTAAATTAATGAATAATGCCGTTTTCGGCAAGACTATGGAAAACTTTCGGAAGTATAAAGACGTTAAACTGGTAACAAGCTGGTCGGGACGTGCAAAGAGTTATATTTCAAAACCAAATTTTCATAGCCTAACAATTTTCGACAATGACATGGTTATCATTGAAATGAAGAGATTGAATATTAAATTTAATAAACCCATTTACGCTGCTTTTAGTATTTTAGAAATTTCAAAAACATTTTTATACGATTTTCATTATCATTATATTATACCAAAATTCGGCAAGGATGTAAAACTCTTGTATTCAGATACAGATTCGTTGATATATAATTATTACGTTGACGATATTTATAAATGTATTCGAGAAGATATTAATAAATTTCACTTCTGATTATCCTCCCGATAACATTTATAATATTCCTTTGGCTAATAAAAAAGTTTTAGGATTGATGAAAGACGAAAACAACGGTAGAATTATGCACGAATTTATCGGATTAAAATCTAAAATGTACGCGATCAAATTATATTATTCAAATGTAGAACGAGAAAAATTTTCTAACAAAAAAGAAGTCGAAACTATTAAAAAAGCCAAAGGTATTACCGGTTCGTCATTAAAAACAATCACTTTTCAAGACTATTATAATTGTCTGTTTGATAAAATTCAAATGTATACCAACGAACATCTGTTTCGTAGTAAAAACCATGAAGTTTCTACGGTAAACCAAAGGAAAATTGTTTTAACACCGTTCGATGACAAGAGAGTGGTTAATTATATATTTGCTGATACATTGCCTTGGGGATATAAAAAAAATCAATTTATGTTAAAAAAATATTCATTTGCTTTATCATTTTTGTTTTAATTAATACAATTTCATAAGCAGCAAAAACTCAACAATTTTTAAATAAGACAATATTAAAAAGGTAAGAACCTATTTGTTTTCTGTAGTCATAATTTAATACAATTTTTTTCTCGCAGCATTCTAACGCCGAGTCACGGAAGATGTATATAAAAGGAACAAGTTCTTGGAGGAACATTTCAATCAAAGACACGAAGACGACGACACGCACTATATGATGTCCACCCTAGTTCAATACGTACCAGTTTTGTGGAAAAACTGTGGAAGACACGACGTAATGAAACAAAGTGGTATCAAAAATCAGATAGCATCCTACATCTGTGAAGTGTGCAGAAAAACCAGCCCATGGAAGAGAATTGAAAAAATTGCAAAGAAGTCCCAAAAAAAGAACACGATTTTTTAAAATTGTATCCAAGAGATTATTTTTACGATTTAGAGGATTTTTGAACTTGTATCAACAAACATATTGTTTAATAACGGAAATAAAAATTTTTAGAGATTATTTTGTTTTTCTATTCAAACTTATCAATATTAATATTTACGTAATCTTTCTGACTCGTCATACATTTATCTAAATATTATTTATTTCTATTCAAATTTATCAATAATTAATATTTACGTAACCTTTGTGACACGTAATCCATGCAATTTGTTTATCTTACAATTTATACAAGAATAGACAAGTCAGCGGACGCGAGTTTTTTTAATCAGTGACACCACTTTTTCCCCTAGGGGAGGTGCCAAAAAGGCACTAGCGGCGGGCACTATGACGTCATAAAATGTTTTTAATCAGTGACACCACTTTTTCCCCTAGGGCCTAGCCAAAAAGGTACTATGACGTCACACCTCGACACAGGTGTAATTAGCGGTTGACACACCTTAATTAGCGACACCACCCCTAGGTACCCCAGAGGACCCCCTACACCTGTCACTAATTACGGGTGTACACCTTAATGGTGACACTTTCCACTTCTTCGGCGTGACCTTCACTTCTTTTACAGGACCCCTTACGAAGAACTAGCTTTGGTACACTGCTGATGGAACATGCCATCGGTGACCTTGAATCATCACAGTCCCGCGTTAGAATAACTACTAATCCATTTATCACAATAAATAAGAACTAAAAGTTCAGATTTTCACGAACTTATATATTTTGATAAAGGCACGGTGTTGTGGAAACAATTGCCATGTCAAAATATATAATTTCGTGAAAATCTGAACTTTTAGTTCTTATTTATTTTTTATTACTTGATACGTTAAGTACAAGACTTGCCTTGCTTTTTTCATATATAAAAGGGATCGGTCGATGGCGACACAAAATATGGAAAGTTTAAGCGTAGTCATCGCATCCAACACCGCATATGTAGCGAATCGCGAATCATTCTGGAAAAAATTTGAAAACATATATTTATAGAAATAACTATTTTTAGTGATTGGTTTTTCAAAAAGGTGGGAATTTAGTTAAATAACAGATATAGACTAGGTAAAGCACTTTTATAAATGTTAGAACTAAAAAATCGATGTTTCCCTGTCACAGCGAAAGATGAATTATTATTAAAAATTATAGTTGAATTAATTGTGGTAACCATTTGTGAAATGTATGGAAATAATCCGCTAGGTTCGCATACCCTTTTACAAAATGAAGTATTTGAGTAAATTCGTAAATTATTTTTTATGTGGCTTACAAAATACACATACAGAGATGATCAGATACTGTTCGTTAACGTAGCGCAAAAAAATGACATACATAGTTAGTACGTAATATTAGTCTGAATTGAAGAGAGAAAAAGAGTGATGCGCCTAAGTGTGGTTCAGTGAGGCTGTTGGGTTGTAGAAATTTTTCTTTAAACGGTGTTCAAATAGCGTCTCCTAGGGTGTTAGCAGAGATGGGTATTACAGTATTTAGCATGAGCGTCCAGATTTCATTTTGTTGAGATTGCCACAGAAACACACTTTCATGTAGTAGTACTAGCAGCTTTAAAGTATACCACTTTTTAGTTAAGATGTCTTTCGTGTTTGCTTTCTGGGTTGATCGGAGATTAGAGATGGTAGATACAGATAAGTTACGAAAAAAAAAGTATGTACACTATTCTCAAGGATCAGCAATAAATAAAAGAAATTAATGAAATAGTAAGGTTAACGACGATATCTTAAAATCATCAATAAGATAGATAAATTAATTTTGTAAATATTAAATAATAATAAAAAAAATATGAAAGAAACGACGGCCACATAAACATAATATTTTCGAAATGAATGAATGAACGTTTCCCAGATAAATAGTTCAATATTTCAGAGCACCTTACAACAGAAGAATGCTGAAATATGTATGCATTTAATCCACGCTAGATGGTTTAGTAAATTAAAAACAAAAGTATGTGTTTTCTAATATATTCTCTATAATATTCCTGCTTTATTAATGAAAATTTTAATCATGTTTTTATTTTGCAGATATTGTAGGCGGGAATCAGCCAGCTTTCTGTTCCGGAAAACAAATCGATCACTTTTCGTGTTTTATTTACCCCTGTCCTTGTGCGCAATGGTAAAAAGTACAGTTAGCACCCGCGAGGGTAACATTCGCAGAACTTTGTTTTTAAATTAAGTGGGGACACTAGTTTACATTCTAACCGCTAGAGGGCGCTGTCACTCTAGCAATATGTTCATGTCAAATCTCATTGACACCTTTAATTGGCTACGCCGCGTTCGCTGGGGGAAAATATTAGATGAGGGGCATTGATTAAACCCTTATTGGTGCTTGCTTATCCAATAGGCGGAGTTTCGATTGATTATGGGTAAAGTGGGCGTGGTCTACAGGCCTTATGAGAGGGGCTAGGGGGTCGTGGAGAAGGAGGATACTCCCCAAAAAGGTAGTGGAGGAGGAGGCGCCTATTATTACCTATGGCACTACTCAAATGTGGCAAAGTATTTTTAAAATTTTTGAATTTGTTTTCTCCAAAACCATTCGCCGAACGTAAAAATTTTGAAGGTTCAAAATTGGGCCTTGTAACGCTTGAGAAAGCATATATTCCTAGATGCCATTCTTGTCACTTCCTTTCCCTTATACGGCATGGATGTAAAAATAAGGGCTTTTTACTTAGACACAATTAATATGGTCCCGTGAAATTTGTGAGCTCAAGACTGACCATGATAATTGGATAAGTGTTTTCTAATCACTAATCCTTTTACGTATGAAACGTATGAATAATATCGACAATCAAATTTGAGCCTTGTAGTCAAATATCAAATTCTTACCCACTATCATTAATTTAATAAAATATATATTATATTAAAAGTGTAGAGACAAAATGCTAGGGCATGTACCGCCTCAGTGACTAGATACGCTAATATACCCGTAAGGTATCCAGAATAGTCGCTAATTGAACATGTATATGGGACAATCAAAAAACTGGTCAATACTTCGTAGTTAAGTAAGAAAAAAGAAGAAGAAACTCAATTGAATTGATCAAGGACATTGTACATGTTGACGTGTCTGATTACTTGTTTCCAAGTATACCGTTTGACTATTGTATTACTATAGTTGAAAGACTCTTAAAAGACCAACTTAAAACATTTTTTTCCATTTTAATAACAGGGTTTTCAAAATCACGAAAAGTTTGGCAACGGAATATTGTTTCCTCCGTTCCTGGGTGAAATGTGTATGGATAACATTGTGCCAAACATGGTTAATAGTAAGTTTCAACTGCACGATATATGTTTACTTTGAAGTGCTGGTGAGAACTTGTTAGATGAGTTTCTTGTTTTTATTAACTCGCTCAACCCAAAAATTGCAATCACTTTGGAGTTTGAACTGAATAATACCCTACTCTACCGTGGTGTTCTTTGATTAGAAAAGATATTGAAAACTTTCAACACCGGGCAACATTATTCAGTTTAATTGCAATTCTCCACCTTTACGCAAAATTTCCACTCTAGGTATTCAATAAATATAAATTACGTTATGAATTTGGCTTATCACTTATTAACATAATTTCCTATCTTCTACTACTTCTACATGTTAACAATTATTGTTCTAATATTTATCATTAGATACAACCATAAGTTTAAGTTTTTGATTTCTGGGGCTAGTGCTGTGTGTATTGTCTTATATTTGAAGTAAATTGACCTTTTTATTAAGTTCAGTAAGTATTTTTTTGATTTGGTGGTCTGACATTGCCCTAAGAGGGCGAAACATGCTACCGCCTTTGATCTAATGCTTAATAGATACTGCAGGTTTAGAGATATATTTTTGTAATTATTTATAAATGGGATATAAGGGGTAGAAGACTGTTACGGTGAATATAAAACATTTACGTCACAAGGTGAGAGTATTTTGGAAGAACTTACCATAGTCAGATATGGATCATCTGACTCAAAACTTGAGTGGAGGAGCAGCTTATTATTAAATTTTTAATAAACCTTCTTGAACAAATTTCTTTAAAATCATTTTGGAATAATCCGTCTGGTTCTTATAAATGTTCGTTCCTATCATCCTTAAAAATAATATTTTAATGCATGAGCAGTTATAATTTTGTTGCAATATTCGCATAGAAAAAAAACGAAGTGCTTATCAATTAGCGCAACATATCAGTAGCAAACAACCGTGGTATGTCTACAGCGATAATAGCGAAGAGTGGTGAAACAATACTTTAGATCCCTTCACCGTGACTTACGGAACTCGTTAGTAACAATATTTTTAAAAGTAACTAATTTTTATTGACTATCAAACGTACTACGTAAAAAACATACAAACTTATCGGGCTTTTCCTCGACGTCGCACTTAAGTATTAATATAATCTTCAACTCAATAGAAGTAAATTATGTGCTTTTAAAAAAATTATGAAGAAAGTTCTATTGAAATAAGGCGACCAAATTGACTGATTGTATTCGGAAAATGTATAAAAACATACACTCTAGTAATGTAACATCAAACAACGCCGAGAACCATGAAGCTTTTTGCATTGCTATGTGTATTTTTAATTGTTAGATTTGATTTGGTCTCGGCAGTGTGTTCTAAAGGAGTTTATGGTAAGTCATAGATTAAGACGGAAAAGTTCACGAAATGATGAAATTTACTGAAACTGTCATTTTTAGAGACTGGTGTCAGTGACTCCGAAAAAAACTACATTGTCAACAAACACAATGAGCTTAGGTTGTTGATAGCGAGAAATCAATTGCCTGGACAACCTAGGGGAATCAATTTGAAGCGCATGGTAATTGTTACCAATTTTCATTAATTTTATATTCCTATTTAGTCTGGCATCACTTGCAATCGACATAACATTAGAAGAGTGATTTTTGTAGCAACTGGAGTAGACTAAATGGGATACTTACCAGCAATTGCAATTGCAATTTTATAGTTGATTATTTTTCGATCACTATACCATTACGCTAAAAATTTAAAATATCTCATTTAAGCAGTTGGAGAAGTTTTTTAAATTAAACGTTAGTTTACATACCTTGTTGCATAAGCAATTTTCAGCATAGTAATTGAGATGTTAGTAATATAAATGATGTCTGGGGTGGCCCGTTAAGATTCGACTACAAACCTGGAAAAAATATCAAAAAACCTTAACACAAAAATTGCTGCATTTTTTTGCACATTTCAAATGTTGTTATATATACAGGACGTTTGTATTTTATTGAACAAGTAACAACTTTCATATTTTACATAAAATACCATGTAGATTTGAAATTGTTAGTAAATTCACATGGATCAACGTTCGGCTGGAGCTTCGTCAACTTAGGTTCGAAAATGCTTAGTTTCCAGGATAAGGGCTATCGAATACCAAATATAAGACAATTATAATATGTTAAAAAAAATGTCAGATGTTTGTTATAATTTCACAGCGTCATGCATAATGATAAAGGGCAAATTTTGCTTTAGCGAAATTTGTGCCGTCCGGAAATGTTTCTTAACAGATAGTATCGCCACAATGTTTGTTCTTTAGTTTGAATAAACCACGTTTTTACTCTTGAGTTGCATTCGAATTTAATTTCATGAAAATTGTCAAAATTTATATAGGAGGTAATTTACTCTAGCGGTCTCTGTTCATATTTTAAATATAAATAAATACAAATTGGTCAAAACATTACAAACTTAAATAAAGAGATCGTCAAGTCATTTTTCAAATTGAAAGACAGCAATTCACAATTTCATTATATTTAGAAATTAGCTGTATAGACTTTATATTTAAGTTGCATATTCAGAAATATTACTAATAAAACGTTTTTCCATTTATAACCGCAGAACAGGAAATAATACAGCACTGTAAAAATTTAATTTTTAAAAAGGAACAATTTAATCTGAAGTAAAATATACAAATAGATTAAAAACGATAAGAAACGGAAATCCAAAATTTTTAAGGTATTTGAGATTTTGGCGAAACGTCTGCAGGATTCCAGTCGGAGTTCAACGAGCGAACGAATGATATCCCGGAGTATAGTGTCATCATATATATATATATATATATATATATATATATATATATATATATATATATATATATATATATATATATATATATATATATATATATATATATATATATATATATATATATATATATATATATATATATATATATATATATATATATATATATATATATATATATATATTCTCACGTATTGATTCACGGATGGAAAAATGTGATGACACTATACTCCGGGATATCATCCGTTCGCTCGTTGAACTCCGACTGGAATCCTGCAAATCCTGCATCCGACTGGAATCCTGCAGACGTTTCGCCAAAAACACTTCGAACACTTCGGAGCGCGAGCATTGAAGATGCCAAGTGAGATTTTGGCGAAACGTCTATAGTGTCATCACATTTTTCCATCCGTGAATCAATACGTGAGAATATATATATATACATATATATATATATATATATATATATATATATATATATATATATATATATATATATATATATATATATATATATATATATATATATATATATATATATATATATATAGGGATTTTACAGGCGGGAGTAGAACGTATATATTTTTTCTACTCCCTTCTGTAAGATACCTAATTACCCACCGATCTAACTTGCGGGAAGCGTCACTTTACCACGTCAGTTTTGTTTCGCATGAATGCGAGCTACTTCGGACATTTCTGGGATTTGGGAGCAATCGGATGTTTTCCCACGCTTTGAATTTTGACGTTTGTCAATTCTCACAGTCATGTCAGTGAATGTATTCGTGTTGTTTTGCGTAAATGTACCCAAAAACTAACGGTCGTAGAAAAAGTATAGTATGCAACACGTTCGGAAAACTTTTTAACTCACTCGTTTATTAAAAACTTGCTCCGCTCGTGTCAAATAAACTCGTGAGTCAAATGCAGTTTACCGCACATGTTGCATAATATACTATTGTTGAAGAGGTGTATTCTCCACTGTTTATTCTTGCTTTGCATAATTTTTCCCTCTTTTTCAATTTTTATAGCAATTGTAGTTTTGGAGATATTGTACATTAATTACTAAATTAAAAGCTAAAAATAACCACTGCAATTTGCAATTGTTAAAAATTAATTCTTCTGATAACAGTAATATACATTTTTATAATAAAAATATCACAAAAACTACAATTTCTATCATAAATTCAACAAGAAAAAAATGAAAACTAGAGGGTTTATTAAACGAAATAGCTTTTAAGACATCCACCGAAAAAAATTGAGGGGTAATAAGGTGCCGGACAACCCTTTTTTTGTGCTTTTTGATACACCAAATTTACGCGGATTTAACACAATTATACATATCAAGTTTCAACAAGTTATATAGAAAACTGCGAGGTTTATAATTAAAAATGTTTTATATTTTGTTCTACTGAATTTTTGTATTTGAACCCGAAAGTTTAAATGGAATCGTAGAATGTACACCGAACTATCTACTTACAATGTCATATATTATCTAAATATTTATCGATGATAATTTATGAAACCAGAGTGTAACATATAAAACTTGAAGTTTTATTTCTTATTTTGGGATATGGATGGTAGAAATATGAAACTTTCACACACCTAATAATGTTTACATTTACATTATATTTACAAAATATTAAGGGAATTTGGTTTATAAATATTTTGTTAACAATTTTTTTTAGTACTGGGACAACAATATAGCTATCGCCGCGCAGAACATTGCAAACACCTGCGTATTCGAACACGTTCCTGTACACGATTGTAAGTTTTGATGTTTCAACAATTTTAAATAATTTTTTGAAGACAAACACTATATCTTCTAGTAGGACTCTTCCTAAATTGTCATTCGACAGTTGTATAACAGAGTATCCTTTCTTGTACTTTATTAGGTTTAATTCTGCTAATTAACTTTTAATTGTACAATCACCTCTATATGAGACGTATTTCTTTGGCTTATCTAATTATTTCCATTAATTAACACTCGCTGCTCTAAAATGCTCATTTGTGCACATACCAAAATCACATTTAGGAGAAATATTAATGTTTTCGTACAGAATAAATTTATGCAGGTTGAGAATTGCTGTCGAGGAATTGGGAATTTCTTTTTTATACTATAATTCGATTTAGCTAGGTGGGCAGTAGGTCAGAACCTTTACGCATCATTCGATTCAAACTACGTGAAAGGTGCTAACTGGACCGCCGCGATTTTGGGCTGGTGGAACGAGCATTCTTCTTATAAGTATCCAGGCGGATTTTCAGAAAAAACTGGACACTACACTCAGGTAATTTTTTAAATGTTCGTTCAATGCGAATTTGACATAATACTTATTAACAAATCTAGACCTCTTTATGGTCTAGTAGCAATAAAATTTCACTATGGTAGCTACAGTCAAAGAAGTTTTTAGCTAGCCCGTCTATGAAAAAAAAATCACTTGGGTAAACTAACCAAAACTCTTAGCCGAAGTGGTGGCTCAGTTGGGAAATTGAAATATATAACGCAGTAGATAATAATGAAATACAATGCTTAAGACAAATGTGGGATAAAATAAAAAGTTATTTTCTGAGGTCTGAAGTACAAAGTAGCGTAAACCATTGGAGCGCTTAAAAATAATCAGTCCATATCTTATGCAGTCCATATCTTACAATGTCATCAAAAAGTTATACGGCCAAGAGGCCCACAACAGATCATAATTGAATTGGGACTAGAAATGCCTTATTCTCATTGAAACTCCTAGTACAGAAATGTTATGATCAACAAAAAAACGTACTTTTACTAATGAGAACCGTTGACTGCCGCACGACCTATTGTTAACATTACGATAGGTTGGGCTAAATTTAAAGGTCATATAATTCACAAGGCTCTACCTTAACCAATTTTGATATTCAGGTTTACCAGAGTGGAAACTTGTATAGATAAAATTTTACACTTTAATATGGCGTAATGCAAGACGGTATTATATAAGAACATCGCATTCAATAGTTTGCACTTTGTGAATGTAGAGAGCTGTTTTAGCAGGCAGAAACTGTACAGTTTTTTGAATTCATATAAAAAATCTTGAGTAGGTTGTTGATGTGCTATTGAAAAGAAAGATATTTTAATTTCAATGTTTTTATTATTATTAAATATACGGAGACAAGACTTGGACGAGTTAACCATAAGTTGTTCTAGCTCTATTATATAAAAAGATACATTTAAGTAATAATCTCCTATATACAAGATAAATAATAGATAATTTCAAAATTAGCTTCGGTGTTATTTTATTTTTTTAGGCATATGTTCTATTTCGGCTGAGTATTTAATATTCGTATTTCAGTTGGTTTGGGATGACACCATGTACGTCGGATGTGGTTACACCCATTTTCCTATAGATGGACAGTACCAATATGAGAAGATTTATGCCTGCAACTACGGTCCGGCGTAAGTGTCTAATTAAAATTTTGTCATATCGAGGCCTTTTGTTTGTGGTACTAAGTTGGCAATAGTCAAGATTCAGTTAGTCCTTGTTCAAATCACTGTCCCCCAAAAAAAGGAATACTCATAATTGAAACATATGTTGTTGCTTCTAAACTTGTAAGCTCGATGCATTTTGACCGTGTCGATCATCGATAAACGAGTGTTCCCTGAACAAAATCTTCTCTAGGTTTGTCACTTTCATATTAGTCTGTCCAGTGGAACTCATTTCCACGATTTCTGAGGAATAACACATGAATCATACAAACCATTCGTTAATTCAATTCAAGCAAATTACCAATTCAACATTTTACAGTTATACCTCGAAGTTCGGCAGTTTTATCATCGGAATTTGAGTGTTGAAGCGTTCATGGCCTTAAAGGCCTTTGTCAATGCCTCTCTCGAGTCTTAGAATTCTTTAAGAATGAATATGGATATTCTTTCCAAATTTTGACTGAGATACTAACCACCTAAGGAAAATATTAACAAATTAATGCAGCTCAATGGAACAAATAGCACAAAGCCGAATTTTTATGCAGCTACTATACTACTGACAAAGTTCAATATCGTTTGCTGGGCAATATTATCCGGAAAGCCGAAGGTCAAAATTTCCATAATATCTACATTATTTGAGTTTTGCTAAAAATAATATTTTTGTATACTTCCAAAGTCGTAAATGCTCTATAGAACGTAAGTCGAGACATTTTCTAATTTGGAACCTAGGTGGGAGTACGTTTGATTGAAGGTTATAGGGAATGGTTCATTCAACTTTTATTTTATTTATTTTAATTTGAGTTATACGTTTCCGACAGTAGTATCAAAGCCCGTATGAAATGTTGACTGTCAAAACCGCCCTAAACGTTGTGTAATCTAATCTACCATTTAGATAAATTTAATGAACTTGCGACTAGAAATAATCGAACCATCTCGTGCGAAGAACAAACTACCCTTAAGGAAGCGCATAACAATTTACAAAGACTAAATACACTCATGGTTTTTAACATCGGAACACTAGAAAGAAATAACATTGAAATGAGAAATCGATTGTGTTCCAATAACAACACTAAAGAACAAAAACGATACCATACTACAAATGACGCTACATATTCTCAAGGCAGAAAGGCATATTTCGTAATATTAGAAAGCAAAACAAATGCAGACAAAAAAGGAATACCTTCAGAAGAGGATCATCAACCTTGGACAACGACCGTTACGGAGAAGAAACATGAAACTATTATACGAATTGCAGAAATTTGCGATCCGAAAGAAGCATTTCAAAAGTTCAAAAGCGAACTAAATCCAAAAGAGGTAGGCCGAGGTTTCAAAAGTGTAAGACAAACAAAAAATGAAGCAAAACCGTCAGAATATAAATACTAAAGAAACGCAAAATATGGATTCCATGTTTATGGCACCGGGAATTGAAAAACGTTTTTCAGGAGAAGAGTTTTTATTGGAAATTGAGAGGCTCAATTTTGAAATTGTTGATGAGCTTGGATGTAGTGCACATGACAAAATACAGGTGGTGACAAAAAAGCAATGTCGCAATCCTGCCAAATGGTTTTTAAAAAAAGGAAAAATTTATGTCAATCTTATAACAGTTTACGTTAAAGAACACTTTAACCTGGTTATATGTTACAAATGTTGTGGTTTTGGATATGTGGCTAAATACTCCTCTGAAAAAGAATGTTGTCATAGGTGTGGTGGTGAACATAATAGTACAGAGGGCAATACAGACACTTATGGCTGTCCAAACTGTAATAAAATAAAATTCTTGGAAAAAAACTATTCAGCAAGAAGCCAGAACTCTCCAGTGTACATAAGGAAATTGGCGTCGTTCCAAAACATTATTAACTATGGCAATTTTTTATAGAATATACCTCTGATTCGGCTCTTAAACAAGTTCAAACTTCATATGACGACAGGTAAAACGAATTAAACAGACGTTCAGTATTATTCATTGGAACGTACAGTCGCTGGGGATTTGCTCCAAACCCACTCAAACTGTAGGATTCTATGTTTAACAGAACACTCGAAAACAAGTGACATCTAATTCTAAAAAACTTTGTTCAGGTGAGCTGTTTCTGCCACGAGTACAATGAGCATAGTGGTAGTGCGATTTATGTTCATAAATCGGTTCAGTACAAGTTAAGAAACAGACTCTCTAAATTCACACTAAAAATATATTTGAGTGTTCGGCAGTGGAGTGCACATTCAACAATGAACAATTTTTAGTGCTATCAATCTACAGACCACCTCAGCGTGATATAGACGCTTTCTTACATTGCGCCGAAAAGGTACTGTCCCAAATAATTAACGAAAAGAAAAAAAATTTCATGGCTGGTGACGTTAACATAGAAATGTTAAAGGCCAATGTCAATAATACAAATTTAACTTCACTTTTGTCGTCTTTTAATATAGCGCCTACAATTTTTGAAAACAACAGAAGACTTTTTTATTTGTAAATTGTGATTGTGTACATAGCTTAGTATTAGATACATTTATCTCGAACCATAAAGCACAGAAAATTGAATTTCTATTAAAACCGTCGGACGAAAAGTTCCATTATGTGAGAATTTTCTCAACCGAAAATAAACAAAATTTTTTAGAGTGTGTATGTATATAAGGTCCGAAAACAAAACGTTAATGGACAATGGTCTAATTTTTTAAATACTTTTGGTAGATCTTTCAATTATTATTTCCCGTTGAAGTTGATAAATAAAAGAAAAAAACACTCTCATAGAAATAACCAGCAAGTTCTAGATATTAAAAATAAACTAAACATTTTACTTATACTCTCTAGAAATGATGCTTATTTTAAATCGCTTTATAACCAAACAAGAAAAGAATATGAAAAACTCTTAAAAACATCCAGAGCTGAAGAATACAGACAGAAGATTGTATGTTCGGATAATAAAACCAAATGTATGTGGTCAATTGCAACGACATTTTAGATAAAAACAACAACAGTAATCTTCAAATGCAATGTGACCCTACTGAAGTAGCAAACCGTTATAATGAGTATTTATTATCAATTATACCAGATCTAATCAATTCAGTTGTAAAATACCAATTAACAACCAAACAAAATAAAGAATAAGCACAGTAGTGGTTATGACGAAATACGTAAAAGTATAGTTAAATTTTTAGTGCCCTATATTAACAATGTTCTTAGACATTTATTATTCAACAATTTCAAATATGGAATTTATCCAGATCAATTAAAAACAGCTGTAATCAAGGCATTATATAAGAAGGGTGACCCGGAAGAAATGGGTAATTATCATTATTCTCTCTGGTTTTTCGAAGATATTTGAAGTAGCAGTATGTGGTAGATTGGTATATTTCTTTATTGACTGTAACTTGTTTAGAGACCATCAGAATGGATATACGTCTGGCAAATCCACTGAAACTGCACTTTTTAAGTTTATTAAAATAATTATAAAACATATCAAAAATGCCGGTATCTCACTTGGCATTTGTTTGGATTTGTCAAAAACCTATGACTGCATCGACAGGGATCTACTTCTTAAAAAATTAGAAGTGTATGTGGTGTCCGAGGACAAGTGCTTGAACTGTTTAGATCCTATTTATCGAATAGAAAACAGTCTGTCAAAATTATGAAAAATAGACGCCCTCACTACTCACAATTTAAAGAAAGCTTATATGCTATCGCACAAGGCAGTATACTAGGACCAATAATATTTATAATATACATAAATGACATCTATTGGATTAGAGGACTAAACAGTGAAAGCAGTGTGTGTGTGTGTGTGTGTTATGCAGACGACACAAACTTACTTGTGGGAGGTAGAGATATTACTCAGGTTCTGAACAATGGTATAAGTTGTATGGAAAAGCCGACAATTGGTTTAAAGAAAACAAATTAATTTTAAATAAAGATAAGTCACACGCTATTTTGTTTCGAACAAAACAGTCTAAATTGCATAAACCACCCTATTTGGAATGTGATAAGTATGTTATCAATATAGTAGATAGTGTATAGTTTTTAGAAGTAAATATAGATGAATTTGTGGACTGGAATGGACATATGCTCATTTCAATCCACTATGAATATTGATAGTTTAATAAAACGGTCAGATTTTGTTTGTTGTGGAATTAGAGTAGTTAAAAGGTACATGCACTAAAATAGAACAAAAATTTTATATTTTGCCAATTTACTGTCGATTTTAAAATATGGCATTATTTTTTGGGGAGGGCACAGCGCAGTACAAAGATTATTTGTAGTTCAGAAGAGAGTTATAAGGCTAATTAAAAATATCAAGTGTGGAGATAGTTGTCGAGAAATTTTTCAGATCGAAGGTTTAATGACGGTAATGACGGGTATACGGTGTCTAGATTTACGACTCGCTCATTTTCTTTTTTAAAAATCGGAAATACTTTGAACCGCATATATCGCCTTATAAGTACAACAATAGAACGCAAAATGTAAATTACCAAACACATACAACTGAGAAGAGTGCATACTATATGTGGTGAAGATTTTATAACAAATTGCCGAACAGTTTAAAAGAAATAAGTAGTTTGAAAAGATTTTAAGACACTTCTGATAGGATTAGAACCCTATTGAAAAATTCAATAATAATAATAATGTAAAAAAAAGTAAATCTAGGTATTAGACGCTATTTCCGTTGTGTTTTTGTATTTTGTAATATACTAACACAATTTGAAATAAAGATGATTATTAGTATTATTAAAATAACATAAAGACAGTAGAAGACCGACAATCTCTTAATTTTTCAGATAATACCCCATATTTTACAAATGAAATTTTTGTGAGGTTATCATATCATATCATACATAAAATTCAAAGCGAACTTTTTATTTGATATTAAAACACGTTTGTATAATACAATTTTATTATTTTATCTGCCGTATTTCTTACCTCCTTGCCATTTTCAAATGCATAGGAACAACATCTCTTGTGTGATGAATTTATCTGTTAGTATCAGTAACTGCTCTAATAAATTAATTAATTATATTAATAATATTAATTAATTCAACGTTCTTCATAACCAAGTTATTTGTTATACTTCTGCCTTCGAGTACATTGAAAAGAGGTAAAACTAACCAAAACAGTAAAATATTAATATTTTCAGAATTAGCATACATTTTAGGAGTTAGATATACAGCTATATTGTATATAAGAAGGTCTATCATTCTGTTATCGAATATACAAAAAAATCGTATTAGATAACGAAAATCCGACTACAATTGTGTTAATAACAGGCAGTAGTTGTCAAAAACCGAAAAACGTCTTCATCATAAAAGATGTATAACGCCCAGCGTTTCATATAGAGGGTAGTTCAAATTTAAATATCGGGATGGCTGAAGTATGAAATTTATGATTTGCGTGTTTTCGTTGTATCTTTTTGGTTAATTTCTATAGAGAATAAGGTTTAAAGAAAAGAAAAGTGATGATCGTTAAAGAATAAGAAAACGTTTTGTCCTTTTCTTTCTGCGAAACGAATTCGTCAAAAACAAAATCCAAAGACTGAAATCCCAATTTTCGCGTGAACTATATTTTCGGAAGTCGATGAATGTATTTTTAACTGTTTCCCAGATTCCAATGGCCAAAGTCATGTTTTACTAACCCGGTATTAACAAAAGTAGTTTATTGTAGTATTTACAATGTCTCATTTTTAGGGGAAATTATCCCAGAGCGCCATATAAAACTGGAACTTCCGGATGCGAGAACCTGTGTTGAGCCTTGAGACTTCCATAACAATGATGTTGACTATAATATATTTTTTTTTGTGTTAGATTGTCCTAGATTTGTTAATCAATTAAATTATTTGAAAAAGAAAACAACAAATGTATATATATATATATATATATATATATATATATATATATATATATATATATATATATATATATATATATATATATATATATATATATATATTCTAACAGCAGTAAAAAAAACATATGGGTACAGTTATAACAGAGAATGAAATAAATAAACTTTCGTATGCATAAACGTATTTGTTTCCATTACAGGACCGAGAAAACTACTCCTTAAAGTTATAATAGCAGGGTAGTTAAATAAAGAAAACATTTTTTTAATACATAATTTGCGGATTTCGACAGTAGCAAATATAAAATGTTGAAGTTGGTGAACATGGCTAGTTAGTAAACCTTCAAATATTAAATAAAGGAAGCTGGAAACGGTTACAAACTATTTACCCATCTTTTGTCTGATTAGTTATTTAAAAGTTATTTAAAGTGGAAATAATCATCTCTAACTAGTTCGAATCTGAGAAGATCAATGCGAGACGTAATTAAATGCAATTACTTTTTTACAAAGTAGAAAACAACACCAAAGCAAAAGCCTTCCACATGGCCCCCTTAATGCTTTAGAGCAGTACAGCGTTGCTTTATTGCAGATATGATTGTAATTGACGAACTGTCAGCGGCCATGTCGGTTATTAATCGGCGCTAGGTTTTATTTATTGGTTTGAAACTATAGGTGTTATTAGTTGAAAACAAGATTTCAAATTCCTGCGCCTGTAGAAACGCCTCAACAAACAAACAACAAAAGTTCTTGTGTAATCAGCTCTTCTATGCAGTGTATATCTACATATCTAGTAACTACATAATATCAGATTTTAAAATCATGAAGGGATTTATTTTGTCTGTGAGTAGACTAAACTCTTTCTTATATTTATTTTTATGGAAAACAAAACGTATATTATTTGGTATTTGATAAACACAGACTAGGTAATATGTTTTTCTGCCTTTTGCGTTATAAAAATGTCAACATTCCAAAAAAAACAATACAAATTTTAGTATACCGATCGAGGTATAAAGTTTATAATTTAATATGCCGACAAAAATTCATTGCTTTGCCAGGAACATATTTGTGAAAAATAATTACGTAGCAAGATAAATCCCACGCGCGTATAAAAAAATAAATATTTATACCTAAAAGCCAATAATAATTATTATCTCATAGCCGATCTACGTCTAAAAATTATCTCAGTGAAAAATTCTCCGTTTTTCTAAAAACAAAAATACAATTCGAGTGAAATCTTCGTAAAATTTTTTGACTTTTATGCAAAACAACACAATTTTTATGCAGCTAATTATACTATTGACGGACTTCAATATAAATATTATTTTTAACCAATTCTTCTGTTAAGTAAATGAAGCTACAACGTCATAAAATTAAATAAACACACCAGGAATTTCAGTACCTTAAATAATCATTTAGAATGGGTAATATACTGTTAAGGCTAGAATGTGGCTTAAATGCTTGGAAGAATGACTGCGCTATTGCATTTCTATTGCTGCTATTCCCAGACTAAGCAATACATTGAAAAATTAAAAGACTTCCAGAATATTTAAAAAGATATAAACCTATTGCGAGAAAATATGGTCGTAGAAATGACGCACCCAAACTTATACATATTTGCTATTTATTTTTTTAAAATGAATTTAATATAAGTTAATATCTTAACTATAACTTAAGTGTCATTTTCAACACTTAGTATATTTTGCACTACTAAAATTTTCCACCACGTTTATTTATTTATCTGTTACAGAATACGTCACGAGAAATAACAAGAAAAAAAATAACTAAGGTATACATATGTATTTAAACCATATAATTATTAGAAATTTAGTAGGATACTACAGGCACTTTTGAAGTAAACATCAAGAAATTTTCAAGATGCGCATTCATTTGCTTTTTCAAAACTCGATTTCAACGAATAAGACTTTTTATTTTGAATCTCGTTGTCTACAAATAAGAAATTGCAGCGTTGAATCATCAACGTTGCCGTTGACATTTGATGAATTAGAGAACTTTTTGTTTGGTCGCGGCATGTTTTGGCATCAGTATTTCATCCGCATGGGCTCAGCTCCCATTAAATTTGCAATTGCAGGTTATACTTCAAAAGTTACGGGCATGCTCGACAGATCATCATGCAAGGGTGGCTCTCAGCTAGAAATGGGATGGCAAAAGAAACTTTGGCCCAACTTGTCAAAATATGGAAAGATTATAAAATTCGTACGATGAAACAGATGAGACTTCTTAAAGCCGATCAGAATCTCCGATGCTTGGCCCAGCGAGTCACCAGGAAAATAAAAGCATTCGAACAGATATGCTAGCGCAGGATGTTAAGAACAGCGGGGATTACTCAAATATTTCGACGATGTATATCATAGATAGAGACGGGATGGAGTGATCATGAACCAATGGAAAAGTAGACGGCACAAGAACGAAAAGCAGCTCTTCTATTAGATTTACAGATTAAATCAAGGATTAAGTCATGACAACAGTAGAGGATGAAGAAGCATGCAGAAGGCTTGCATCATGGCTAAGTCGGGATATGATTACGGATGCGGTAGCATCTATTTAACAGCTATTTGACACAGTTCGACGTTATTTATCAATAGCGGGAAATTCAATTTTTACTTTGTAAGTATCAAACATCAAAGGAGTTACAGTATTTTATTAAAAATATCAGCTGTAAACGTAAGTATTATTTATCTATGTTCAGTTTTGGGATATTTCTCTTTACACTAGAATTGGATGGAATCTTAAAAAAGTTGCATAATGCCATGTGATTCTAGTACCATTCATTATTTAGGTAGGTTATATTTTCATTTTCAATAAAATGTTATTTCTCCTCTACCGCACCTGGACGGTCTTCGAAACTGCCCTGCAGCGGCAACACTCTGCAAAGAGGGGGTCGCCGCTGCCGACAATTAAGATAGACCGAGGGATACTCGGGCTCTGTGTCTGTCAGCAGACGTTCAGCTTCATTATTCATTTTCATATGTTTTTTATATGTTTCTAAAAGTTAAAAATAAAGTTATCTAAAAATACTGTCCACTAAATCGAACAAGAATCAGCGCAGCAAATAACGTGGACTTACATTAAAACCCACCAGTACCTGCTCATGTGGGTATTGACGGCAACGAAACAGAGACAGCGTGCTCTAGAGCAATAGCTAGGGAGGGAGTTTGTTTTTACATTGAGAGAATCGTAACATTTTGTATATTTGCACAAATATCTCTATCTGTGCATTTCCACATTTAGGAAATTCTGGCGTCGTTGAATCAATCTGTCAACGCCATTTACAAATCTTCTGGATTAATCCTGCGTCGGTTGTTGATAAATCAAATTTGCTGACGTTTCGAAAATCAACAACCGAAGCAAGAAGAATCAGGAAGATTTCTAAATAGTATTATATAGCATTTTCTTTGAATAAAAGAATCCCTCAACGGAGAAGATCAATTAAAACTGGCACGCACCAGAATTTGGATTTGAAAGTTTATTCAAATCTTTTAAAGGCCATTGGTAATTCGCTAAAGGTGAGAAATGATTCATAGAAACCAGTCGTCTTTAGGGCATTTGAATGTCGTATAGCAGGCAGACATCCGGAAAAAATGTTGCTTTGCAACAACTTTGAGCCAAGGGCAAAATAACTCACTTTAGCCTTTGACGTAATATCACTACAGTGCATGCAGAACGCAGAACGTCTGTTCTGCCATCGGTCGGAATCATGACGAACCAGAAAATGTGACACCTAAGTAAGTGTATTCATTTATTACTTCAATATTATTGTCTCCAACCCAAAATCATAATCCTGGACTCTTTTTCCCGCCCCAAGAAAAACATTAATTTCGATAGGCCTTGATTAATTTGAAGGTTACGTACTTTGAAATAACTTGGTCTCCAATAATTGTGCAAGAACGGAACAACCGTACTAATTTTACTTTAGTGATGTTTAAATAATAATGAATTAATAGACAGGTTTTCACATGACCTCAATTAATTTAGTCGAATCAGCTCATTACGAAACATAGGCAATTACAACAACTATAAGATACGTTGGCTTAGCAACAAAAAAATAATTTAAATAAGATAAACATGTAAAATATTCATTCCACCACCCCTCTTTTTCCTAAAAAATGAGCCACACTATCATCAAATAATTCCCGGCATGTCTTCACTCCCTCCATTAGAAGAGCCCTATTCTCTCAAAGAAATACAGTACATCTTTCAAGGAGAGTTTGGATAGAAATACCAAGTGATAGTCAACCTTCTATTGTCTTTTTTTTTATTTGCACAATGTTTCGGGAAAAATGTATCACCACCCATTATCAAGTGCATACTAATTTAAATTCTAAGAATACAAGCCTTATTAAATAGACTATAGGTTTCAACCGCGACAACACTCCTTCATTTTTAAGCATCTCCGGGCTTTAGATAAATATTTTAAAAAAGGTAAGACAAGTTTGTTACCTCTTTTTTTCAAAGAAACTTCCACAGGCTGCTGTAATGGAATTTAAAAATCTTGTAAATTCATTTCTTCATCAGTGATTGTTGGCTATTGGACGTTTGTTCGTATATTTGACCGTGACAAGAAAACGTATTCCAAACAAACATTTTTCAATTAAGATGTGAAGGTTTGTATCCAGATAATATTGAAAGCTTTAGGTATAGGGACTTTAGTAATGAGGGATTCTAACTAACCAGGATATCGTTTGGATATAATGTAATTCAATGAAATGAAAGGAATTAAGTACGAAACTATCAGTTTTTCCTGTAAAGGGTTTTAATATAGAAGCGAGATATTTTGATAGATAATATGTCGGAGAATCAACAATGCTGACAATAGGTCTTAGCGGTAATCCTGGGTTGTGAATCTTAGGGAATCTGCAAAACTCACGAATTTTAGTTTTATTATTGTAGGCGATAGTTTTTAAAATTTTTAAATGTAATTCTGGGTAGATGGTAAACATGAATCATGTTCTGATGGAAGTAGACGAGGTTTTGACATCATGAGCTACTGTAATATTATGTACATATCTGCTGGTTTACTCCTGCGTCGATGTCTATAAATCCCCGACACTTGCCACTGTTTCATATTACAGATAATTAAACATTTCATAACAAAATGTACTTAAGCACAACAATATAACGTCAAAACCAGATTTACCAGTTGTCCAAAAATCTCAGGACATCTCTGATCTGTCAAAGACAAAATTCCGTTTGAGAAACCATCAGTTTAGAGCACCCCTTGCATATGCGGCAAAGAATACATTTTAGAAACTAAACGAAAAAAATCGACTAGGCTCAAAGAACATGAAGAAGCCTTCAGACTACAACAAATAAACTCATCAGCAGTTGCCGAACACAATCATGAGACTGGGACATCAAATGTAATTAATTCTACCAAGGTAAAATGCGAGAATCTATAAGCAACCAAACAATCTTAACCGCGACTGAGGTCTTTACCTTTCATCAATAGGGAAGTCAGTCATCCGAGACAATGTTCATGCCCCTCTTTAGCTCCGGTCACTTAAATAATATACAGTGTGTCCCACTTAAGAACTGTACACCCTTGTAAAATCTTTGTCTATGGTTCGATTTTGATTTTTTTGTTGGATAGGATAGGAATATACACTAAAAGTTTGTTACTTTCGAAAAATCGATAAAATAGAATTTTTCGAAAGTCTACGCGCTTGGCAACGAAACTGATATCTCGAAAACGGTGCATCGCACAGCGACGCCATTGGTATAGAAAAAAACGTTTTTATTTATAGTTCTCTGTTGACGTTCCATAAAAATACGAATAACTTCGGAACCGTTACAGAAAGGATACTGAATTTTTTTCCTTTTAAACTTGTCACGAGGCAAATTGGAAATAGCCGCCATTGAAAGTTGACATCTGCCTTTTTTTGCGATTTTCGTCTGTTTTTGGTACACCGCTATGAAACACGATAAGTGTCCGAAATTCGCAGAAACCGAGATGAACAAATATAGAGTTTGGTTCCGTAACGGAACCTATTGAAATTGGCGGGGCTGGGGGGTCGGGAAATATTTTTAAAAATTTTCAATTATAGGCAAAAATCTAAAAGACCCCTGAAAATTGATATTTTTAAGAGTAAATTATTAGCCCTAAATCAAAATTCCAGACGAGGCTTATGATAAACCAGGGAGCTGCTTGGACTGCTTAGAGGGGAGTGTAGAGTACTAACAAGGGCCTACACAGGACCCTGCAGGGTTAGGAGGCATATTTGCCTGCTAGGCATTGGAGACGAGCCGGAGTGCAGGTGGTGCTTGGAAGGGGAGGAAACCCCGTATTATCAGCTCAGACCTTGATCGATCGGGACTCAGTGCACGGTATTCGACTAAAGAAGTTACCGACCTTCTATAGAAGGGGCGGCATTCTGGACGACCTCTAGCGTGGTTTGGGCGCAACGGGCCCATCTGGTTTCCTAAGTGTTTGGATGCCCGCGGGGGGGCGCTCCCCTTAAATGCCAATACCAATACACCTCGTCGATCCTCAAACTTTGATAGCTCTCAAAAAATTTACCGTCTCACGCGAAAATAACGTACGGCTATATCTTTCCAATTTGATTGATCACCTGTTTCTCATTGGCGAATAAATTATGCATGCAGAGCAGGTCAACCAAAACATGTTTTGTTCGCAATAGAACTAAAAATTATTTTTGATAATTACAAAATCATTCAGCTGTCAGAGAAAGTCGTTATAAAATGGAATTATTTGATTTTGTAACATCGCGTCCGAGCAACTGACGTTATTTTCACAGTGACTGTCATCAAAATGTTGAAAACAAAGCAGTCTTAATCTTAATAACTTAAGACGTTTGTAAAGTTTGAAAATGTTAAAAACCTTTTTTTTTTCGTGATATGTTGCAATTAGCCTCTCGACAGTGCTACAGGACGTTGAACGTTGATTTGATCATCTCGTGTGGGGTAAGTAAGTAAATTACGGACTTGTAATAGTGTCGTCAACACCACGAGAATAAAAATCGATTTCGATGTACGCGCCTTCGAAAACAAGACGTTGTCGTTGCGAAAATAATAAATAACCATTGTTGACATTGCATTTCAACAAAGTAGGATTTTAATGCTAGGTAAATAAATTCTGACCTCGTATGGAACTGTTATATTAATGTGGATTTTATTTATTGTGCACGCTGGGAACATTTTCAGTGAATAATGAAAACATAATAAAAGACCTGGTTTTCTAGGCTCGGCAGACTGTGTGGTGCGCGTGTCTTTTAAAAGTTCTGTGCGGTGAGTAAAACAGGAACAAAACAATGGTTGGCAAGTCACCTAGGGCTTATATTATTTATACTATGTTTCTTAATGCGAGAGAGTAATAAAATGCAAATGCACACTATTTAAAGGTTATATCGTAAAGTTCAGATAAATAGATAGATAGAAAATTAAAGAAAATTTTTAAAAATTCAGTATTTCGATTTCACACTCCGAATCGTTCCTAAATTAGGGTCACTCTAGTTTGCATACAATGGATGGTCAATTTTAGGGAATGAATAATAAATATGGACCGATAATTGAGATACTAATTATTCTAAGATCAAGTAAATAAAAACTTACATAAGAATAATGTCAAAATAGATAAATTTAGTAAGCTCATGAATATCCTTTTTTTTTTTGAAGACGATGTAGATATTTGGAGTTGACTATGACTGTAATAGGAGAAATAAGATCAGAAGTGTTTGCTGGAAGTAGTCTTCAAGATAATTATTAATATTTCCAAGAAAGGTTGTTTCACATGCTCTCAAATTTAATCGTCGCCAGAAGATTCTTTCTCTATTAGGAGTGATTTTCGTTTATGAATTTTTCCGTTATGGAAATTTATTTCCCTTAAAATTTTCCACAATTTCCTTTTATCCATGAATGAAATCATCCTTTTTTAATTCAGACATTATTTTGTTCACGGTTGGTATTTAGTTTTTTACGTAATCCTGATCTTGATGGGGCCGCATTTATCTTCGTGCCCAAACTGGTATATTGTTCACTGTCCAACTTCATTCATATGCGAACATATGTCAACAATTTTTGCAAAACTGAATGCTGAGAATTTTGAAAACTAAGGCATAGGAAGGTCAACTACCTGTCCGTCCGAGTTTTACATGTTATGGCATTAAAAAACATATATTTATACTATACCTAATATCTATATAGTTTACTTTGAGAGTGAAAATGTCTAAAATAATATTGCAAACTGCCCTCACACTGTCTTGTTTCCTCACACGATCTCACATGGTCAGTATTTTCATCATTCTTTTCAATCGGCGCCAAGACCGAACTCATGAGCGTCGATCAGGCCTTAAAGGAGCTTTAATTATTTTATTTGGCCCGGGCAGCCGCAGGTTATAAGGCTATAAGTACCACCCTTACAGCCGGTAATACTGATGATGTGAGGGCTTACAGGCAGTACTTATTGCTGATCTATTGCAGATATTGTTGATCATGTGATTGTCGCTTAACAGCATATTATTAGGTTTAACCAACCAGACAGTCTGTTTTAAAATAATACAGGTCGGTCATGTATAATCTTAACAAGAGCGATTTTTGACCGGAAATAAAGATATAATGGTTTGTATAGATATAATGGTTTTTTATAACATGGCACACCAATGTCATAAGTTCGTAGGGTTTCTCACAGAGTAGCCGTTCCTTATATGTTTTTGTAGTTAGAAAGATCTCTGTATTTCGAATTTCTTTAGTCCGTAGTGATCCTTTAACTTTATATGCTTGAACTTTTATTACAGAAAATATAAAAAACAAGGAAACCGTTAAATGATATCTAAGTAGATCGATCTAAGTTCAGCATTCGATTTCCGGATTTTACAGGACATATTTGAAAAAACCAATTTGCCGGTATGAATATGGTGCAGCTGCTTCATAAATTGTCCGTCATCTTAAAGAATCAATCATAGAAACTATTGACATTAGATTAGCAGGGAAATCTGAATCCAGGCAATTCTTCCAGATATCTAAAAATTAAGCAATAATTGTTTTATTTAAAAGGACAAAGTCAATGTCGACTTCCGATTTCAAGTAGTACCTTTACATTGAACATATTTTCAAATCTTGAATTGTTCGAAAATTCCTTTTTAACCATGCATTCCGATTTTGTGTTGGAAATACTTTTGAAAACCTTTACTATATTTCAAAAATACTAGACAAGTTTTAAACAACTTTGTATAACACCGAACAAACTGTTCTATATGAAACCTCGACAAGTAGCCCAAGACCCAAAATTTCAGCTGTCTATCAACTTAAGTGACATTTGCGGAACGCGCGGGGTGTTTTAAATTCAGCTCAGGAAAAAATACGGGATAGCTCGAATAAGGGCAAAGCAAAAACTGAATTTTGGTAGATATGTCTGCACATATGACGGAAAACATTGAAACTTTTCGAGCTTTTAAGCTAAGTTAAGATGATGAACATAGAAAATATCTGTACACATAATCAATAATAAAAAAAGGCTGTATTCACATTTTAAATTGTTGTAACTTAGCATATAGTAACACAAACGTGATTTCTTCAGTGCTTTCTACGTAACTATTTTTGATTGACGACGTAAAATGAACTGCGTATTTATCAAATAGGGAACATGCAGCATAAGGTATTCCCGCTTCACAAAAAAGCAAAGGTTTTTGAAATACGTAGGAGCTAGCTATGGGTATAAGTTAACATAAGCTATTTGAAATTTTATTTAATATTCGAATCCCCAACAAAGTATTTCATAAAAGTAGGGCGTTTCTATAACTCCTCTATGTGGTTAAATTGTTTGGGAACGCTTTTTTGTATATGACTCTTCATTCATCTTGTTTTGCATTCAATATGTGCGCTGTACATTCTCAATTAGTTATTTTTCGTCTATTTAATTCTGAAAACATTAGTTTAAACCCAACTTTTAGATAAAAAGAAATAAACATTAAAATTGATGACAGAAAACTAGATTACGGCCAATATTTTTGGACGTTTATAATAAAAAAAGGGTAAACTAAAAAAAGTCACATAAACATTACATCGATATGGCTAACATATTCGCTCAAGTGCCGCTAACAAACCTTTATTTATTATTAATACATATCCACTGAACCAATTCATTTGATTCCGGTAGCGGCTTATTATCTTGATTATAGTTAACAGTAATTAACTACGCATAAACCGATATTAAAGAAGCCGCTCCAGTCGGACGAAGCCCTTTTTTAAATGAATAACTGCCGGTACTTTTTATCAAATTTCTGGATTCCTTCCTCGGTTTTTGTTGACTCGAACTAGCTAATGTTTCACCAATCATCCTGTGGGCTTCTTCAGAGCTTGACTGAAACTGGAGCCAACAACTGAAGAAGCCAACAGGATGATTGGCGAAACGTCAGCAAGTCCGACTCAATAAAAACCGACGCAGGAGGAATCCAGAAGTTTTATAAAAATTATTACAGTAGCCTGTGGAAGTTTCTTTGCCGGATTTTTATCTCTGCAAATAATTTCATATTAAGAAAAAAAAATACACATAAACATCGGTGTACAAAACCTGAAGATTTCCGCTCAATTACATATCGAAAATTGATATAAATACTGTTATTAAGATTGTCACCGGGAAAAATTCATTAGTCGACTATTTTTTAATCTATAAATCAGCAGATTTGTTGACGAAAATCAATTTGCTGCAGTATTCACAAGTACAAAGATCTTAAATTTTCTAATTTTGTTGTAGTGATTTCTGGGAATTGTAGCAATGGCTTGCTTTAACAAGATCGTTTTGGTGTTGGGCGGATTGGCTTTTTCCAATGCCTGCAATATTTTTGGTAAGTAGTCAAATTGGCACTATTGTCAATTAGTACACAATGCTAGATTTCCTTTTTCTAAATATTATAAATGCGTATTTTATCCGATTTGGGTGCATTTTTGGAGATATTTTTTGATTTGTATTATTTTCAACAAGTATCAAGAGGGGTGCCTTATTTAATTTCGAAAATTTTAGGTAAATGACACGTTTTAAAAGATTTTCCCTATTTTAGCATCGTGGCTCAAGTATAACCCTAAAAAAGTCTATCTATAAAAAATAATTCAGGAAATTTTTGATATGTTGACCAGCTTATATTACAGAAATTTAACAGTTTTTGTACTTAAACTAAAACCCTAAACCGTGTGACATATTTATTTAAAAAAATGCTGCCAGTGGTGCAAAACATATTAGTAAATTTAAGTTTGCTTACTATGACAAGCGAAAGATTCCTATCTACTAAAGTCTTTTTTTGACAAATCAATCACCCATCCTTCATTTTGGCTTTACAACATTTGCTTTTTATTTGAAATCACAGCTACTTTTGATTGAACCTGTCTAAAGTTCTTACAATATGTTACGTTAATTAAAGAAAGTTCCCTTGAGAAAGCTTACAATCAAAAATAGCTAAAATTGTTATTAGAAAAAGTCCAATCACCACAAAATATTACATATTGCTAAAAAATAATAATTTCAAACCTTGGAATATTATTATTATTATTATTACAAAGAAAGTTCAGAGGAGAACCTATTATACACATTGATAGTTAGTATCATGAGAATGTTATACATTTAATAAATATTTAATTATTGCTGTGAAACAATACACTGGAGAATCGTAAGAACTTATTTCTTGCTTTTAATAATTTAACTTTGGCACTGTCGGTAGAATATACAATAATTTAAAATATAATAGAGACTAGTTCTGAATATTTTTTTTATTTTCGGAAGAGGCAAATGTTTAGTGACAATCTTCTCAAATTTAAAAGCACAAAAAAAAGACATTAATTATCAGCTAAATTATATCTGATATAATTTTTTTTTGCTTAAACCGGAAAGAATTTTAATACTTTTTTTCCATCTAATTAGGTTCGTGAATTTAAAAAAAATAAGCAGGGAGCACCATATAATAAATTTAAATAACCACAAAAGACTACAATGTCGCTTCTCGAACTAATAATAAAAGCTACAATACATATGCATTTATGTTGTTTTTCTACTAGCAACTTCGGGCATTTCCGGGATTTTAGCGCACTGGTTTGGGAGCAATCGGATGTTTTCGGAGATATTTCTCAAACCTTGAATTTTGACGTTTGTCAACTAACGGTAGTAGAAAAAGTATAGTATTGAACACGTCCGGTAGACTTTTTAAGTCACTCGTTTATTAAACTCGTGAGTCAAATGCCGTTTACCTCACTTGTTGCATAATATACTATAATTGAAGTTTTCTGACTATTGCGCATTTTTCTGCGTGCTTTTAGTTGACGATAACGTAATTGCTTTGTAGTGTTTACTTGTTCTAACAACTAAATTGCTTCCAATTGCGATTGTTCCATTACCGTGTGAATGACGCCGTTTAACATTTTTTCAGTAAGTGAAGTAAGCGAAGGCGAAAAAAGCTTCATTGTGGACAAGCACAACGAGCTTCGGAGGCTTATAGCAAACGACGCCGTCGAGGGACAACCGAGGGGAGTGAACCTGAAAGCATTGGTATATATTTTTTATTATCCAAACGAGAAATCTGTATTATATGTTTTTCAATTTCAAGAAATACGACGATGCCCTTGCCGGAGCAGCTCAGCAGATTGCTAACAGCTGCGTGTTTGCCCATCAAACAGTCACTGATAGTAGGTGGCAAGCCGTGGGTCAAAACCTCTACATCTATATGTCGACCGCGTACGACACAGCATCCGACTGGGATTCCGCTATCCAGGACTGGTTTAACGAACACCAATTTTACACCTTCAACAACGGTTTCGATAGTGCCACTGGACATTATACGCAGGTACTGTACACACAACCTTTCCACGAACCTTACCAAATAAAGGCGATTAGAAAAAGTTAAAGTTAAGAGCCATTGAAAGACGTACTTACATGTGCAGCAATATTTTTAGTTGTATATTAAGCTCAGCTGTTCAAAAATAATGCGTAAGAAGACAGTTCAATCCCTTCATATATATTTTCTGCTTTCAATTCCTCCGTTAATAGATTGTTTAACTTTCCTTTATCAATAGAACTTTTCAATAGGGAGTTGACCATACTCAGACAATTAGCACATAATAATGACCACCGTTTTAAAACAATTAACTAATGATATTATACATTGAATGGCTACAATATGGAAAAAATTCATTAAAAAATTAGTTCTGGATTTCCACAAAAATGCTCGCACACATGTCGTGGAGTAAATATACTGGGTGGGTAAAAAAATAGATGTCGATATTTAGTTCCTTATTCAAAATGGAACACATGAGGAAAAGAATGAAATTCAGAAATTTTATTCTCAAATGAACAGGTAAGTAGTAGCTAGTCTAAAATGATTATAATTACTTGTCACTAAAAAAAGTAAATTTGGTGCATCTAAATGAAAATCATAAAATTGAATTTTTATGTTTTATTGGATATGACTCAATGAAAACTCAACAAGTTTATAAATTTTTTTACGCAAAATATCCAGAAAAATCTAATACTAGATCCACAGTGAGTAAAATAGAGAGGAAATTTGTAGAAACAGGGTATGTCAAAGATCGTCTACGGCCAGGTCGTTCAAAAACTGCAATGCAATAAGTGCAAGATTAAACATTCTATGAGAATTTGAGCATAACCCTGTAGCAGCTTTGGGAGTATCAAAAGAAGAAAAGTATCATCTCTTCAAGATTACATGACTACACGAGTTGAAGATTCTCTCGATCGCAGACTACAGTTTTGTTAAACTATGGTCAGGGATTTTGAATAACAAAATCATTGGAGCTCATTTCTTCGATCAAAATCCGACTGGAGCCAGATATTTACAATTTGTTCAAATTAATTATTACTCATGCAGTTTCTTTGTCAAATCCAAATCGGCAGTATATTCCAAATAGGCAGAATTGTTTTCAATAATTCAATTAAAATGTCCTGAAGAATGTCTTTGAAATATTTTTAAACGGATTAGTATTGTCAAGAAGTTAATGGTGTTCAACACCTAATAATATTTCATTTTACTGCGGATCTTCGAAAGGTTCTTTCTTGATATTTTGCATTAAATAAATTACAAACTTCATCTTGAGTTCTCATTTTGTATCCATATCCAATAAAAATTAAAATTTTAATTCTCAATTTAAGAACTTTACTAGTACTAGCTACTTATCTGTTGATTACAAAATCAAATTTCTGTTCTTCGTTTTTCTACAGAACTCGACAGTGCATTAAAAAAAAAGGAACATGGTATCAACACCTGGATTTGACCCACTCTATTTAGGGCAAATGAAAACATTATGATGGACGTGTGCGGCTATTTTTAATGAAATCCAATACCTGATTTTGAAACGAATTTGTGTGAATATCTTAGCCGTTCACTGAATAATTTTTGCAGGACTTACTCTAGTAAAAAGTTGTCAACTAGAACGTCAATATCAAATTCGGCAAAGGAAAGATTTGGATATTCGGATTGTAGAAATATTTTTAAATATTTAAAAAAAAAATAAACATAACAACTTTTTATTTCTCTCTTAGCTCGTATGGGCCGACACAGAATACGTAGGATGTGGATACGCAGCTTATGAAACGGACGACGCTTATCGTTACCAGAAGCTTTACGTTTGCAACTATGGACCTGCGTAAGTATTCAAAATCAATTATTTGTAGTTATGTTCAATTTCTAAATTCTTCTGGTCTCGGTTATAAAAACTATTTCAACCTATTTCTTCAGGGGTAACTACATAGGCCAATATCCCTATCAGACCGGCGACTCTGGCTGCGAAGATTTGTGTTAAGTATCCAGCTCACACTACAAGTTACCAAAGATACCTAGTGAACCGCATGCCAGTAGCTGAGAAACATATCAATAGTACCATTTCCTAAATATTTATTTATTTAAATGTGAAAAAAATAACATAGATATTTTATCTTCAATTGAGATATTTTTTAGCTAACCTTAACAAATCCACCATTGATTGCTATACCAAAAACGCTTGTTTTGAGCAAAACGTGATTACTTTAAGCTACACGACAAATAATTTGGCAAAATGTTATCGCAATGACTTGCTTTATTTGAAATTTCGTCATCATCAGAATAAAATACGGAATAAATAAATAAACCAAACTAATTAAATAAATAACCTATGTATGCAATAATAAATTTTTCAGAGATGAATTTTAGGTAAATGAATAATGAATGTGAATGAAAAATGGCCCAACAATGGTACCAACAATAAATATTTTTAAAATGGTGACAGTTTGGCTTATGAATGATGTGAATGTCAACTTGCATTTATTATTCATTATTTTGACATTATCAGAAAATTATAGACAGGATATAACTTGGAAAGTTTCACAATTTTCGGACTATTTAATATTCTATCGATAGTAAAGTTTGCAAGCAGTTGGATATTTGATTTGGTTATCCTACTCGCAATCAATATGAATTTTACTTCAGCAATACTGTTAGTTTACCTTACTTAACTTTATTTCATTCATGTTCCTAAAGCATACTCTGGCACAATCGCACAAATGTAAACATAAATGACAAAAACAGAAAGTCAAAAACAATTTGCACTATTGGGATTGGTAGGAAATCAGCCATAGTTAAACTAGCTTTAGCGCATATATTCCTAATAACATCAAGTAGTTTGTTAAAATATACTGGACCATAATGTACATTAATTTTATGTCGATATTATGTTGATGTTATTTTTATATCGTATATGATGAAAACGGTGTTTTAGACATAAATTGTATTCTTCAGTGTTTCTTTTTACATAAGCCATACATGCTAAGATACACAAAACTTCTGGATTTCTCCTGCGTGGGTTATTGAGTCTATTTTGCTAACGTTTTGCCAATCATCCTGTTGGCTTCTTCGGAGAGAGTTACAGTAGCCTGTGGAAGAGTCTTTCAAAAATTAAGATATACACAGATAATGAAGTTGGTGATTCAATTCTACAAACAATTGGCTGGCATCAGCCCTGCATTATAAGTCCGCCACAACTAAACAGCCCTCAACTATAGTGCTGTTTCATTAAATAGCGGATCAATGTTTTGTTTTCATTTTACCCACAACAATTATTGCAAAAAAAGGAAAGTCTTTAATACTTGTTATTATCTTTCTGATTTAAGCAATGTTTAAGAAAGGAACGAACGTGATTTGGGCCTTTACCTTCATCGTATATTCATTCCAATTTCATTTTCGGGTAAAGAAACATTGGCCATATAATCAATGCAAATTCCTCATAGTCCTCTTCACAAAGTTTTTTTACCGCATAAAATTACCTGCTAGGTCCCCTTGTGAACCATAGGTACAGAGAATCACTTTTAATTTTTGAATTGAGCTCTTCACAAGACCTTTGCTGGTCTGCCAAATTTTAAATCATAATTGTCTTTAAAATGGGAGCAAAAAAATTTGTAAGAAATTTTATTATCGGGATATTTGTGTCGAAACATTTCAAGCATTGTGATAATTTGCAATCCAGAAAACGCATTTCTCGTCTCGTGTAGTGGGATGTTTTTATAGGGTACAACTCAATGTGTTTACGATAAACTGACATGTGTTTTTATTGCATTTCCACTAATGTTTTTCTCACGCATTTCTCTCTGGCAATTCTTGCTTTTCGGTTTCAATTTCTAAACTTGAACTCATTTTAACCCCTATACCATAATTAATAGAAATGAGTCTAAACCAATACGAAACCAATAACGTGGTATTTTATTTCAGTACATTGAAACGAATATAACAACTTCACATTCGATTGTAATGAGGGTATTAGGCTGCTCAATCAGATTTTAGCAAACCCGGTTAAGCAGCGTGTCTCCTTTCTGCAACTTCGCGATACAGGTATTCATATAAATAATATAAGAAGTATTTAACGCAATAATATCATGTAAAAAAATAATCAAAACGTTCCATTAGATAGGAAAGTCGTAATAATACGTAAATAGTATATTATGCAACAAGTGCGGTAAACGGCATTTGACTCACGAGTTAATGTGACACAAGCGGAGAGCAGCGGAGCAAGTTTTTAGTAAACGAGAGAGTTAAAAAGTTTACCGAACTTGTTACATACTATACTTTTTCTACGGCCGTTTGTTTTTGGGTATGTATCATTCCTTAGTTTAGCCTCGACAATACTTAACGACTCCTCCAAGGGCACGTTGGTATATAGACTTTCAACGTTAAAGCTAATAAACTTGTCTGAAACATCTAATTTCACGTTTTTTAGTGCCCGGAGTTTTTTACAATCGTCAATAACGTGGACAAGCTTGAAAAATTATTATCGCTTATTCGAGTGTTAGAAAAACTACTTGCTTTAAAAATTCTAGTTACAAAGACAAATCCGTAGAATTTCGACTGCAGACTTTGAGGTAAGTGGGCTTCTATTTCTAGGTATTTGTTTATGATTCACAATCCTTTTGCTTCTCTTATTTTCCTTTTCATTAGATTTTATGTGTTATTGTATTTGTGTGTACGCCTCGTCATTCTTATTTTGTATTGTCTTCTTTTCTCCATTATTTTGTATTATTTTGTATTTTGTCAGTCACCCACCGATGTTTTCTTTTTCTGTATTTTCAACGATAAGTTCTAATTAGTTCTTAATGTATTTGTCATTTCAATTGTGTTCTCTTCAATCCGCCGCCGCAGATCCAGTTTAATTTGCTTTTGTACAGGTTGGCCTTTTAATTGTAAGAGATTTATCCTTGCCAGTCTTTTATTTGGTTGTGACTTTTGTTATCGCAATTTTATTATTGACATGTTTTAACTGATTTGACAGATTTCCTAAATCTTTGACTATAACCCGTTTTGCGTCAGCAGACGATTTTCAGGTCTCTGGGGAAATGTAAACTGAATCTTTTAATAAGATATTGTTAAGGGTGGGAACTTAGCTCTCCTGGAAAAGGTCTAGGAGAAAGATTAGTAGCTTGCAAAAGGACAGGATTCGCTAAATCCTGTAGTAATCTTCCATCAGGATCATAAAAGGACTGCCTGCTAATAATAATACTTCCGTATAATTGTATTGCTTTTATCCATTTTCGTTTATAAAATAAAAAATGAAAATATTATTTCTCTCATTTTGACCACAACTTTTATGTAACAAACTAACCTTTACTTCAAACAAGGAATCACCCTTTAACACCCTAATTTAGAAAAGCTGATGATATCCTGAAACTAGCACTCTTGCATCGCAATTTTGGGTAGATGCAGTAGGGCAAAAACCATTTTTTGCATATGTCAATCGGAAAAAATTTCAAGAAAGATTGGGATAGTTCGGTACAAGAATGATTTGACGAGTACACGAATACACTTATGCATCTGTTTTCTGTGGGACTATTTTACTCAGGTACTTATTTTAAAACTTTCAGGTTTCTATACACACTGCTGTTAGTGCAGGCTTTAGTACATATAAGTAGAATTACTATTTTATATAATGAAGTGGTGAAATAGGTAGCTTGCTAGTGTACTAGGTACGTATAAAAAGTTTTATTATCTCATTCCAGAAATTAACCGCGGTTTGAGTTTAAGAGGTCTTATTATTTATTATTTTGATTTGCATTATTATTTTAAAGTTTGCACATTTCTTTAAAAACTATGGTTATTTACGAATTCCACTTATAATTTCAAATAAACTTTTACGGCACTGCCATATTTTTTATTACCTATGTAAACTGTTACTGCATTGGTTCAGACACGGACAATTTTTACAAACATTTTTACCAAAAATTTACCAGAAAATATTCTACTTCAGATTCAGATCCTGCGAAATTCTAAGTAACTATCATTAAAATTTATGCACGAAAATCTAAACTTAAGTATAATATATTTTGAATCATATGCATTTTAGAAAATAAAGTTTTGGCTTCTGATATAACAAGGAATATATTGGAGGAAAAAAAAGGAAAAATAATTAATATATTTAAAATCCGCTCTACAAGAGTCCCCATAGGAAAGGTTTAAGCCAAAATATTCAGAAAAAAAATTAAAAGTATCATAAAAAAATGGAAGATAGATGAATTACCACAAATGTCATTTTTTCTATCCCAAAAATATTAAATTAAAAAATTAGTATTAGATATAACATTTTATTTACGAAATGATTTTGTGAAAAAGTAAATTTTCTCGAAGGAAAGAATAAAACATTGAAATTTTAATTTTCAATGTTCAATGTTTCGGCGCTTTAATTGGCCTTCTTCAGTCAAATAAATGATTTACACATTTTTTATTTATTGTCTATTCTCTTCTGTAAGATACCTAATTACAAAATAAACTAGCGTGCCAAAAATTGCAATTGCAAATCGGCGAAAGAAGGATATTTTACGTTTTCTGGGCTGACACGGAATACGCAGGTTGTGAAGATACATTTTCTGACAAAAATTGGTCATCTTGATATCAAGGTCCTATAATGGGGCCTCCTTTAAATACAATTTACAACAGCAATTCTGTCTTATGTATAAAAAATGGCACGGCATACTTTTATGCTGATGATACTCAGGTAATATATTCGTTTGTCCTCAGTACATAGTATACGGCACAAGAATTGATTAATAAAGATTTAAAAGCACCGACTGAATTCTCAGCACGTCAGGTTTGATAATTAATCCAACCAAATCATCTGTTATGCTCTTTGGATCGGTCTTTGAATTTAACATACAAGTGAGTGACAGAGTTTTGCAGTTACTCAAGTGAATTAATGGTTAGAAATTGTTGTTATGTATCATTTGATTGAATATTGAACCATTTTTAATTGCTTTCATTTCCTTTTCAGCAATTTATCTATTTATTTTTTTGTATATTGAATACAGCAGAATAAATGTATAAATATTATTATAAGCGTAAGTATTTATAGCATCTCAGTTTTGGTTAGCTCAAGCACTCGTTTAACTAGTAATTTAATTGAACAGGGCAGGTGTGTTCGAAGACGCTTAATTCATTTTAATAACCTTGGAATCTTTAGAAAGGGCTTTCTCTAGGCAATCGTTCGTGCAGTGATTGCCATTGATTACCTGGCGTTTTGTAATAAATAACTTTACGAAAAAAGATCAGTTGCAACGATATGTCTTTTATGTCCTTACATAATCAAATAGTAGCTCAACGAGTCAAAATGGCATCGCAATATAAAGATAAAGAATAAAGATTCGAATCTAAAATGTGAATAAAAGAAGTTTAAGAACCGGCTTCAAGAAGAGCGACAAAAAGATTGAACCTAAGAGTACTCAGAACTCTCCGAAGTTTTTATGGTCAAAGAGGCAAAAAAACTATTTCCAAGGGACGATCTATTGGACACGCATTGCAATTACACAATACATAAGCTCCAAGAAGCGGCCAATAGAATTAATTAAAAAACGCTAGTTGTTTAGATGGTGTACATCCCAAGATTGTAAGATATGTGGGGCAGAAACTACAAGACATCTGTCTGAATCTAATGAAACAGTTGCTGTTGAGAGGGGAATTTCTGAGAATATGGAAAAAGGCCAGACTAGTCCACCTAGAAAAGCCTAAGAAGCGTGAACCGGGTCTATCCTATAAGTCTCTGTGTGTGCACACTGCTGAAGCATCTTATCAAGTAAAGACTCTGCTGAAATTAGCATGCGTTGCGGTTTTGAAAGTACCCAGTTTGGTTTCTCGAAAAAGAGATCCACAGCGGACGCAGTCAAAAGGGTAATGGAGGAAGTGGACGAGGGCAAAAGCACCGCTTGGCAGAACGGGAAACTATGCCTGCTGGGGTGTGACTCTGGAATTCGTTTTATGTGAAGAAGGAGAGACTATTTCGCTAATGAAGGATTTTTAAACTCCTAAAAATCGCATCCGTTGCATATTTATATATTTGTTTTTTTTTAGCGTCGATTATTTTACCTGTTTATTCGAATTATGTCAAAATTAAGGAAGACACAATAATTTGTTTTCACAATTATTGAAAAGGTTGGAGTTAAAATAATTTTTTAAATTTAAAAGTGTGTAGCCTTCCTACTTTGGGCGAATGGCTCCAGTGCGTGAATGTGACAGTTCGATTAGGTTCCGTGGTGGTGGGGTCACCGCTTAGCGAAGGCACTCTTTGACTTTGGCCGAGGGTGAGAAGACGACGTGTTAGTGGGTCAAGGCGAGCCGAAATAATTTTGAAGAAAAACGCCATTACTATCACGTTAAATTCTGTTTGCTCATGTGGTTGGTTATTCCTTGTTATGTGCTGTCGGCCCCGAGAAAGGTGTTAAGTTAATATCGTTCTGTTCAATCGTGGATGTCATATGGCACATTCAAAATGGAAGTTCTGGTATGTTAAAATTTAAATCTTGACTCATCGATCTATTTTCATAATTCATTTCAACATTTTTCAGGTTAGAAGTTAACTTTGAGCACTTATTTACGTCCTGACTGCCGTATTTTTGTTCATTGAGGATGCGATGCTTGTAGAACCCTTGTATAGGTAAGGTTCTTTGTTTCATGCCGATTGCATGTCAATTATAGTTTCGATTGTCGTTATATCTTAACGTAATTTAAGGGTTCTAAGACTGGGTCACATTGTTGGTAACTCAACCTGCAAGTTCCGGCTCAACTTACTGCCTATCGAACAGATCCCGCCACTGTGACACTAGTATCGTTTGCCAAATGAGCACTTCACCTGCCCATCAAAAAGAGTTGAATGGAATGTAAATAACAAAAACAAGCAGAGTAAATTAAAAAAAAAAACCTATCGCGATCTTTAACCTAAATTTCAACCATACATATTTACAAGCACAATATATTTAATATACAGGGTAACTGATAAATAACTTATCGCATATTAATTGATAATACTTTCGTTTACAAGTTTTACGTAGCGGGAATCCCTTGATCAAGTGGTTTACAGCTGTATTTTATTTATTTTAAGTCAACAATTCGGGAGTTAGTGTTGTAATTATTTATTATTACTATTTAGAGGAGTAAATTTACTGCGTTTTATATATTTTTTGATTTTCATTAACAATTTGCAAATAATCTTTCCAGACGAACTCTGTATAAACGATGTACCCTTTTTATTTGCATTAGTCAAGTATCAAATTGTTATTTTAAAACTAAAACAAACACCTTCATGTACGCATCTCAACAACGGAGTACAAACTTGAACTTATATCTAACTTTCATTGAAACAATTTAATTAAAATAACATCGGAAGGTTATCAGTTGTTTGTCTTTCTAACCACCTAGATAATTTATAACACCGTTTAAAATAGAACCCGTTCCAAGTCGCAGGCTCCAATACCAACATAACTAGGTGAAGGCTTGGTGGCGCCCAAATCATTCTACAGAGAGTGTATCTGACTGTAGTCGAACAACGATCCAAAAACTCTGAAAAAAGACTATCCGTTGTAGTTTCTTTTATTAAACCCAGTTTAAGAAAAGGGAACGTTACAAGTTTATGCATATACTATTATGTAATGATTTTTCTTCTTCTTCTTCCTCTTCCTCTTTTAGAAGGCGTATCGCCTGTTTAGTTCCGGTTTCCTCCTCGTCTAAGCAACTCTTGCGAGGTTGACTGCCAACTATCTCGCCAACGTTTAGGTGGTCGTCCAGTAGGTCTTCTGCCATGGGATACGTTGTTGCGAATAATTATGGCCATTCTGTCGGGGCTCATTCTACTGACATGCTTCTCTGCCTTAGTCATCTGGCAACGTCATTTGTTCGGCACTTTTCTCTTATGTCTACATTTCTCTGTCTGTCCCTCAATGTGTATCCAGTTATCATTCTTAAGGTCGTCATTTCAGTAGTTCGTAGGATTCTCTTTGTTACTGATGTTTCAGCTCTGGTTTCCGCACCATATGTCATTACTGGTCGTACGCAGGTTTTGTATATTCTTGACTTACATTCTGAACTCAAATGTTTGTTTCTCCATATGGGATATTTAAGATGTCCTGTTATTGCGGCAGCTTTATTGGCTTGTTTCCTTACATCTTCTTCCAGGAATCCAGAGCTTGTAATTTTGCATCCCAGGTATTCGAGTGACATTATCTGATCAATAGTTTTGTTTTTTATTACCAATTTGCACCGTAGAGGCTCCTTTGCCAATGGTCATGCATTTGGTCTTATTTGTGGAAATTTGCATGTTAAGTTTGTCTGCCTGTCTGTTAAAAGCTTGTAGCATTCTTTGGAGGTCGGCTTCTGACTCTGCAATAAGTACTGCGTCATCGGCATAGCATAATATGTTTACTTTATGTATTCCCATTCGATATCCTAATCCAGTATTCTTAACGGTTTTTATTAATTGGTCCATAATTGTGTTGAATAGCAGAGGGCTGAGACTGTCGCCCTGGCGAATACCAGTTGTAGTTCGGAGATGCTGCGTTAAGGTAAAGTTTGTTCTTATTTGGGTTGTTGTGTTTCTGTTTAAGTCCTTGATAAGTTCTGTGAGTTCTTTCGGGACATTACTGCTTTCCAAGATGGTGATAATGTTTTTTAGTTGGACTCTATCAAAGGCCTTTGTTAAATCTATAAAGCATATAGATAGGCTGGAGAGTTATATTCTAAAGGTTTTTCAGCCAGTTGCCTGAGTATGAATAATGCATCGGTAGTGGAGCGGTTTCTTCGGAATCCTTGTTGTTCCTCGCTTATTGGCACTGTTGAGGAGATTTTATCCGCAATGATCTTAGTCAAAAGTTTTAGCGAGGTGCTCATTAATGTTATCCCTCGATAGTTTGCTGGGTCTGTTTTATTTCCCTTTTTAAAAATGGGTATTGTTGTACTTTGTTTCCATTCCTCTGGTATTTTCTTATATTGTAATATAATGTTAAACAGTTTTGTATATTCCTCTATGATAGCCGTGCCCGCGTTTTTTATTAGCTCGTTTGGCATTTTAACTTGATTAGGAGATTTTCTATTTTTAAGTTTCTTTATTGTCGCTTCTACTTGCTTATAGGTAATTTGCGCGTGATCTTCTATATTATCTCTTTAGCTTGTCCCTTGTGCTTCCATTGGTTTATCTGTTTCTGCGTATAGGTCTCTGAAATATTTTTCCCACGTATCTTCTGCAATTGCTCTTAGTTGTATTGTTTCATTTGTTTCTCGTTTCAGACCCCTCAACATCTTCCAAATACTTTTTTGTGTTCCGTACATATCCGCCTCCATTTCGTTACTAAATTGCTGCCAATATTCTTCTTTAATTTCTCGTACTCTGTTATTAGTCCTGTTCCTTATTTCGGTAATGATTTGTTCCTGTTCCTGCAATGTTGTAGCTTTATTTTCTATGTTAATATTTGTTTATTATAAATAGTTTCCTTGTAATAATAATAAAAATGCTACAACGTAGTATGAGTTCAGATTATTTTATTGTCTAAAATATCTATTAACAGTTTGTGACCGTAAAACCGCAGACATCATGGCCCAAGGTTGTAATGCATATCCTGAATCCTCTAACCACCATTATATTCCTTTGACATCGAATGAAAGAAACAAATATAATTAAAATATACCTTGAAATAACACACAATAACGCGTTTTACCACAAACCGAAACTCAATCTTACATACTCGACGCGCGTTTCGCCAACCAAGTTGGCATCTTGTCCTGAACCAACTTGGTTGGCGAAACGCGCGTCGCCAACCAAGTTGGCATCTTGTCCTGAACCAACTTGGTTGGCGAAACGCGCGTCGAGTACGTAAAATTCAGTTTCGGTTTGTGGTATAACGCGTTATTGTGTGTTAGTACAGTGCCGAAGGTTCCAGTCAAGAGTTTGATACCTCGAAATACATAGGCTGGTATAAAAATAAATTAAGTGCTGAAGAGTGCAACTTTTTTATCATATTAATTCAAAAACAATGATTGATATATCACGTACAGTGAAGAGCAGAAAATAAAACTCTATAGACCTTACCTGCAGCATATTGAGTTACCATTCATCAAAGCACGCCATATAAATGCATAATTTTTCTGCTGAGCATCATTATCACACCGCCTGTTCATGCCGTGTGATGATTGCTATATGAGTCCTATTTATACAGCCAATAATTCCTGGGAATCCACCTTTTTCCATAAAAGCTCTTTTAATTTGAGAATTTCCTTGTTTAGCTTGGGGAAAACAAATCCAATGATTAGACGGTTGTGGAACTATACTCTATATATACACCGATTGAGGGTCTGTTGACTTGCTGCACGCAAGTATTCCTCGGCCACATTCCTTTGGTAGGACCTAAATGAGAACTAGCTCCTTATTTAGCCGAAACAATTCAATGAATCTCTTCTTTTGCAGATTAAATGGATCACTTTTATTTCCCATTACCTTTTTTGCAATATTTAGATTTGAGATTCGTAGTGGATTCTCCTCCTTATGCAGTAAATGTTCAAAAAATAGGATAAGTTTTTTTTTGTCCCAAGAGGTTTCAGGATAAAATACGAACATAACAAATACCTACCTGTAATGCAGTTATTTTGTTCTATATTTTATGCTAATTTAAATTAAATTAAATGTACAAAAACCAACTAACAAACATTAGTCAACCAAAATGAAAAACGATTTTTGTTTAGGTTGGGATTTTTTCATCATTGTTTCTGTTTTTAGCACGTGCAGTATAATTATCCATGCCCGACCGACGAAACGAATCTTGGCGAAATATAGCCGAGAAGTCTACATAAGTGCTTACGGAGGAACCTCGGTATGTAACGACGGATTCTCTTGGCGTCCGCATCTCTTTCGCTTAGGAATATGATACGAGTTACAGATTCTCAGTCCTGGTAACGCTGGAGGGGTATCGTGCAAAAGGCACAAAATGTCTCAATACTTAGTGAGCGTAAAAAAGAGTTATCCCTCGGAAATGGTATTACTACTATTCCGGGTCCAGTGTTGCAAAAGCAATAGGAATTGTTGTGAAAATGGCGGCAGACAATTGCACAAAAGGTACCGCGCTGAATCTTACAAATAGATTCGAACGGAGAACCTTGTGTCGAGTCTATTCTTGAAATTTTGAAAGGGACAGTGCAGTGGCAAGAAACTTTAATTAATTTAATCGCTGCCCAACAACAAATTGCTGAGTCGGAGAAACAAACAAAGATGGTGATGACGTCATCGTCACATTCACAGGAAATGCCAACTCCCAACATTCAAATTAACCGGATAATAGTGGTGAATGGTTAGAAAACGCTAAGAAATTAAAAGGCAAATTAAACGTCACCGATAATTTAATGATCAATAGGGCACGCGAGGCTTTGAAAATTCGAGGTTATCGACACTGTTGCGAATGGCGGCTGAACCGCCGAACTTGGGAAAATTTGTGTGCTGATATGATCACTGCGTTTCCTGATAAAGAAACACCCGGAGCTCGGGAATTTTAAGCTGGCACCATGCGTAGTCGTGATTTTGATTCTTTATATGATTATGGCAACAGAAAATTCGAACTACATACAGGTTTTATGAAAAATTTCCCTGCGACAAGGATTTAAGTATAGTTGAATATGGCTTAGATCACGCAGAAGTACATACATTTACAACTAGCGCAATCCAATCGTGAGGTTTTGATATTACGAAGTGAATATGATGCAAGACGATGTGTAAAATGTGTTTTGAAAATCGATGACATGCGTAACAGAAAATTACGTTTAGGGGAAAAACAATAGGTTAAAATGATCATGTTTTAATTGTGGCCGCTAAGTACACTATCGTGATACTTGTCGCAATAAACACGAGGCACCAAACGTAGTTCGAGAAGAAGTTCCAGGTTCATCCAAATTTCCAACTTACAACCATTGTAAGAAAATTGGCCACGGTGAAAGTGATTGTTGGTATAAGAATGGGAAACCCAAAAAGACATTTTTATTAAAAAAATGACGTCATTTGAACACAACGCCAGCAGCGACGTTATTGAGCAAAAATAGTGCGCTCTGATTTTCTTATGTGAATGATAGAGGTGCCGATAAATCTATTTTAAAGCATTCTGTAGCTAAAACAAACACCTGCGAAATGTTAAAAACTGAATTTATTAAAACAAAAGCACAAGTGGCGGTCAAGTGTTCCTTTGCATCCGCATCTTTACTTAAATTTCGAACTGTTTTTGGATTTCATCGCGCACTGGCTGGATGCTGCATTTTATCTCTTAAAAGATTAGAACTTGAAAAATAATCTAAATTGCTACAAAACAAGACAAACAACAATAAGAGCAAGTGGAACGGACCAAAGGTGATCTCGTCCCTCCCCCGCGTCCCACACGCTTCCCGCTTATTGGTCATCGCGCGCCGAAAACAAAAGACTATACTGCGTAAAATAGAGGATAAATACGGTGACGGAACAGCAATTGAAAAATTATACAAGATGATGCGTCCAGCAGTAGGTGATTACGTGGAGCAGTCTGGTCTACGCATTTATATTTTTTGGCTTGCCACGATCGACTGAACTAACAGACGCGATCGACCTGTTGGCCACCCCTGGAATAGGCCTTCTTCTGAGTGCGTGGCACATTTTTTGGGTAACGTTAATTACTAACGCCAATTTTGTTAGAAAATCCGGGGCACCAGTTTTTATAATTGTTAACCAAACCTTTAGAAACCGAAATTAGTGAGAATTTCTTATAATTTTTAAATGCCTTCGCAATTTGTTCGATATATTCTTGAATAGTATAAAATCGATCTGTTTTATTAAGCTGACGTCTGATTAGCCTAAAGTAATCGCGTGGCATATAATAATTTTCTCTCACGCGAAAGTATATTTCTTTGAATCTCTGTAGCTCAAACAGACTCCTTAAATAGCAAATCTTTGGTTTTTATTTTGCCCACAATTATTGAAAAAATGTAGTCTTTTATACTTCTCTTTCTGATATAGGTAATGTTTAAGTATGAAACAAACGTGGTTTGCGTCTTTACTCGCCTCTTCTTCATGGTATACGCAAGCAAGCCATATTTTTGGGTTTTAAATTGTGAATTCCAAAGGTGCAAACGATCGGCTAGCGAAAATAATATAGATCCTGTACTGGAATTTCGAGTTGGCCATATAATTTCAAATCATAGTTTTCTTTAAAATACGACCAAAAATGTTTTCAAAAATTTTATTATCCGTATATTTTTGTTAAAACATTTCGAATATTGTTGTTGCAGATAATGTGTTTACGTATATTAATAATAATATGTGTTTTTATTGCATTTCCACTCATGTTTTTTCGACGCATATCTCTCGGACTTTTGTAATTTTTCCAGAAAGATACAATACGTTCGCAACTTTTCTTAGATATAACGCAAGCGGACGAAAAGAGCCTTTTGCATGTCTGTATTCTACTGTTTCCATTGAGTGTGTGTGTATTTCTACCCACCTTTTGAAATGCAAATCATGAGTTTCCAACTTACAAAATGATTGAAACATGCTTTTGGTCATCTGCACTTAATCACTTAATAGCGTAAATAAAAAACTCCAAAGTGCTCCAAACGCACTTGAATGTATTTGTAAATCCCGCGTGTGTACATTTAACCTTATCAGAACTATAGAAGCTACTGCAGACAGTCCCACCATAAATTTACGACTAGCGACCACAAAATAGGAATAGGAATTCATCACCATCACATTTCTCTTATAATTGTCACTATTTACACCACCTTTTTTTCTTTTTTTCGCTACTTCTGATTCAGTTTCTGAACTCAAACTCATTTTAACTTCTTTACTTTGGCGCAATATAAATGAGACTAAACCAATAGCGAACCAATCACGTGCGCATGCGCGAGATTTAAAATTTCGTTTTTAACCAATTGCAAAATCTGACTTTCGATCCATAAGACATTGCGGCTTTCAACAAACAATAAGTCTGGTGATAGATCCTTAATGATTGGATGCAGCGTTTTTACGGCAGTATTTTCTCAAAATTTGTCGATTCTTATTAAATTTTCAGACAAAAAAGAGCTAAGGTGTGCAAAAAAGTGTTCTGTGAGGATTTTTTTTTGTTTTTTATGCTATGTAGATACCAATCAAAACTCACCAAAACTATTTTTTCCGAATGTATGCGTGTAAATTTGCACAAAACGTTAGTTTTCCTAAACTTGTAAGTTTAACCTCTAGTCGAAATCCCGAAATATGACTCTTAAAAGGCTAAATATGATTTTGAGATACTAGATATCGCAGAAGAAATATCTAAGTGGAAAAAATATTCAACAAGCACCTCCTATACACAAAACACTCATTCTCAATTCTCATTTTCAAATTGTTTAAATTAATATAATTGGTATATTTAATTCAATACGTCGAAGAAAGTCCTCATTTATTATGGATTTTTCTTATTCACCCACACCCGTGGTAAAAAATCTTTTGCAAAAGGTTTTGCCATTTATTACCATATTAGAAAATTTGAAAAATAACATATAAATCAAAATTCCATCAAAATAGGCAACCGTATTTTAGTAGACCCTATGTGAATGTGAAATAATTTGATACATTTTTATCAGCCTGGTTTGATGTACACCAGAAATGATATAAAATAAATAAACAAAATTTTTAGAAAAAAAAGGTACCATTTGGCCTGTAAATATAGACTGTCAAATACCAGAACACTAGAATTACAACTATAATGGACAGAAAACAAGTAACCAACCAAAACTAACCCAATTTACTACTGTAATTTTTACAATATATGCAATTAAAAAAGGGCCTTGTAATGTAACCCAAAAACTATTTAGTTATAGAGAGGCAGGTGATCCTTACGAGTCAAGGAAATAGTTTACTCTCGAGTCAAGCAAGGGTGGGGAAAATTTGTGCGTATTATATTTTTCCTACACAAGTAGTTCCGAATTGATGTACAAAATCAGTATCTATTGATAGTACTGTTTCTATCTAAACAGTGTAAAATTGTGTGTGTATGTATTGTAGTATTCACTCACTGCCCTAGGGAGGTAGGTGTCGAATTCCTGATAACTCTCAAAAATTTCCTGTATTCGCTTCAGACCCCCCAAAAATGTCTTGCAGATATATCCTTTGAATTGTTTCAGGTGCAGCTAAACTTGATTCTGGTAATCATAAGAATTGATATACTGGACTTGACTCTGGACAACAGTGGGGTCTGGAATCGATGGTGAAACAGTTGGAAGATATGGTCTTGCAGTCAGAAATGAAAGGGGTGAAAATATTTCTGTTGAACAGAATCCCATAATAGGAAATACATTCGTCAAACTACACTCATAAAGATTGTACACATGAAAATTCCCGGTAAAGAAAACGCGCAATCATATAGATTACATTCTAGTCAATCAGAGCATCAGAGTATGCTGACTCTGATCACAACCCCGTCGAAATGGGCTTTCCAATGCGAAGATTTAAAAGAAATAACACCATGGTGCAAATTCCTGAGACTCAAGCAAATCAAATAGACTGAAAATTATTATTATTATTAAATCAACAGAATGTACTGATGTGGAAACATGCTGGACATCAATTAAAGAAGTGTTGAAAGCGCAAGAAGAAAGGTAAGACGATTACAGAACAAAAAGAAAAAAGACGATAACCCAGAGTATTTCGGATCTCATTGACGAAAGTAGGAAGTTGAAGGCAAAAACAGGAGAATATAACGAAATGAACACCGCAATCCGCCGAAACTGCAGAGAAGCAAAGGAGTTGTGACTAGCGAATAAGTGCGAAGAAATAGAAACATTACAGGAAAGGCATGACCCATTCAACATGTTTAAAAAAGTAAATGAAATGACAGGCACAATACGCCAACATCAAGTGCGCGTCTTGCATAATAACAACAATTAATTGGTGCTGGACACGCGGGAAAAATTTCAGATTTGGAAAAAGTACATAGAAACACTCTTTAACAATGAAGGAGCAAGTGAGATACATACAGACAACACCAATGAAGAGAGATCAGATATTGTTAAGAACGAAGTCTTGCATGCACAAAGAAGCAACCTGTCCAGATGGTATCCACTTAGAAATTGTTAAAGATATCTCAGATGACGGTCCATGTGTCCTAGTGCAGCGATATAGAGATATGAACGTAGATGTCTATGCATGCAAAGCAAAGCATTTGACTGTGTCAAGCATCAAAAAATGACAAAAATTCTTCAAAAACTGATTGATGGGAGAGACGTGCACTTTATGACCCAGCTCTACTGGAATCAGACAGCTGAAGTCAGATTAAAGGGCGAAGTATCAGAGAACATTGGTATTAGAAGGGGCGTCAAGCAAGGATGTATCCTCTCACCACGCTTGTTTAATCGTTTCTCCGACGATGTTTTCAATGAGACAGTCGATGAAAGTTTGGCAGGAATAACAGTGAATGGAGTTTCGATCAATAATATAAAATATGCTGATGATACTCCTATTCTGGCAGCAAGATCCAGGAACTCCAACGTATAATTGACCAAGTTTTCCATGTCAGCGAAAAGTTTGGTCTGAGAATAAATGCTGGTAAAACCAAATTAATGGTGGGGGCAAAGTCAAACAGGCCACCAGAAATTTTGAGAATCTATAGAGTCGCCCTAGTTTCTAGCTTTTGATATCTCGGAATACTCTTGAAAGACGAATGGAACCCAAAAAAGGAAATAGAACAATAGAGGAACTTTTGTCCCAATGAGAAACTTCTTTTGACCCGTCCACTCAGAATTTGAATGGTTGGGTGGTACAAATTCTCGGTTTGGTTCTGAATGCTGGACTGTTGACCCCGCTACGAAGAATAAAATTGAAATTTAGAGCCAATTGGTCGTAATGATTTATTTTTATTAATTTTTTATTTTCATCGTGTATTTCAGATTTTAGTTTTGCAAATAATGAACTTCTAGCATCTTGAATTGTCATACCAAATTGTATAGGTGGTTCATTTTTAAAAGGTTTTAATGAAAGCAAATCATGAATTAAGCAATCAGTTGATCTTCGATCACTAAACGTTGCGTTTAAAGCCTCTTTTACTTGTGCCCATCTTACTAGTTCACTTCTACAGCATATTAAATCAGCAGCACGATCACACAATTTACTTAAATTCGTATCGAAGATACAGCTATTTACATGTACCGTTACATTTTGGAAAGCCCTTATCAAAATTATCGCAAAAGTTAATGAATCTGGAATGGAATGTTATCTGCTTGATAAGAGCGATATTTGCCACATTTTGATTTTGTACTACGTCCCTATTAACTTTAAAATTAATCTGTGTGAAGCAATCTACTAAACCTTCGATATTAGGTTCAGGCGTAAACTATTAGGTCCAAAAATAGGTTTTATGAATTAGGAATTTTAAAGAAAAACTTTCTTAAAAGCAACAAAATGGCAAGAACAAGCTCATTGAACACTTACATGTCCTCTCTTAATTGCTACAGCCTATGGGTGTGAGGTTGTACTCATGGCTTCCGAACCTAATCATTGTCCAGGTCCCTTAAAAATGTGATTCGAGGTGCACCGGCAGTTCCCACGAAGTTTTTGTTAGTTCCGGCGATGTAAGCACTTTCCCAAATTTTTCACTCCGGATAAACTGTCACCGACTGTTCTGCATGTTCGGATTCGACAATTAATCGATAAAACGAAACGTACGAAATGTCCGTTTAGCGAATCATGCCGACTGTGCCAGTTTGGTGAAGGGATCGTTCAAAACAGTAAAAAAATAAAGTAAAAAATTTTACTTTATTTAAAGTGCAACTTTAACAAGCACTTGCATTTGATACACTTATCAGCAACCAAATCGGCGAAGCTACATTTTAATTAGTCAGCGTCTGCACTTTATCAACATATAACTCGCGCATACCTCCATCATATTTTTTGTTCATTTTTTGCAGCAAATAGAGATAATATACAGGAAGGGCAAAACCAAGTTAATTTTTTAAATGTAACAAAATTTTATCATTAATTTTAATTTTATAATTGTATTATATTATAATTTTATAACGTTTTCCTTATACACTTTTGATTGTATATATCCCCAGAGAAAAGAAATTCAGTGAAGTAATAACTGCAGACGTTGCTGATCCCTTTCTACCAATCCATCAGGCCGATTTGGATTTGGGAAAGAAATTGCGGGCGTAGAAATTAAGTCATTTTCAAGAAACTGTAAATATCGGGCTGCAGTAAACTTTTGATTGAAGAAATAAGCTCCAATAATTTTGTTATTCAAAGTTACTGCCCAAACATTTGTTTTTTGTGGATGTTTTGTATGATTTCCTCTCATCTATCGGAGATTATTTGTACTCCAATTCCTACAATTTTGTATATTCACCGCACCATTTCAATAAAACGTACCAAAACTGTAGTCTACGATCGGGATCATCTTCGTTCCGCTCCTGTGGTAACGCAATTTTGAACGGAGGATACTTTTCTTCTTTTAATACATGCCATGTTGTTCGTTGGCTAACATTATTATTTGAAATTTCTTCAAAAGATACACGATGGGGATTATTCTCAACTTCTAATAAAATATATAATCTTATGTCCCCATTAGTGTTGATCTTTCAGATGATATAAGTTTTCTGTCATCATATCTAATCAAAAACAAAATTTCAATTTCCTGGATGTGCTATATTCACTTTCTTTATTGACAGAAATGTAATTATGAAATTTTAAGAACTTAACATATTCAATTCAAAATTAAATTTCCGTTTTTTTATTGGGTAATTGTTGAATTAGGTTAATGTTGCGTTTGGGTTAATGTTAAGTAGTTGACTTAGTCAGCTAGACTTCGCCCTTTGAGAAAATATGTGAGAATATCGACTTTTTGATCAATCCTGTTTACTTTCTGTTTACTGCAAAAAAATGTTAACCAGTTTTTATTTCTTTTACTAACATTATGAATTAGGAAAAAGATATCGAAATGCGGTTCACTAGCGTATTAAACTGTGTTGCACTTATTTTTTTTAGGAAATAAATTTCATTTATTACGATGTCGCAAACCGTGCTCTAGCGGCGACACAAGAAATCGAAATTGATCTCCTCAGGATAGAGTCCTTTTCAACGACTCAAAATTTTAATTAATTAATTCTTATATTTTCGAATTTTATCACCAATGAAAAAGAATCGCATGTGTCCCAGCTTTACCACGGTGTCAATTTAAGCTAGCTGTATTATAAGACTATTTCTCGAGAATGAGATTACGCCCCCTGGCGCCCATTCCAGAAACTTAAAAATTATTTCCAGCATTTTATCTTGGCCGCTTTAGTAATACATTTTTTCACACCAAGTATTTACACTAATTGCTTTTCGAAATTTGAAGTGGTCAAATAAAATAATTTGCGAAACACCTTTAAGAATGACTGGCTAAAGTAGATTTTTGTCGGAAATTTTAATATTTTCGTTAAAAGAAAACGTGGGATAGAAATCTACTTTCAAGTGTGGAATTTATTAAGTCTGTGTTTTTTTACACCCTCTTTGCATTACCAAATCATCAAATTCATAAAAACGCGCGGATATTTAATAGCAGTTCTGAGGTACATTTTAAAATCGCGTCCCATGTCCCATAATTACATGGTAAGAAAAAATCTCGTCAATTACTAGAAATAAAATATTTGGACTGTTAAATTGCTCCTGATTCCAGTTGCTGCAATTTATATTTAAAATTAAAATCACATTAACCTTGAGCATGAAGATTATTTATTCAAATCGGCAAAATTATTTACAGTCCAGGCATCGATGTATAAACAACTCGTAAACGATAACTGCGATAATGTTGCTTCTTGTTTGCTTATGTGTGACGACAATAATATTGTTGGGGTTTAAATATTTATATCAGCCCTTAAAAGGTTATGTCCGATCTAAAAAGTTGCTTAATAAGCTACCTACTCCAAGGGGTAGGCTTCCGATAATTGGACATTTATTGCAGTTTATGTGCTCACCAGGTAAGTGCCTTTATCAATTTTCGCGAGGGATAAATTATGGTGTACATAATAAAGGATTTAGGTGGAATTCCAAGAAATTCCGAAGAATTTCAGTGGAACTTCAAAGAACTTGCAACACCAAGCTGCATTTTATGTTTCAACATATTTTTATTACCTGTGAATATTTTTGAAAGAAAGATTTCTTTGAAAATAAAAAAAACCACTTTCGAAATTTTCATTCAATTTGAAGTAAATTTGATAGTTATTGTCCTTTTTTTGCGAACAACTGCAGATTTTTTTTACCCACTACTCTAAAACATGCTATTACGCACAGATCAAGCACGCAAAAATTGAAACATTATGATGCCCTCCTCGTTGCCTATGCTTATTCAGATGTTTGCGGTACCTTAGTCCGGTGTTTAAAGAGCTATCGTATTCCGACGTTTCCCAGTTCTGACGGTCACGTCAAGCGTCACTCACTAAAAAGCCTAGGTGTCACTTTAAAAACGTCAGCTTTATTAAACTCTGTGGTGAGCCAAGCGAACGTTTCCTACTATGTCGTAGGTCGCGACTTCAATTGTGGTTTTAGTGGTAACATGTTTTACTTGTTTTGTTGTTTTTATCTCCACAACTGTTCCAATTTTCTATATCATTAAAAATCTTTGAGCGATAGATGAAGCCGATTTTTGCTGTAGGTCTTTAAAAAATGCTCACTGTTTTGATTTCTTCTTCGATTGCTTTAATATCCTTTGTAGATTAGATTAGATTAACAGTTGGGAGAGCTAGCAGCCAGCCTGTCCGTCACTGCGACCCACAGGATCTATTGTGACTCTCTCCGTAGCTATAGGGTTTTATCCAGGTTCGTCTCTCTAACCAGACTCCACAACTTCGATAATCGCTCCCTCATATAGCTCTCTGCCTCTGGTTTCGTATCGCCCAGCAGATGGAAACGCACTCTCGCTAGGCTTTCACAGTGGCCCAGTACGTGTGCGGCTGTTTCCTCCTCTTCGGGACAGAATCTACATTCTGTGTTTTCTTCCACTTCCATCAGGCTTAGATGCCTCTTAAGCCTGCAGTGACCCGTCAGCAGACCTACCATTATTCTTACTGCTTTTCTATTGTAGCTTAGTAGATCCGCTGTAAAATTGACCGATGGGCCCCTTAGGAATTCCTTGGCCTGTCTTTGCCCCGGCATGTCCCTCCACCATCGTCGGGATTTTTGTATGGGTATGTCTAATCGACATGACTAAATATCTTTTATTGTGTGTTATTTTCAATATTAAAAGAACAAGCTCGTATCGGGCTCGTTTTGGTCTAGAACGCTAACGCGGATATCACCCACCGGAGTTTCGCACCCATGTTTTAAGGTTGATTCAGTTGATATTACGTTTTGTGGATTTGAATATATATCGGTAAAGTGAATTTAAACAACTCCGATAACTAGCGAGGAATTCCAGTAACAACCTGGTAACCATGTTATACCAGTTATTATCTTGAAATTTCACTTTTTGTTTCCTCTTTTGTGCCTATTAAGCCTTTTATTTCCGAGCATTATAAATGGCTCCATCAAAATAACAAGCACTAGTTTGTTCGGACAACCAGCAACAGGCATTTTCTTTTGTTAATACCTCCAAGAAGTTTTTTTCTGGTCTTCCAAGTTGTCAGGCAACTCTCCAGGAATCTTAATTAAGACTTCATCAACATTCATTAGGTACGCGCTTTGACGGCAATAGTTTATAAAGGAACCTGTAAATACAAAACAAAAAAAATGTTCGTAGTCTGCTAGTCAAAGTAGCCTCGTTTGACGGTTATACGTCTTTTAAGAAAGACTTTAACCAATTTGAGCCAATTTTTTATATGGCGGAATGGTCGGAAAGTAGTAACGGAGCATTACTTTTCACTGAAAACGGCAACACTGCAATATTGAAAATATTTTAGGCAGTGAAAAGTGACAAAATGAAGGGGGTGATAATTTGTTTAAAATAAAGGGTAGTTTTTTATACAAAGCTCAACTATTAGGGGGATTGGGCATAAAAATAGTGTTTATATTTGTTATCTTAGAAACGAAACGATAAAACAACTAAAATGAAAACAATGAAAATTTACGTTTAAGTATGATGAATATAACCTAGATCTTAGACATAAACCTACTCTTTCGTTCTGTTTCCAAGTTTCTAAATTATATAATAGAGTTCTTCCAGACTTGAAAAATGTATTCAGGTTTCAGATTAAAACTTGTATAATGAGATCAATTCAAAATTAAGTGTAATTATTTTGTAATTACAATAAGGCGTATTTATTATTATTGTTAGTATTAATAAAAACATTCTAGTGTACTGCTGTCACTTCTTAAGGCGTTTCTTATTATCGTTTTGTTTGACATTGCTCAGTTAGTTTGAATACAAAATACTACTAACATAATTAAAAATTATCATTTAATTGTTCACTATTAAGATTTCCAATTCAATAAGGCTAAGTTACACAAATGCGCAAATGGCAATGCAAACGGAAATTCCTTGAATTGTCGTTATAGTTTCAGAAATGTTTCTCTTTCTCTCTGCTGGTTTCATGAGGGTCATGACCTCTTTGGAATGCCTCTATTCTATTATTTTTTTCCATGTGATTGCGTAAGTTTTTCTTTAAATTTAGTTAAGCAAAATCTTGGTAGTAGTATAAGTCAATCTCTTCCACCCATTTAGAAAAATATATGTGCAGAAAGAATGTTTTTATATTGGCAAGTCTTTCGTAATATTTTATTGCTCTATTCATTTTTTAAAGATAAAAAAAAATTTTAAAGATAAAAATAGAAACAATATTTTTCCGCCATATTCGTAACAAACTACGCTATATTTCATAAATTTTTAATAAAAAAAACATAGTAATAAAGTTCAAATATGATTTAGCGCAGTGATAAAGTTTGTTTCATTTAAACAAATATATTTCCCAACACTCGTAGAATATTGAAATTGGTAGAACACACAAATAAATGAGAATTATAAAACAGAACCCCTCATCAACTTAGCAAACTTGGTTAGGAGCTTGAACTCAAAATATATTTTAGTACATTTGCGAATTGTCTTTTAGGTAATTCCTTGCTAAGTTTGTCATCAATTTGATGATTTATATTTAATTACTAATTGCAATCAGTCGTTTGTCATACAGATCTCGTACGAGTTTATACTCTACATCTTTATGTGTCAAGCGTTTGTGTTCATATTTCAAAGATAAGTGTATGCAAATGCCTAGATAGATTAACAGTGGGATGCCTTCATAGATTAACAGTGGGATATTACGGATAAATTTCAAGTCCGTCCAATTTACAATTAACCGAGTATTATAAACCGCCAAAGATCACATGTTGCTAAGTTGCACATTATAAGAAATAATAATAATTTAAAATTTAAATAAAGGGGACATGATTGTCAGTCGGTCTAAATATCCTTAAAACAAATAGATAGGTCCTTGTTCCGTAAATGAAGTATTATTTTTTGTTGCAGCCGAATTTTTTCGAAAACTGACAGAAACCGACCTGGAACTATTCCCGATATACGCTGCTTTCATCGGTCCAATAGTCAGAGTTGTTATATTGGGACCAAATGAAATAGAGGTATTAGAAGTGATTATATTTTTTACAAGTAAGATGCTAGTCAGAGACTATAAATGCAAATCTCTGGTATTAAATTAGGTAACAGTTTTCTTTAAAACCCCACACGACTTGCTCAAGTGTAAATTCAATAAATTGTCTTTAACATTCCTGCTACAAAGGTAAGTCGAGTATGGATTGAAACACGCGATTTGACACAAGAAATTTGACATCGCATTACCAAATGTTAATATCTAACAAATAAAAGATGACCAATCGTCTTGGTTTTTGCACGAGAAATGAGAGAAATGAAGAATTGGGGAAATTTTTTTATCACAGTATTATGTGGGTTCATGAGGTTCATATTTCAAAACTAATTTGAAATATACACCGGGACTCAAAAATGTACATATCACATTTATATTTTTTCTAATAGAACAATTGTACACTTTGTAACATGGAACGAGTTGCTCGTGGTTAAATTTACTGCTTAGCTGAAATATTACAATTCTTTTTCTTAGAGTGCCAGTCCGTTGCGAATATTGGCGATCGTTGTAGCGGTCCGCAACAATCCGGAACAGTTTTGTAGGTGTTTTGTTGAGCCAGGTCCTGAGGTTCTTACGTCAGGATGCCCTGGACCTGTTTGTTTCAAGATTTTTCCTTGTAAGATTGTCTGCAGCAAACCGTATCTTTCTTCGTTTAGCCACTTCTCCAAACTGTTGAATTTTGCGGATGTGGTTTCATTGCGCATCCAAGATTCTGCATCATGAAGGAGAACGAAGAAGATATAGCCTCGTAGGAGTATTACTTTAGTGTCCAGAGTAAAGTTAAAAGTTGATCTGACTTTTTCTATGCCAGCTTTTGCTTAATGTGTGTTGCTCCAGTCCTTAATATAATGTAATTTGTTTGGGTTGAACATAGTGACTTTCTGTTTTGCTGATTATCATAAGTTTGGTAATATTTGCATTCACCTAACTGTGGTGCCTAATTTTGTTCGCCAGGGCTGCAAGTCTTCGAGACGCTATGGAACCCCTAGCTTTATTTTTACATAATCTCTATGTTTCCATTCCGCTATTGGGTACCGACCTGGTTCCAGTTGAGGTTCCCAATTATTTAATTTAAGTCTTTGTCAACGATACCGGTGTCTTTCAATATTTTGACTATCATTTTGTGATTTATTAGATCAAATGCCTCTTGGTAGTCAGTCTCTCAGGCACGCTTATACGTCGCATTCCCTGTATCGGCATCTCTAAAATAAGACTTGCACTGCTAGTAACGACCGCCTCTCATACATCTCCCATGGAAGACTTCGAGGAATACTCTTATTGATTTTCGGTTGTTTATCTAGAATAATTCTTCATTCTGATTCTATGATGTTTCCTAGTTGTCTGTTTTCGAAATTGCAAGTGAGCTCTTAAACTTTTCGATGCAAATTTCTATTGTAGTGCTTTGATTTCCTCGTACTTTTCAACCGCTTCTTTTTCGTTAGCTTCTCTTATTTTGTATCTGATAGCAATCTTTATTGTTCTATAATTCTGTGGGTCATCCACCGATTTTGGTCCTGTATTTAGTAGCCTGTTGTCGCTCGTGTCAAATAAACTCGTGAGTCAAATAACGTTTACCGCATAATATACTATTTCATTCAAACTCTAATTCTGTTTCTCTCTCAAAGTCGTCATTAAGCTTAATTACAATAGGCTCCATGTTATTTTGCATGCAAATGTTAGTATCTTTTATTTTTAAAATGTACTGAGCTGAATTTTCTTGAAATTCTTGATGTTACTTGGGTTTCTATGGGTTTCCATACACAACATTATTACCCATCTGTACAGCTAAACTATCATATACATATTGTTTTTAATAGCATATGAATAGCACACTTGCAAAAGTGTGCTATTCATATGGATTCAAAATAAACCATCATTTTGTCCCAAATTTTAGTCTTCTATTTGGTACTGTGATATATCCCAAATATTTTCTAAAAGACAGTTTTGCATTTGTTTGTTTAAGCACTTGACCAAGGTATAATATAGAAATCATAGAAAACAGTTTCGAATAAATCCCTCTTCTCATCCAATTATGGTGATGCGTTTTCCCTTCTTTGAAGGTGCTAACAGTTTTTGCTGGAATCAATCCATCCCTTGGACGCTGGATCTCATGTGTATTCAACAGAGTTTAATCTATATAAATTATACTTCTGTTTCCCGGTCTATACTTTTTAATTTCCTGAAGGTAATAAAATCCCAAGCAATTAGTGCGATTTCATTACCACATCTTCTAGATTTCTTCTGCGTCGGGTATTGATTCTGTTTCGCTGACGTTTTGCTAAACATGTTGTTGGCTTCTTCAGAAAGCTGTCTAAATATGCATATGGATTGAACACTTCCAAATGTTACCCTTTCTTGAAATTTCTTTGAAGAATTCACTACCACTTGTTTTTCAACTATTTTTCGGTATTTTAATACTATTTTGCAAATAACTCTGGAGGCTAACATTTATATTGGTTTCGTCTTCTTCTAGTGTCCTTTTCAGTTTATCTGTAGTGAGAACCATCTGGGTCTCATGAAGGAAATATGTTTTATTTTTTATCATATCTTGTTCACTATTGTCCAAATGGAGTTATTGAAAATCGGAACATATTTTATTGGCATATTCGAAAGTACGTAGGTACATTTTGAAGCTTTTTGTTTAATGAATGAATGTGATAATATATTTTCATATACTTTGTAATATTTAAAAGCTTCATAAAACCAGATCCGGCTAGATATAAGTAATATAATTTTTTCATATAATCATCAGTTCCCTATCAATATCTTGAAGCTAAATTTAAAGGAAGATATATTTCTTTTTTAGTGAAGATATGTGCCTTTGTAGTATGGTACGAAACGGACCCAAAAAAAATTACAGTTCAATGGTTGTGGCGATCACACAAATAGTTTTCATGATATCAAATTTCGTACCAGATATGTAGAGTACACAAAAAGTACGAAGATTTTACTTGAAAAAAAAAATGAAAAATACGACTTTTAAACATATTAATTTGCTAATTCTTTAACGATCTTTAAATCTGTGGTCTCCAAGAAATCGATCTTCTAGTTATATCGATTATGAAATCATATATTTGAACTTTTTATGTATCATGCATTAAATATCACCGAAACTGATATGTGCCAATTTTTACCAAAAATAAAATTTTCGGACAAAATAATACTACATCATATATATTTTTCAGTTGCATTCTGTTATGTTAAAATTTTTCAAATGTTTAATAACTTAATTCCACATATCCGGAATACAAATTACATTATTGGAGTCTCCTGAATATTTTTAACAAGCTCTCTTTATAGTGTATGTGTATTTTCAATTGTTTTTGAGTTATTGACGCTGTTTTGGTGGTATATTTTGTAGAAACTGAACGCTTTTAAAAACCATTCAACTTAGGGCCAAATGACTTTAACATTCCAATATTTTAGTTTTTGACAAACTATCGTGTGTTGTAAACTGCAAGTTTAATTAAATATAAAAAAACATAAAAATTCAACTGAAAATGTAATGAAACTAAGTTATTTTGCTCTACATTGATTTTTTTAGTTTTATAGGCGCTTAAAATAGACAAAAATCCCTAAAATAAACTTTTCAACTGCCAAAAACTCTAAAAAAATTAGAATAGATTGAGTACGATCGTGAGTTTCCAGAGATATTTAAGAGAAAATAAAATTTTCGGAATAACTTTTTTAGAACTACCTTGCATAGGTGATATCACTTTTGGGCAAAAACCCCCACAACGTTTGTATTCAACATGTCTAAAATATGTAGTTGCGGCTGCAAACATTGTACATTGTACATTGACCATCCCTATATATACAATCAGAAGAAATATTGATTAGACGTTAAAAGTTTGGACTTTGATGTCTTAAAAATGAAAATAATGAAAATAAAAGTCAATATAAAGTATTGCTACTTATTTAATTAATTACTTACTTATTTTGATTTGCTAGGATTGAGATTTAGCCCACTGTGCATTTGTAGATTTAATGAAGAATATTTATCTGTATCTATAACATTATTTCTGAATATGAAAAAATAAATTACACTATTTAGTAAAGTTCATTGCCTATAGGAATACTAAAAAATTAGATTCGGGACTGACTAATAAAATAATTCTACCTTTTAGAGTGTCGTTTCCACGATGAAACATAACAGCAAAGGAAAAGTATACACATTTCTTAGCAACTGGCTCGGGGAAGGACTTTTAACTAGCGCAGGTATTTGTTGAATTCCATTTTAATTATCATTTTGAAATTCTAGTGTCACATTTTTATGAAATAATTTAGCATTCCGATAAAACAAAGTTTTTGCAGGTATAACTTACAAGGCGCCTTTAACTTTAGCATAATCTCAATTTGTCCAATTTTTGCTAGTTACGATTTTCCTATAACAGATCGCCGCAGTTCGCAATAAAACACGTTATTTGAATCCAAAAATATCTCTAGGGAGACGAAACCATTTCTACAAATCTCCCGCGCAAATAAGCAATCTGGTTGATTATCTGAGATGTTTTCTTTTATTTACTTTCACAAACTCTTAACTGGTCAATTATCTCCAATCCTTTTTGGTGAATATTAAATATACCTTATGCTTACCTATGTACAGCGGGACAGCCACATCGTTACGATTGAGGATCCACGTTTCATTACCAAATGTAACATTTCACTTTTTTTGGTCCAATAAATATTGTTAATTTTTGATGATCTAGCCATTTCAATTCTTGACGGATCATTTCATAGCACAAGTAGATGTGTAATGTAGAAAATATCATGGTTTTCGTAGTATTTATTTCTAGACTCCTTTTCTCACTGTGTTCAATCAAAGTATTCATCAGAATCGCCAGCACCACGATATCATCGGCGTACCCTTTGTTGTTGATGATATTGCCATTTATTTGACTCTTCAGAGCGGTTCTGTAGGGGTGTTTTCATTATCTACAGTATGCACTCTTTCTCTGTTCACAGTTTTGGTGTACTTATGTTCTGATTGTACGCAACATCAGTGGCTACAGTATATGTTACAAATCATCATTATATTTCTGCCATCTAATTTCTGTACTCTACCAAGCTTACAACTAGATGCCTAGGTCTTGTTTACAGCTTAGATAACTTGTAGGTATAGATCTTCTGGAGTTCTCCTGAGTCGGGTGTTAATTCCGTGTGGCTGACGTTTCGCCAAACATGCCGCTGGCTTTTTTAGAGCGGGGCCTGAAATTGCAGGCAACTTGATACCTGCGGAGGAGAAATTCAGTAGGTGTGTACTTAGAAGTTCCACAAAAAAATAATTTCAAACACAAACACATCCTGAAAGATAATTTTTTAAATTTTTTAAAACACATAAATTAAAAGAATAATTTTAGTTTCTGTCCACTGTCGACATTATGTGATGAGTGATCGGCGAGATCCAAAATATACTGGAGTTTCCGACATTTTATGCTGTCTATCAATTCTGGTTTTTATACATTTTAAGTAGCACTTCTTGGTTAGTAAGTCTCAGTGTCTAATATATATTTTTAATATTCTTCTGTATAGCCATGGTTCAAATGCTTTCAATCGATTGTTTGCGATGTTATACGTATACATTTATGTATTTCGGACTTTTCCGTTCATGTTGAACGGCACCGAATTGCGAACAAAACTAACCAGAAACTAACCAAGATAAGGATACAAGTCAGAAACATGCTACACAGATATAAGTATAACTTCGTATCAACCAGATCAAAAGATTTGGTCTTCGTAGGGTGCTTCCTTAGAGAATTGTTCAAACGGAAGCTGGTGCATCATAGCGGTGAGAACTTTGATGTAAGGAACATTAAGCGTTCGATAGGTATCTCTTACTTGTCCGGTTTCTGCGTTTTTTCAGAACTCTGTCTACAAGCTTAGATGGATATCCATTCATTTCAAGGTCATCCTCGATATAATTATTTTCTGACTTAGCGACTTTTCTTAACTACATTATACTGGAGCTCTGTTCACCAAGGTTGTAATGCTGTGTGGCTTTCCGCTATACCGAAGTCCGAATACGATTAGCGTTTTGTGGAGTAAGAGATCTCTGAAGGGGAGAAAGCCAGTTTTTTCTATTCTCATGGTAAATTTAATGGAAGGTTGTGGATTGTTGACATGCCACAGAAAATTTTACAGTTGCTCATGGTTTCCAGTTAAGGTTATAAATATATCATCAGCGTGTTTTACCAATAACTTTGGCTTAGCCTTGAAGTTTGTCAGCGTCAGGTCTTCAAACTATTTCGTTGAGCACACAAGGAGCCCTTTCAAAAAGGAAACTCTTGAACAGTATGCTTCAAGTGCAAAAGCAGATCAGACTGAAAATCATCAAAAATATTTAAAACAAGTGATAGACCTAGAAAGACAAAAAAAAAATTAACAAAATTATTGAAAAACAAAGCTGAGGTCTCGTTTTGATATAGTAATCTGTCCTCAGTAATAAATAACGTCATGAGTATAAATTAAGAGTATTATCTACATGTCCTACAGTAGTAATGGTAACAGTGATGATACTGACAACAGTTTATTATCTCTTAATGAATACAGCATGTTTGGAGAGGACCGCCAATTGCAAAAAGGTGGTAAGGTATGCGTTTTCGTAAAAAATCAAATAAGAGGACACAGTGTAAGTTGCAGCATATCCCAAAAATACCATGATCCACCTCATAATTGATCTGCAATTAGATAGATTTAAGGTCATGGGTGCATGTATTTATAGAACAGGCTCTACCACAACTCAGCAAATAAATAGTCAACCAAAAACTCAACTTTTTTGTTTGGAGATTTTAACCTGATAAAAAAAAGCAAGACTACGGATATGTGTCAAGAAAATAATATCCACCAAATGAATAAACTTTCCAACCTGATATAGAAACACTCAAAGCTCTCTTTTCGACTTATTTTTGTGCAGTGGGGACAAAAGTAAGTAAAAGAACCCCCTGTTGGCTGTAGTGATCGTATTGTTATCACAGCTAAAACGCAATTAAAGCTCCCAGCAAAACCAAAACACAAAGTATTAAGAGGAAATTTTCATCATGCAAAATATGAGAACGATAGCTTTATCGCGAAACAACTACATAACTTAGGTCAAACAAATTTTAAAAGCTTTGAGCGGATTCTGAAGCAAGCAGGAGAAAGATACTTTCCACATAAGACTGGAGCACAAGCCATGTATAAATCAAGCACTGTTTAAAGAAATAGACAAAAAATGCATAACTCAAAATAAAATTGAAGGAAGCTAGAAGGGCATGGTTTAATAACGTCAGAATCTCCAAAACAGATCTATAAATACATAATTCTTAACTTGAATTATTCACAGGTGAACTCTTTGAAGATCCTATAACGCAAGAACTTTTGAATGCCAAAACCATGGCAGAATAATTAGCAAAACAACTCAACAAATGCTACACTCAACATACCCATTCCCCAATTGCCAGCAGCCGCTAGAGTACAAAACACAATAAACGAAATCCATTTCACTGAAAACAAAGGTAAATAATATACCAACGTTTTTTCTTCAAAAGTCTAATGAAACAATTAGTTCTCGCTCTCTACTGTAATCCAGGAATGCATAGTGGGAGAATACCAAAACACTGGAAAATGTCAAAAGTAATAACATTATTCAAAAATAGCAATAGACAGAAACCCGAAAACTACAGACCTATCAGCCCTACATGTAACATTATTAAATACATGGAAAAAAATAATAGTGAAAGAGCTAACGACTATCACAAAATGGATTCCACCCTAAACGCTTTACTGCAAATAACTTTCTGAAATGTTTAAATGACTATAAAAAGGCTTTTCACAAAGTACCACATAACTTGTTGCTTGCAAAAGATGTTGAAACTAATTACAGATTCTCTAAGTGAAAGACACTACCGGGTGAGAGTAAACAATGTTCTCTCCAGTCAACAATTGGTCAGTAGTTGCCTTGTTCAGGGTTCTGTGTTTAGACCACTGTTGAGTTCAAAATTATGTAAATTTCTTTTTAACTTTCTGTATCTTAAACATGCCGGATATTTCAGTCAATGTGACAACAGGGCGTTGTACGCCAAACCGGCAAGGTCTACGTTTCTGCTAGACTAGTCACAATTTTGTAGCGTTACGGGGTAGGCGTACACGGCATGGGTCGCGACGTCGCCGCAATGTGAGATACAGTCCATTTATAGAAAAGAAAAATTCAATAAATATTAAGTGATTGAGGAAACGCTTGTATTATTGAAGAAACATAGTGGTCCATCGAACGGGATTGTGATCCATCGAGTGGAGAGTTCAATTGCGAGAATTATTAAGTGTTCCGCCAAAGTGAAAAACGAGGAAATTGAGAAGTACAGATTGTTGGATCATCTGGATTCGCAAAGAAAATTGTGTGAAAATTGTGAGGGAAACGTTTACGAGTCCGTAAACGAACGCCGGCAAGCAAAAAATCGCAGCTGAGACAAGGCGGTGCACAAAGCATTGTTTGAAGGTCGTCGTTGCGGTGCCGTGGAGTTTATCGGCGAGTGCGGCTCGGCGTTGGAAATTGCACGTGCGGGCCGTACGATCACGCAGCGTTGCTACGACGCGACGGAGGACGAGACAGTAAGGGCCGGAAAAAAGTCGCCGTTAACCTGTAAGTCGATCCTTTTCAAACCTTTGTTGGATTTTGTAGTTTATGGTCTCTATTTTGTGTGTCAAAAATCAGCAAAATGGCTGAGCAATTAAACCAATTAATTAGAAAGCGAGCTAGTGTAAAAGGGAGCTTATCTCAATTTAAAAGGTATTTAACAAATTTCAATGTGCAAACTGAAAGCGCATCTTCAGAAAAAGAAGTGTTTATGCAATTGCAATTTAGAACAGAGAAAATAATCGAGTTATTAGATATTTTTGAACAATATCAAAGTGAAATTGAGGTAATATGTTCGGAAAAAGATTTAGAGAGCCAATTTAATGAAATGGAAGTTTTCCAAACAGAATTTTACAATATTGTCGCAAAGGCAAAAAATATTTTGGGTGATTTTAATGATACGAACAACAAAAATGAGTGTTTGCAAAATATTACGCATTCGGATTCCAACTCTGTCATTTTTCAGGAAAATTTACGGCCAAATTCTAATGAAACGATGGGTGTACGATTACCTTTAATAAACTTACCAACGTTTGCTGGAAACTACTCAAAGTGGTTGGAATTTAGAGACACGTTTGATAGTTTAATTCACAAGAATAAGTCGATTGGCGACATTCAAAAGTTTCACTATTTGCGTGCATCACTTGAGGCTCCAGCAAAGGAGGTAATTCAATCATTAGAATTTAGCGCTTCAAATTATGAGATCGCGTGGGAGATTTTGTGCAAAAGATATGACAACAAGCGTATTTTGTTGCAGAATCATATTACGGGGATTTACGATATACAGCCCATAAAATATGAGTCTTCTTCAAGTTTGAGAAATTTTATTGATAACGTAGACAGGAACTTACGAGCCTTGGAAAATTTGGGAGAACCTGTTAAATTTTGGGACACGTTAATTTTGTATCATTTAGGCACTAAACTTGATCGCGTAACATTAAAGGAGTGGGAATCTTTTAAAATAAAAACAGAGATGCCTGAGTTAAAAGATTTTAAGCAATTTCTAAAAAGCCGTGCAGACTTGTTAGAGACCTTGGAAAACAATTCGCGGACAAAATTGAAGGAAAATTTTACCGGGCAAAAACAAAGGGTTTTTGTTGCTGGAGTTGAAAAAAGCAAGTGTGTTATTTGTAAAAGCGGTCATGACATCAGCGAGTGTAAGAAATTTTTGGAGTTAACAACCAGCCAGAGAATTGCGCAAATAAAACGAAACAAATTATGCATGTGTTGTTTTTCAAACAAGCATTTTAGTTTTAATTGTCAAGGGAAAAAATGTTCGCAGTGTGGTTTAGGGCATAATGTTCTATTATATTTTTATAACCAACGCCAAACTGAACATGGCAGTGGTGAAAGTGCCCCAATTGCTGACGTGCAAAAGGCTGTAGAAGCGTCTTCAAAGGAAGGAAGTAAAACCTCTGTGGCGCTATCGAGTAGAAATTGTGGGACTCAAGGTCAGGTGTTACTTTCTACAGCGCTTGTCAAAATAAAAGATGTGAGTGGCAATGTGCATCATTGCAAGATTTTGTTAGATTCAGCTTCAATGAGCAATTTTATCACTGAAAAAATGTGTGACAGACTTCAGTTAAAAACAAAAGATGCGAATGTGTGTGTGGTTGGGATTGTCAAAACACTGAAAAGATTTCGAAAAGGTGTGAAGTAGAAATCAGTTATCAGAAAGGTGATTTCCAAATTCCTATCAGTTGTTTAATCATTCCGAAAATTAGTGATGAGATTCCTTTGTGTGAAATTGAGTTAGGGCCAATAAACATTCCAGGAAATATTTGTCTAGCAAACAGTGAATTTCATTTGCCTGATGAAGTGGATATGTTAATTGGTGCAGGTGTGTTCTGGAAACTCATAAGAGTAGGAAAAATCGAATTAAGGGAAAACAAACCTGTCTTACAAAACACTTGGTTAGGATGGGTAGTAGCGGGCTACATCAGTGGACAAGGATCGCGAGTCAAACCTAAGAAAACGGTGTGCAACCTAAGACCAACTGGCCAAGTTTTGGGAACTAGAAGAGCCAGGTCGAGGTCAAATCGAGGGAATGACACGGGATGAAGTTGATTGTGAAAATTTGTTTGTGTCAACAACAAGACGTGATCAGGATGGTCCATTTGTTGTTGCAATCCCATTGAAAATGAGTATTGACAAGTTGGGAGATTCTCGAGAGATGGCATTGAGGAGATTTTACTCTTTGGAGAGGAAATTTGCCAGGGACAAGCAGCTACATGTAGATTATTGTAAATACATGAGAGAGTATGAACAAGTAGGTCACATGACTCAAGTAAGTAAGGACAGCACGAATGAAAGGTGTTATTACTTACCACATCATGCTGTGAAAAATGAAAGAAGTTCTACAACAAGGTTAAGGGTTGTGTATGACGGCTCTGCACAATCAGACTCGGGTGTGTCACTTGACGATTTGCAATTTTCGGGGCCAAGAATTCAAGATATCATTTCAATTTTGTTGAGGTTTAGACAACATAAAGTAGCATTCTGCGCAGATATCGCCAAAATGTACCGACAAGTATGGGTTAGGGAAGCTCAACGCCATCTACAAAGGATACTGTGGAGAGAAAATCCAGCAGAAGAAGTCAAGGTCTACAATTTAAACACGGTGACGTTTGGATTAACCTCAAGTCCATTTTTAGCGGTAAGGTGTTTGCAGGAACTGGCAAAAAATTGCTAACAAACGCAGATTTCAAAGGTAATTGGCAATTACTTCTACGTTGATGATTTGATATCAGGGGCCTCGTCGATTCAAGAGGCACTTCAGATATGTAAGGGTGTTTGTGAAGTTTTAAAATCTAGTGGGTTTGAGCTCAGAAAGTTCAGTTCGAACAAGAAAGAGTTCTTGGAACAATTTGGAGTAAGACCCAAGGCAGAATTACAAACTCTTAATCTAGGAGAGCATCAACACAAAACTTTGGGATTGTATTAGGACTGTCAGGCAGATATCTTTACCTACAGGGTGAGGGAATTTTCAAGTAATTCAAGTACCACAAAACGGAAGATTCTGTCAGAAATTGCCCAGCTGTTCGATCCACTTGGGTTAGTCAGCCCTTGTGTCATCATTAGAATTTTAATATGACAAAAAATTCCCAATTGTGTTAGACCCAAAACATCCATGTACAAAATTGATTGTTAAGGCAGAGCATTTGAGACTACTGCATGTAGGCCCTCAATTAGTGCTCAGTTCATTAAGGGAAATTTATTGGCCACTAAAGGGCAGAAATATTGTGAGAAAGGTGGTGCATGAATGTGTTGTGTGTTCGAAGGTTCAACCTAGGTCCTTTGAAATACAGATGAGAGACCTACCTAAGTCACGAGTGATCCCACAATTTCCATTCAATACCACAGGGGTTGATTATACAGGGCCGTTCAATTTTAAAATAGCTTTGGGATGGGGCACGCCTTTGTATAAGGGGTATGTTTGTTTATTTATTTGTTTTTGCACAAGTGCAATACATTTAGAGGCTGTAACAAGTCTGTCTACGCAAGCATTTGTTGCAACTTTCAAGAGATTCGTGTCTAGGAGGGGCAAACCAGAAAAAATGTTTTCAGACAATGGTAAAAATTTTGTGGGTGCTCAGACAGAACTGAGAGAGTTGGGAAAATTTTTGCGTAATAATCATGTCAGTTTAAAGACATTCATTGCGACAGAAGGTGTTAATTGGTCTTTTATTCCTGCATATTCGCCTCATTTCGGGGGTTTATGGGAGTCAGGGGTAAAAAGTGTAAAATACCATTTAAAAAGAGCTGTGGGCAAGGCAAATTTGACTTATGAGGATTTTTCTACTTTGTTGTGTCAAATAGAGGTCATTTTAACCAATGTCCTCTGATCCTTCTGACTTGGACGTTTTAACCCCATCCCATTTCCTAATCGGAAGAAGGGCAACCTCATTACCGGACTCACGATTGCTCGAACAACCTGAAAATAGGCTTGCTAGCTATCAACGTATTCAACAATACCAACAAGGTTTTTGGTCTCGTTGGTCACTGGAATACATCGCTGAACCTCAGAGGCGCGTCAAATGGAAGGCTGGCGGGGACACTTTGCAGGAAGGGACATTGGTGATTGTGAAAGAAGAAAATGTGCCTCCCTTGTGTTGGAAAATGGGACGCATGGGTCGCGACGTCGCCGCAATGTGAGATACAGTCCATTTATAGAAAAGAAAAATTCAATAAATATTAAGTGAATGAGGAAACGCTTGTACTATTGAAGAAACAACCACTACTATTTGGAATGTACCTGATGTAGTTAATTTGGTCGAAACAAATTTTAAAACTCTGTTTGTGGCAAAAAGCTCTATGCTAACCCTAATCTTGATACAGCAAAGCTCCTGGGAGATTTAGACAGATGATCCTAAAGTGCAGTACTCAGAATCAGCTCAAACAACAGCAAAAGGAATATATACTGAACAGCACTACCTAATACAACCCATTTTTAAAGACCACTCAATAGGAGAAACTGTATAAAAAACATATTCTAGCAAAATTCGAATATTTATTAAAGACATTGAAATGCTAGCAAAATTCAGACAATCCAACAGAATTACAAAACTTGAGCTACACTGAAAGATTAGTCAAATTCCAACTCACCGCTCTGTATAAAAACTATATTCTAGTAAAATTCGAATATTTGCACACAGTGTGGAACCCATGCTACCTTAAAGACAAAAAATTCAGCCATTCCAACAGAATTACAAAACTTGAGCTACACTGAAAGATTAGTCTAATTCCACCTCACCGCTCTAAGGAAAAGAAGATATAGGGGAGATCTACCAGAGACATTTAAAATGAGTGTGTTGTGTTTTTAATCCCAGTGAAAATTCCCAACTTAAAGGACATTTAAATTGAACAAAGAAAAGTCAGCCAAATTGCAAAGAAAATAATTTCTGTCGAATCGGATGATGCACTTGTGGATCTCGCTTGCTTGCTGCCCCTTAAAAACCAATTAGACTAGAACAAAAACAAACAATAGCTTCATCGGTTTTACCGCCTGTTATTGGAACATTACATGATTACATGATTACATATATTGGCAACTATTGGAGACAGGGAGAATCTCGTCAGCAATCCATAGCCTTTTCTGAAAAATTGTTTTTTTACTGGAACCAAGAACTATTCAGGCAGCATTCCAGCAGGTTTCAGATTATTTTTAATTTCAAGAGCGCCTTTTACTGGTACATACTTACACAAATTTTCCACCTTTAAGCTTTAAGGACATCAGAGTGAGCGATTGTGTCTATGATTAGTTCAACAAAATGGATCGTCCTTGCTGCTTGAGAAAAACTTATGGGTCCAATCAGATTACTTTCTCTACGATACAAATTACTTCCATCGATCATGAAAATGTAAACTTAATTCCCTAAACTAATAATAATAATGATAACTAATAAAATAATTCAGTTTTTCGGGTGATTTATTTTTGTACTGTTTTCTTTACATTTCTCTATTATCGGTTCTGCAAATGTGAAGTCGTGAACCTTTCGTCTCTTATCATCTTATAATAATGTTATTCACTTTGCAGGCGCAAAATGGCAATCAAGGCGAAAAATTCTAACACCAGCATTTCATTTTTCCATTCTAAAAGAATTTTTGGGAATTTTCAACAAGGAAACCAAGTCACTAGTGGACAGGCTTCTAAAGGAGTGGCAAAGACCATACATTGATATTATACCCCTAATAACAAATTTTACTCTTTTATCTATAAATGGTAAGTTTCCTGTGAACTGGTAAGTGCGGGATCTATCCGTTTATTATGGAATGACCTCAGAACTTGTAAAAAATAGAAAGAAACTTAAGTTATGGATACGGGATGATGTAAGGGGTGTTTTTTTTCGATGTATAGAACTTTAAGTTGCAATAAAACAACGATGGATTACTCGATTGACATGAATTTTATTTATCCGAAAGATAATATTGTGGCATTACATTTTAAATATGATTTTTGGCATATGTCCGCCACGGCTGGCGCGGATGTAATTCAATCTGGACGTCCAATTTTCGATGACTTTTTCTAACATTTGTGGCCGTATATCGACAATAACAAGGCGAATGTTGTCTTCCAAATGGTCAAGCGTTTGTGTCAAGTGTTATCCGCATACACCAATGACTTTACATATTCCTACAGAAAGTAGTCTAGCGGAGTTAATCACAAGATCTCGGAGGCCAATTCACAGATCCAAAACGTGAAATTAGGCGGTCACCAAACGTGTCTTTCAATAAATCGATTGTGGCACGAGCTGTGTGATATGTTGCGCCGTCTTGTTGAAACCACATCTCCTGGACATCATGGTTAATCAATTCAGGAATGAAAGAGTTAGTAATCACAGCTCTATACCGATCAGCATTGGTTGTAACGTTCTGGCCATCATCGTTTTTGAAGAAGTACGGACCAATGATTCCACCAGCCCATAAAGCGCACCAAACAGTCAGTTTTTCTGGATGTAACGGTGTTTCGACATATACTTAAGGATTAGCTTCGCTCCAAATGCGGCAGTTTTGTTTGTTGACGTAGCCATTCAACCAGAAGTGCGCTTCATCGCTAAACAAAATTGGCTTATGAAAATCAGGAACAACGGCAATCTCGTTTTGGGCCCATTCTACGAATCTACGCCTTACTTGATGATCGTTTGGCTTCAATTCTTATGCAAAATCTTCCATAAAGTGGATGGACACAGATCCAAATGCTGTGCTCGATAGCGGATGGACTCATTCGGATCTTCCTCAATGCTACGCTCTACAGCAGCAATAGCTTCTTCTGTACTCACCATACGGGGTCTCTGGGGATGCGAGTTATCAATAAGAGTAAACGTGGTGCGAAAACATTCCATGGTTAATCGAATTAACTTCTCTGATGGACGATTTTGTCGACGATAAAATGGACGTAGTGCGTGGTACGTATTCCGCACAGAAATATTAATTTCGAAATAAAATTGCACTATTTGCAAGCGTTGCTCAGGCGTGAGTCTATTCATGATGAATTGCCAAACCAAACTGAGAATAAATCACTTGACAGCTGTCAAATCGGTCACCATCTTGAAGAGTAATGCCAACTTAAAGTTCTATACATCGAGAAAAAAAACACCCGCTATATAATCGTATTTTTGAATTCCTCGGAACTCTGTTGATATATTTCATATATAATAACTTCCGTCGTACCGTTGACAATTGAAGGTATAGATATATTTATTCTTCCACATTTCTTTGACTGAAATCCTTTGTTATATAGAAACACATTTAATGTTATTTTGGGATTTTAAGACTACTGTTAGTACTTATGCGAAATTAATTGTTTATATTCTAATGCAGCGAATAAGTATTTCTTAAAAATTTTTGATTTAAGGTGGTTAGGTGAGTAGCTGTGCTAGATCCCGCCAATCTTCTATGTTTATATTGCTTTAATTTTGTAAAGTTCTACTTTATAAATACAGACCAATTATGACTATTATTTTTATTATTATTATATATTTGGCACGATTTCCTTACTTGTGGTCTGCGTTCAAATTTTAAAACTAAATAAATACAGATTAAAAAAGAGAGGATTTTGTATAAGGTTCCGTATTACAAAAAATTGTAGATTTCGAAATTTTTGCAATAAAATGTTTTCCTTTATAGAAACACTATACGGCTTGCGTGCTTTTCTACTCTCTAGTCTCCATAGTTTTGGTTTTAGATGAAAAGTGTGAAGGGGTTTCTTGTCAAATGTTTCTATAAATATATTCGCAATGTCTTATAATGTGCCTGATATTTGTTCATAAATTTGACCCTTACAAGCAAAATATGTTCCCCAAAAGCATTTTTCAATTAAGATGAGAAGAATTTATTCCAGATGATAGGATTTTAATATATGTTGGACGTTTCAGTAAAAGGAACTTTATTATGTTAATGATAATTTTATGATTGATTACGAGATTTTCTAACCCAGTTAAAGTTTGTACACCCTAACATAAGCTTAACCATTGAATTAGAAACTAATAAGAATCTCGTATTCCTAGATATTCTTATTAATAGAAAATCACACCTAACGTGACATCATTCAGTTTACAATAAAACCTACGCGCACATCCGGCTCGAAAACCATCGGATCTCAATTTTCTTGTTTGTTCATATAACTCGAAATAAAGTAGCTCCTGTCAAATAATTTCCACATTAGAGATATTAATTGTTTTATTACAAAATACGATTCACCACACAATGAGTCCGAAAACAACCCCATACTTGCCATTATGGTGGGTCTTCCTTACATTCAGAACGTACCTGTTCTCAAAAGGGCTCTTTAGGGACTGTATGAAACGAAGAGTTTTAATCCTTTAGCTTGAGTTTTTTATTTCTGCTTGCATGCTGGGTTGTTTGGACACGGCCCGCCAGATTTGATCAACAAATGGTATCACAAAGAAAAACGCCCAAATTCTGCTGTTATTCTACGACTTATTCTACGACTACCCATAGATACGAAAAACAATTTTCGCTTCCCAAGCGTTATCTAGGAAAAATGAGATAAAAACTCTTAATCGATTCTTATACCCAAAGAAAAATTCGAGAATCAATAGGAATATCTAAACAATCAAACGTCCTTAACCGCAACTCAGATCTTTAGGTTTCACCAGGATGGGAATCAGTCCCTTAGCTCAGCTTCCCTCAAAGCTTATAAAAGCAGATACAGCTCTGAAGAAACCAACAGGATTATTGGCGAAATGTCAGCAAGTTCAATTCCTTACCTACCGAGGCAGTAATTTTCAGTATATTTCATGATTTACAGAATAAACTGTGGCCCTCCTCATTTTATTGGGATTTAACTCCCCTATATAGGTAAAATAATGGCAAAGAATAATATATTAAAATGGGATAAATATGAGTTTCTGAACATCATCACGAAACCTAATTTTATATATTCTAATAATATAAACCGCAATATAGATTTCCATATACCTTCTTCCATTGCTCTCCACCTCCTCACCTTTGCTGTCATATTTAAGGTGCATGCAGAGCAATCGATTATCAGACACTACCGACAAAAGAAAACTGTATCTGCAACTTTTGATTACTTCTTATTATATCATAAGTATAATTATAAATGGTCTTTTCTTTTAATGAGCGTGTAGATTGCTTGCAATAATTGAGACATACAATATTTTTAGAAACTTCAATGGGAGTCACATTAGACGCCAACACAGATGAAGGTATGAAATACAAAAACGCTATTAAGGAAATGGGATACTTGTTATTTCAAAGATTACGAAGCCCTTGGCTTCACAGCGAATATATCCATTCTTGGGCGCCGTTAGGTACAAAAGAGAAGAAAATTGTTAATACGTTAAACGTATTCACGGAAAAAGTAATCAAAAAGAGAGAGCACAACTTTCAAGGAATAGAAATCCCGACGGAGGATCTGGCCGATTTTTCTTACAGTGGAAGGAAGAAGTTGGCTCTTTTGGATTTGCTGCTAAATGCGAAATTGAAAGACGGAACTATCGATAGTAAGGGAATTCTGGACGAAGTGAATACTTTTATGTTTGAGGTAAGGTCTTAATTTTGCAGCATATGCCATATTTTAGTGCTTTCAAATCTCCACTCGATAAGAAGAAAGAATTTTGCAATGAAATCATTGTCGGTAAAGTGAGGGGTTGTATTTTAAGATCATTGAAAAATTCTTATTCGCTTAATAACAAAGAAACACGTGACTAAAATGTTGTTTTTAAAACTTTTAAAACTAGTTACCACGTTAAGTACTTCTAATTTCGAAACCATATTTTGCCTCCTTTTTACACACTGAATAATAACACAGAAATGTTTGTGGATAATAACGATGATTATTTTTCAGTTTCTTATTTCAGGGTCATGATACGACCGCAATGAGTTTGGTATTTACGCTTTTGTTACTGGCAAGCGACGAAAAGGTTCAGGTGAGTAATCAGTTGACTAAAAAATTTGAAGCGGATAGGGTCTGAAAGTTCTAAGTTGGTTAGTTCTAGAAATTCAACCTTTACAGAAACTACGAAAGGCAATGAAAAAAAAATATTACTTTTAAATTTTAAATAATAAAAACGAAGAATTTTTTTACGATAGAAGAAATGTGGACATTGTTTTCAAATGTCCACCAAGAGCGTCATTTTTCTCTGAACTGCACCTCGTAAATATACCAAAAGGCTAAGTTAAAACTAAGTAGTCTTTCCTATTCATGAAGTACTTAATAATTCAGAAATTTTGGGAATTGCGATAGAAGCACCTGCATTGAGGTACGGAGGGGCACTCCCCAATCACTTGTATTTCTCCAGCTTTATTTAATATCTATGTAAACGATTTACCTATCAAATTGGAAACAATTGGGTTACCAGCAAATTCCGCTTACGATTCCCATATAATTATAACAAAAAGTCCAAATCTGAAGTAACCACTAAAAGAGACAGCATAAGTCATTCATAAAATTGGCATTGTTGGGCTAAGGTATGGGACGAGTGGGTTGCCTACACATGAAGGGTGCTGCCTACATATGAATGGTTGCTATGGTAGGCAGTTTGACACACTTCCCATATCTTCCCATTCCGATGCTGATAATGTGGTATAGTATATTATGCAACAAGTGCGGTAAACGGCATTTGACGCACGAGTTGATTTGACACGAGCCTGAGCGAGTGTTTAATAAACGAGTGAGTTAAAAAGTTTACCGAACGTGTTGCATACTATATTTTTTCTACGACCGTTAGTTTTTGGGTACATTTTCGCAAAACACGAATACATTCACTGACATGACTGTCAGATTTGACAAACGTCAAAATTCAAAGCGTGGGAAATATCTCCGAAAACATCCGATCGCTCCCAAATCTGTGCGGTAAAATCCCGGAAATGTCCGAAATGACTGGGATTCGTGGGAAACGAAACTGACGTGGTAAAGTGACGCTTCCCGCACGCTAGATCGGTGGGTAATTAGGTATTTTACAAACGGGAGTAGAAAAAAGCTTTTTTTATTAGACTACTAACGTAAATTTCATTAAAATGAAATTTTATATATCCTTTATACATTCAAGAAACATAATCAAAAAATATTATTTCTACTCTCGTCTGAAATATACATAATTTTACACCGATCTAGCCTGTGGGAAGCGTCACCTTACCATGTCAGTTTCGTTTCCCACGGATCCAAGCCACTACGGACATTTCCGGGATTTTACCGCAAGGGTTTGGCAGCAATCGGATGTTTTCGGAGATATTTCCCACGCATCGAATTTTGACGTTTGTCAATTTTGATGGTCATGTCAGTGAATGTATTCGTGTTGTTTTGAGAAAATGTACCCAAAAACTAAAGGTCGTAGAAAAAGTATAGTATGCAACACGTTTAGTGAACTTTTTAAGTCGCTACGCTCCGCTCGTGTCAAATAAACTCGTGAGTCAAATGCCGTTTACCGCACTTGTTGCATAATATGCTATTTCCTTACCAAAAACATATTTTGTTTTCTGTATCATAACTGAGGGCTGTTTCAAAACACTTTTCGGAAAACCTAAAATATAGTTAAGGTAAATTACCACATACCATACCATACATTTTATAGCTTCACCATTACTTGTCATTACTAATTGTTTTGTTTCAATACCCCGACACCAAAATAAAATTATCTGCTTAAAATTATTGAGTGTTAGATATTTATAAACCAGTGTAACACCTTGTCTTCGAAGAAGTTTTAACAGCAGAACTTTGGATCTAAAATAACTTACTCAAATTGAAATGATCTACACATTTTCTGGCAGGTTACATAATAAAATGTCAGTTACCAAGAAAGATATTTCTATATAATCTTTATAATTTTTTTTCCTTTATGACGTACATCTAGTTTTATAAAAGACTGATACGGCTGGAATATTCCACGTTATATTTTGGTCGCATTAGGCTATCATATCATATTTTGACAAAACAAAGTTTGTTTTGACGTCCAATATGAAACCTACAAACATTTTCAGTAATAAAAATTAATACGACAAGAAGACACACTTGGAAGGAAATTAATATTTTGTGCAATCTCCATCCACATCATGAAAGGAGTTTTCTTCAAGGGACAAATCTTTCTATACTTCCGAAATCCTTGCCATAGCTCCTCGTTTGTCAGTACTGTTACTTGGCCATAGAAAGTTTTCAATGTTGGTATTTTGAAGCCATTATGTAACGATGTTTACAGTGTGGACACGACAGTTGTAAATAAATATAATTATTTTCCGGCATAAGTTTGATCAACAAATCTTCCCTCAATCCGCCATACATTTAAACTGAAACGGCCTGCAGCTCTGTACCTGTCGACAAATCGAAGGTTGAAACACTGGTTGTCAGAAGATCTTTTCATTGGAAAATATGATTCTATCCCGAAACTGCTGTTCTTGCGCTTTATGGTTAAGAGCGAAAATAAGCCGTGCTTGCTTCCGTTGGGGAGGGAGTGAGTTTTTTTTGTCGTAGTCTGGCACTTGACTTTGATAAATTGAGCTAGGGTGTATAGAGTTTAAATGTCCAAAGAAATCTACTACTACCATGAGGCCAAATAACGAAAGTATCATTTGATTCTGTATAATTTAGGCCTCCTAAATTTCAATCTGATATACATTTTCATCAATCAATTAAGATTTTTTATTAACATTAAAATTAGTAAATTAGTAAAACCCAACTAAAAAATATTAATTAAATAGCAATAAATAACCAATGACTAACAAAGTCTGAAACAATAGTTAAGTTCATTTGTTTTTGGAACATCTTTTCCTTTTGGTCGAAAAACTTCGTTTCGTAAATTTTCTTGTATATTCATGGCCAGATTGTCCCTTTTTAATTATCAGAAGTAATCTGCCATCATTGCAACGTTCCATCGACCTTGATATCTACGTTACATTTCTGTCATATTTTGGTGGAACCTCTCATCTCATTACATTATTACATATTACATTACATTACATATTATATTCCATTTTGGTAAAATTCTCTAACACGTTTTCTATAATGTCTTGGTAAAGTGGATATTTGTTGTTTCCTAGAAAACCTTTCATAACTTATGCAACCTTTGCAAATTCGATCACTGTATTCTCAAAGTCTTGATCTCATATTAATCGCCTTATTTGAGGACCTACAAAAGTTCCTTCATTTAATTTTGCATCTGAGGGAGCGGAAAATTTTCTACATAGAAAATTACAACTCCTGAAACAGAATTTTATGTCACACAAAAATTAGGAACAACACAGGCCACCAGCGCGAACTTTGGGATACCCCAGATGGTTTAAATTTGTAACCATTCACCACTATTAAAAATATACGAGGCAAATCTCCTGGAAAACATCCAGCATATCCTTAAACTTATTCATTGAATTAAAGGTACTACTAATAATGGAAACCTGGAAAATTATTACCTTATTGTTAGATATAATACTAAATTATTATCACACTGAGTATTGTCGTCACCTGGGGACAAGGACACGCAACTTGAATGAATTTTATCATTGTTTTCGGTATAAAGCGATACCTCAGCACCACTCTTCCTCTCCGGGTAACGATACTCCTGACGAACAGCGACTGAAACGCCTCCTCCATCTTTGTTCTCTGCAATGCACTGAATATGCTATCAAAGATTTCCCATGTAAAAAATGAAGAGTTCAACCATGTTTCCGTGATAAAGAAAATATCATAGACGTTCTGAGGCACGACGTTCAACTTAAACTCCTTTCTTTTGGATCGCAGGCCTCGCACATGCTGCTCGAAAACCAGTAGACTCGCCGCCATTTTTATTCAGATCGTCAGCTGATTGTACGTGCCGCTGTCCTCTTTACGAGCAAGAATTTGATCGTCTTTAATCCATATACACTTTAGACTCTTCTAACGTGCTCCGTCAATGCCACTTGCACTTTGTTCTCCGGAGATAGGTTCTCATTTATAAATATGTTGCCGATCAAGGGATCAATTTTTATTGTGCGGATTGTACAGGAGACATTATAGATTTTAGCAGCAGTCAATACACTCTCGCTATTTGCCGGCTGAGTACTTTACGATTATGTTTTTGAACAAGTGAGGGCTAAAGGACTTTACTCGTTGAACCTGTTCAATTTTCTCGATAGTAATACCTTCGAAAGCGCTGAAAGGCCAACAAAAATGAAATATGGATTTAGTGTACTCATCCACATTTTTGAAGAATGAGTGAGAATTTCTGAGAAACATGCCAGAAGTTCAGACTTCATACTGAAATATAAGTCATAATTATTGAATTCAATTAAGACAGAATGAAATATAACAACATTGCCTATTAGTGGGGAAACTATAGATTCATACGCCAATCAAATTCCAAATGGGCCTTTTAAATTTCAGAATCTCACTGAAAATGATATTCAATGTTCTAAAATCTAATGCTAGCGGGTCCGATCGTGTAAACCTAAAGATGATTCTTTGGTGTTGTCCACACATTTTAATTTTCCTTACGCACTTAGTAAAAATATTAGAAAGGTTCATTGAAAAAGAGTTTCGAAAATTTTTGGAAGGATATTTTACCATAAAATTAAAGTGGCTTCAGGAAGAACTTTAGTTGTGAAACGGAACTTTTAAATTTAACCAGTGATATATGTAAAGCAGGAAATCGAATACAACTTACAGCGGTTGTATTATTAGACGTTACAAAAGCTTTTGATACGATCAACCACCGCCTTCTAATAGCAGCTCTAAAATCCATAGGCTTATCTAAAACGCCTTTTAGTATTGTTCAGAGCTTTTTGTCAAGAACAAGGAACCACGATGTTACCAACTGCATATACCTTTTTTACTAGGTAACTATTATGGATATGATCAACGAGGACATAACCATTATCTCAAGATAACGAAAGTTATATATGTCCCGTCCCACAAGCAATTGTCTGCCAATTTTTAGTGTTGTCAAGATTTAACTACCGGGATGCTATTTATGGACCATGCTTAGATTCTTCAGACATATGGAAAATTTAGGCAAAATTCATGTTTAAGACACATTTGTGGTATCAGACAAAGACAACATATAAGTGGTTGAATATGAAACACCTTGTAATAACCGCCAATAGGTTCAAAATTCCTAGACACAAAACAGAATTATTTAATAGAACATATTCGTTTCAAATTAGTAAAGTGCTCAGTAACTATTCTGATTCCCTCAAGCAAAACTTTTGTCACAATTAAAAAAAAACGGAAAAGGCTCTCTCTTATCAGAACAGTGTTCATCAATTGCAGAACAGTGATTAGTATTAAAATAACAACAATATAAAATGTGGTATTAAATTTCAAATTCGAATACTTCAAAAATCAATACAAGTCCATAATTCAAATCTACTTGTTTAATTTATAATTTTTATATTTTCCAATTTATATAAGTAGTCCATTAGTTATTTAGGATATTAGAATTTTAATAAATAATTTACATTTTCTCCGCTTAAAATGAAAAACAATACTCGTAAGACAGTCAACTGATCTTCAGCGTTGTTCTAATATTCTGCTTTAGACTAGTTAGTATTTTTTTTCTCTTGCATTTTGTTGAATTGTGCTGTAAGATAGATATATTTATTTATTTATTTATTTATAATTTCTGAAAAACAAGTCAGAATTTCTTGTAAAGGATATTGCAATTAGGCAAGATCTAAAGTGGAAGAAAGTCGCTGCTTTCGGAGATACAGGACGTACGACGTTTTAATTTTGCTCTGAATTTTTTCATTAATCTAAAAAGTTTTTCTATTATAATAATAAAAATTGGTAGTTTTACGTTTTTTGACGTGACAATTAGGAAATTAAAACTTATTTTCTTTAAGTTGAAATATGATGGAAATCTGAAATGATTTTCAATTTTCCATTGAAAAACTATATTAAATAATAAAAAATTTAAATAATAATAAAAAAATACGTCAAACCAAATATTGGGATTTCATATTTTAGCGTTTAGTAAATTAAACTATTCCAAATCGTTCCGGCTTTTATTCAGTACGGATAAGAGTTTCGTTGGTCTCCACCCATTCAGACAACTTTGACAAGAGTAATTCTGGTTTTTTTCTGAACAACAAAGTTACAGAATATATTAACTGATCTTGTTTATTCTTGGAGTAAACTTTCTAATAAAATTGTGAAGGTATTATTCTAATTACACAGGGCAACAAAGACTTTGTGACTTAGTATTTTTCATATTTTTTGAGTTGTGTGGAATAAAACTATTAGAAAAACAATGGTTTGTTTTAAAAATAGGAATATTACATAACATTCTGAAAATTGAAATTGCTGCGCCACTGGCATATGTTTTGCATAAATTGACAAAATATTAGCCGGGAATACCCGAAAGAACTTTTGATATGTGGTTAGTAATGGTTTGAATGTAAGGAAGGACAGCAGTGGCAAGTGTGGGGTTGCTTTCGGACTCATTATCTTTGGAAGGTTGTGGCGAAGTGCATTTTGTGATGGAATGCAATATCTCTAAAGTAGAAATTATTAGAGAGAAAAGAAGATGAAAGGAATTTTAATTCTGGGTTCAATGACTGGGGCTGAGATAGTTTTACAGCTCTGTAAAGAAGAGAGTTGATAACCGGTGATGTGACATTGCAGTAATGTATAGGTCTGTGTGCGTAGGCTTTCTGTAAATAGAATTATAAATTTCTAATTAAATGGTAAAACGTATATTATGGTTTATAGAGTTGAAATTGATAAAAAAATGTAAAGTGTCATCAACGTAGCGATTCCATAATTTTGATTTTAGATGGAAAGTATTGAGGGCTTTCTTCTCAAAGATTCAGCTGTTCCCGAAGTTTGTACAAAAATTTGACCGTTATGTTCCAGACATATATTTTTCAATTAAGATGAGACGGTTTGATTCCATATTCTCGTATATTTTAAAAAAAGTTGAGAGCTTCAGGAATATTGACTTTAGTAGAGGGAGATTGTACGTCGAAACTGACTAGAATATTCTGTGGATCTAATGTTTTTAATTATACAGTGAACCGAAAGAAATTAAGCACGAAACTACCAATTCTCCCTTTAAATAGGTCCCTGAAAATAGGTCCAAGGGGTAATCCTGGTTTTAGAATCGTGAGGAGTGACAGATTTTTTTTACAGATCCTGATAAGGAAGAAGCCTTAATGACAGGTTTAAGGTTAATATCTTGAATTTTTTCTTGATATTCACTTGTGTTCATGACTAATTTACATTACGTTACTTTTTTAAGATAGTGATAGAGTAATGATTGCTAGGTAAAAAATGTATCCTATATTTATTTCCATGAAACATAGCGTTTTCGAGATATTTGAAATAAAATAAATATAAATATAAAATATGCATTAGTAAAATGTCTCCCATTGTTGCTTCCCATATATTCCGCTTTAAATTACTTTTTAACGCATGCATTGTTATCCTGTACCTCACTCTTTATACACTATTTTGTAATTATACTCACTCATTTTGAATTGCAGTTACCTAAACAAACATTAATCGTGTTTATGTAGATATAATGTTTAATTATAATTAGAATATTTATTAGTTTAGTTTATTAGTTATTAGTTTAAGATAATAATTAATGTGTCTAAATACTTAAAATATGACGAAATGCTTTTTCAAAAAACAAGGAATTTTTAAAGAATTCCGAAGATTTACCGTGAAATTGCGTTGAATTCCGTGAGATTCCAATGGAATCCTTGTAGAATTTCGAGAAATTATACGTAATGAGGAATTACGGTGGACACCCTTAGCTCTGCGGATTACCCCTCGAGGGACAAGGAAATTGTCTCGGATGACTCATTTACGTGACTTTATTTGTCGTTGCTTTAAGACTTTCTTATGAAGATATTTAATATTTTTCGTTTTGTTGTTCCTATGGTTCAATGTCGTATATTTTGAATTTTCTATTTGGCAGATCAAAGATGTTAAGTGAGTGGAGACAAGTGGTAAATCGGTTTTAACATTATAATTTTTAAGAACTTTTGATATGTACTCAGTTTTGTTTTAAATGTAAGAAAGAAGCATAGCAGCAAATGTAGGATTGCTTTCGGGCTCTTTGGGAGGGTTGATGACTTCTGGGCCGGATATTGATCTGACAAAGTATCTTAAGTAATATAATCATAAAACCCGACATAATATATTATTCGACCAAAACTAAAATTCTTGCGTATAATCTATTTTGAGTATCCTTAGAAATCTCTATACAACCAAACAATCTTAACCGGGACCATTCATCAAAAAGGGATTCCCTCAAAGGGCATATAAGCGGGTATGGAGTAGAATCCAAACCAATTTCAGTTAAGTTCTGAGGTAGCTAACAGGATGAATTGCTAAACGTCAGCAAGTTTGATTCCAACGACAAACGCAGTTAGAATGCTAAACGAATCATTCTGAGATGCCAAAAATTAAATAATTATCCGAGCTTAATTCTTTTAATTATAGTAAATTTACGTAATAACATTGCGGTGTTTAATATTTTAAAATTAACTGCAAAATTGGAAGAAGTTTAAATTTTCAGGATAAAGTCTACCAAGAGATTGTTCAAGTGCTTGGCAATAAGGCAAGCGAGAGCCCCACATTTAGCCATTTACAAGAATTGCATTTCATGGAGCGGTAAGTTTATTATACAATAGGTTTTATCACATAATGAGTTGGTCCCTGGCGTCGTTGTCAAGATTGACATTTTTCGTCTTATTTTTTATTATTGAATTTGAACCTATATCCATGGAGAATAAATCTATCTAAACTTTGGCATGCCAGAGAGAGCAGGTAGGATTTGAATTAGTGTTGGAAATTCAAAAGATTTTAGGCGTAGGAACAAACTGAGTCATATTTTGGCGGCAAATTACACCACATCCACAGCAACTTTCGGTCGGCGCGTCGAATTCAACGTGTACCGCTGGAGTAAAGCACTGCTGCTGTGGTTGTAATTAATTATCGATGTGTTGTATACGGCAACCTGATATATTTGGACAATTGTTTCTAACACTAGGGATAACCATTGTTCTTTTAATTCTGAATAAAGTCATTAGCTTTCGCTTTTCTGTTTTCACTCAGTTTCACTGAAACATGGTTTTGTTACTAACGGATCATAAAATTTAAAAAATTAAATATTTAACCCTATATTAGAGAGCACCTATCCCGGCACAGCTGACTGACAGCAACATGTGCGATTTCAACCTTGAGTACAGCCGTTTAATCAAAACACCTAGGTAATTTTTTTGTTACATTATTAGGCACTAGATGTTAATTTTTTTGATAAGTTAAAATCCTACAGTTTGATAGTGTATAGGTTATGAATATTTTTCCGGTGTTCTTATTATTTTTTGAGGTATCTTCGAAGAGTTCTAAAAAAAGACATACGGCAATTAGGGTTGGACACTGAATGATTGAGAAAGACGATGAACTCCTTTTAAATACGGCCGAAATTCAGATTGCTCTGATCAAAGCTGAAGTTGACAATTTAGAAAACGGTAATGTGAATGATATAGAAGACCACGTCCCTACAGAGCCCTCTACTGTTAAGACATATGAAGTTTAGGATGATTGGCCTGTAACTTCTTTCAAAGTGGCTCTAAGGAAAAAGCGGTATAGATGGAAAAAGAAATATATAACAAGAAATGTTTTGACCGATGCAGCACACAGCGCCTACAAACTTTTCTTCAAAACAATTATTTTTCCAGTTTTTTTTATCATAAAACGATTTCGGAAGTAAGAACATAGACGTATGTTTTGGGAAAGGAGTTGGAAAAACGATAAATTTGCCAAACTGTGTCCGCTCCGACAGCAGCACGGTATTGATGAGTCAACGGTACCTTATTTTGGACGTCACGGGTGCAAACAATTTATCAAAAGGATGTTCGTTCGTTACAGGTCAAGTTTTGGATGAGAACAATATCCAGTGCCGACTGTACAAATACAGAAATGCCTTTCGGACTAGGACCTTCAGTAGTACCGAAATATTGTGATGTCGTAACTGGTATTGACGCCAGACCGTACGAACCACCGTGCCATTATTGCAAGCATGGTCTAGGTGAAATTTACGAGCAACCGGAACACTCCGGCAAAATCGTTTGACTGATTGCAATCTGATTAATAAAAGTTGCCCCAAAAAAATGATTGTTATATTATTTGCTCGAACAGGCAATGCACAATGCTTGGGACGTGGACAGGCTTGAAGAAGGACCTTGCGACCAGTTAATGTTTCGTCGACAAGTAGCTGTTTCTTTTTTGGAGACCGGCGAAAAGTCCACGTCTGTCGCAATTAGAAATTGACGAATCGCAGCAACCAACACTACCTGAAGCGTTGATTGAAGTGTGAAAGTTAAAAAAAGTGTATTTCATGCAATGTGGCCGTACATTTAGAATGGAATAAGAATTTCAATTATAAAAGGAGTTCTATATGCTGCCCGTTCATTTGAACGCACTTTTCGATTCTGCGTGGACAAAGACACCTGTTGTAGTTCGTTGAATTTGTTGATACTGAACTTCGACAAAAGCTGTCCCTATCCTCCCAAATAATTCTTCACAAATAAAAAATTGGCGTCAAATCCTCGGAGGTCACGTGCAAGCGCCATGGCAACAAATCCGGCGATCTTCAAACATTTGAGATAGTTCGAGATAAACCACATGAAAAGTGTGTGCTGTTGAAGTTTCACGATGAGATTCTTCTATAAACTGAGTAACGGTTCCCCGTATAATTTTTAAATACTTATCGCAATATAAATTTTAAATAATTAAATTTTATGTTAAGGCAAAAATATTCAAACCAAACATTTTTTCAAAATATACATCTCATGAAGCGTGTGGATTCTCTTCTGCCTAAAAATGTTGAGGATTTCTATTTATTATTCCCTCTCTTGAAAACTTCAACAACATAAATTCGCAAGATTCTGTTCACCGTTCATCGTCAGCGGGTCTGAAGGCTGTATGTATTGGAAGCAGTACGGGTGTAGGTAATATTGATTCAGAATTCGCAGGAAGTTTATTTCACTCTTCTTGAATATTGTCTTGTTCATTGGCAAATAGGAATATCTTACATTAAAAACACGACACGTTCTCTCTAAATTGAGAATATCAGCATTTCAGTATTTTTCCATGTTAAATTTAGACTTTTATTTTGGTGGTGACAATGCATATTAATTATTAGTTGTCATGTTTGACAACAGAATGCAATAATTCTTTTTCCATGGCCTAGTATATGAAGGGAAAATGTTCAGTCGAACAAATATGATACCAACAAAAACCTAATTATTTGGAATATCGTTTAGAAAAGGTATACGTAACCCCCAGAGAGTTTGATAGAGAAATAAATTCTGACCTTGATAACACTTAAAGTTAGAAGATGTACCATTTGAAAAAACCGAGTTTACCCACTTTGAAAATGTGAATTTTTACGGCCCAATTTTGGACACAAAGTGTAAGAATAGCCAACAACAATAACAAAAACGTGAACTTGAGCATACTAAAATAATACGAAAAATCCGGGAATCTATAGAAATCTATAAGCAACCAAACAATATTAACCGCGACTCAGGTCTTTACCATTCTCATCAATATGGAAACCAGTTATCGGAGACAATATTCATGCCCCTTCTTTAGCTCCACCTCCCTCAAACAATAAAAAAGCAGGTACAGGGTAAAATGTAAGCCAGTTTCATTTATGAAGAAGCCAACATGATGATTGGCGAAGCGTCAGCATGTTCGATTCCACAACAACCGACGCAAGAAAAATCCAGGAGTTTTATAAATAGTAAATGCCGTTTACCAAATTTGTTGCATAATATACTACCAATGGGCGGACTGGGTGAAAAATCCTGTATAATATATATACATACCAGTCGATACTAAATATATTTGGAACTTCTTTATAACTACTAGAGATTTTGTAAAACACTATAATAAAAAAATCTTTTAAAAAGGAAGTTCTATGATTAGGTTCTCCAAGGAAATCACAAAGGAGATTAGAGCACCTATGGATCCAGATTTTTATCTGAAAAATATTTAGAACAGTCCGTTTTGCTAGGTTTTTAAGAACCCATTTGAAACTTCAAATCATTGATGAATTAAATCTTTGTTATTTATTAACTTAGTTTTATGGATGCCAAAGGCCAACAATATAGGCTACAATATAGTTTAAAGCCCTGCGATTTTGATGGTGCAGTAATTGATATAAGACCACTGTTAATAATATCGCTAGCGAGATCACCTTTAACAAAGGAAAGGAATAATACAACTGTTGGTCATCATAAAACCGTTGAGAATTACAGAAATTTAAAAAAGGTGCGAAATTGGCTGTATAAATAAAAAAAATAAAGGATCCACGATATTACTTTGAGACACTTGTCAATCAATCAATAGTTTGAAAATCGGAGTAGGTGCCATTAAAGTAGACTGAAGGAAAAATTTAAAAATGTAATGCTGTTCTTACCCGAAATAATGGAGCTCTAAATAAAATTATATACTGTAGTTGAGCAGTTGAGCAGTATAAGCAATTTCAGAGAAGAGAGTAGAACAGTTTTGGTGCTGGTGATATTACTAGCAACAAGATGTCCAGTAGATTTGAGACAATCGACAGTTATCTTTTCAACTGAAATGTCGACTGCCCGAAAGCAAAATGCAGAATTAAAATTAGGGTAGATATATGAATTAAATTTGATACTAAAAGCATCATTTACTTTGCAGTGCGAAGCAATCAGCATCACCAATATCTCCACGGGGATAGGCCCGAAGTTTGCACTCGAAATATGTTTTTTTCAGTACTAATGTAGGAAACCACAATTTTCCTATATATTGCTATGATTTTGTTACAATGATTCTTGAATTTCAGTTTTCCTACTTGATGTAATTGGTGCTTTTTGTAGCAGGTTTCTCTGATAGCTTGCGTTGTCTGTTACAATGTCACTGTTATCCGGAATATTTTATAATAGATAATTTTAATATCAGTGTTCGGAAAGTCCTCCACTTGTATCTTCATGATAGTTCAAGCTATAGTTCTTAATATTCTTCGCAGATAACAGCAGGTAGTCCGGAATAAATACCTCTACTGATTTGACGAATCTTTTGTGTGGCAGTTTTTTCATATAGGTAAATTATACATCTGGGGATTACATCCCCAAGTATTTCTCGTCTATTTTAAGGCATTTAAATCCCATTTTACAAATAATGGATGGTGACACGGCTAATATTTCCAGCTTAATTTCCTTTTGTTGAACCTGTTCCCGAAATTTTAATAAAAGAGCAGTTTCAGGTTCACCTCTACTTCTATTACGGAACGTTTCTCAACATGTCTATATAGAAAATTAAGGCTTATTTCGACGTAGAATATGCTGTTATACTTTGGCCGACTAATTTCGTGTAAACTATTAAAAATGTTCCCATATCCGTAGGTGCATCAAAGAGAGTCTGAGACTTTATCCCAGCGTTCCATTTATCGGTCGCGAATTAAGCGAGGACGTGGTGACCAGCAAAGGAATTATACCAAAAGGAACCCAAGTTGACATTCACATTTACGGACTTCATAGAAATCCCAAGGTGTGGACGGATCCAAACAAATTTGACCCTGATCGATTCTTGCCTGAAAATTGCATTGGACGTCATCCATATGCTTATCTACCTTTCAGCGCGGGACCTAGAAATTGTATAGGTAATTATTTAAACAAATCGACCTATCCTGCATATTCCGTTTTGTATATTATAACAGAAATGATTCAACTTACATTTATACATTTTTTGCACATTTTGCTTTATTGCAGCACAAAAACGAGTACTATTTAGAGTGTTTAGAAAAAGCGCCGAAATATTTAAGGGGGTGATTTTATGAAAATAGTCCACATAAATGTAGATCCGGAAATGGATTGTTTCCAAGACCAAGGCGGTTAAAGTTTTTTTTTAACTTGGCAGCATTGTTTCTAGTTTTAAGGGACTGATTTGACCATAAATATATAAAAATAATATAATAATAATAAAAATAATAATAATAATTAATAAACACAAGACTAATAACAACAAACCAGACATCAACTAATGACATCGATCTAATAAGCCATTTTGTATACCTTGGCTTTCTAATAACAAACACAGCACTAACCAATTAACCAAAGTATGGAAACGCCATAATATAAATAAATAAGCAAAGATGAGGGACAGCGCGCTATTTTTTATTATTTCTCTGTGTCCTGGTCTATCCAAGAATTTGGTTGATATTATAAATGAATTTAGCATCAAGAAAAGATATCTTGTAACCGTCACTGAGAAAATTACATCTTATTTTTGAGCCGCCATTCGAAGGAATGGACTAAAGAAATTAAAAACACAAGGCACAAGAGGCCGTTGAACAACGCCGACTAGAGACGCAGCACAAAGCGAAAAATGAAAAGAGATGATAAAACACAACTCAGGATAGCAAGATACCCAGAACGGTTCAACGACCAAAAAGAAGAAATAAAAATTGTCCAGTGGCAACTTTAAAATTCATTGAAAAAAATATATGCCACCGACTTTAATTTAATTTCGATATTTCCCCGGGGATAGCATGAGCAAAGTCACCACAATTTCGTCTCTTTTTGTCGTGCTTTTTTTACGAGATAAAAATAAAACCTGTTTTACTACATGTCCACAAGTTTACCAAAAGTGTTGTGTTATATACTTTTTCTACTCCCGGCTGTAAAATACCTAATTACACATCGATCCAGCGTGCGGGAAACGTCACTTTACCAAGTCAGTTTCGTTTCCCACGAATCCGAGCCACTTCGGACATTTCCGGGATTTTACCGCACGGGTTTGGGAGCAATCGGATGTTTTTGACGGTCATGTCAGTGAATGTATTCGTGTGCGTGTTGCGTGTACCCAAAAACTAACGGTCGTAGAAAAAGTATATTATGTAACACGTTCGGTAAACTTTTTTAAGTCACTCGTTTATTAACACTCGCTCCACTCCTGTCAAATAAACTTGTGAGTCAAAGGCCGTTTACCGCACTTACTATTAGATAGTAGAAAAATTCAAGACACGAAAACAAGTAGTTTTAGTCGCTCTCTCAGGGACAGAGACCTACATTTATGGGATGTTTTTTCATAAAATATTACCTCGTCCTTTTTAAACACCCTGTATTGTCAAAAAAAATAAAATTAACATTTACATATATGATATCTTTAGGTCAGCACTTACACCATATGTTCCGACTCCCTATTCATTCGGTTTATTTTAGATTGTAAGATTGCCAACCTCTTACAAATTGGTTCAATAGTATACTATATTTCAAACAGGGTACAGGATACTGGGTGAAAGTTAAAATCCAAAAGTTTTTAAGAAAGCAAAATTTTTACTTGAAATTTCTTTATTCTATAAAAATGTATATTTACTAGTCTGGTGAGGACAGGTTCCATGAACATTATAATTTTTTCAAAGTAACAAAAATTCGTTTTATGTATACACAAAATCTATAATCATTAAGTCTAGGTAATTGGTTAAGGAAAGTAGTACCGTTTTACAATTAGGTTCAAAATAAGTTTAATAGGGGAAAGTTATTAATATCTAATTCATTTAAAACAGTATTTGAATATTTTAATTTGTTAGAAAAAAACTAATTAATTTAATATGAACATTTTACAATCTTAATTGAAACTATGATTATATTCGCTTAAATAAATTGCGTATTTGGAATCAAGCTCTATATTGATGAATGAATTTTGGTGTTTCTTTTAAATTTGTTTACTTTTTTCTGTTTGACCTTTGTACCGTTTGTTTTGGTCTACTTTTATTAATTTTCCCAAAAATTGGGAAAAAAAGCTATTTTTAGTTTACTTAAGGAAACACTTTTTGTCTAGACAATTGTCATGTCAAAATATATAATTTCGTGAAAATCTGAACTTTTAGTTCTTAATTATTTTGATAAATGGATTTTCATCAAGTAAAAGCCACTTCAGTTCAATTTCCACACTTCTTTCGAGCTACGATTTAACACATGTTGCATATAGGCCTTTTTTTTCTTTTTAATTGTAATACTTGTAAAATTTATGAGACTTTTGTATTGTTCAATCAACGACATTTTTAGTTATTTTATATTTGATTTTAGCTTTATTTCGGGTTTTTATAAGTAGTTTAATGTTGTCTGTTATCCATGGTTTATAAGGTTTATGGAAAATGACGGTTTTTAAAGGTGCTTGCAGATCCATTAACGTGTGAATATTATCATTGAAAAAGCTTACCTTATCATCAATATTATCAATATCATATATGTTTCGCCACGGAAGCGACTGTAATTGGTCATACAAGAGAATGAGATTAACATTCTTTAGATCCCTAAGTGTACGGGGTGGAGCTTGCAAATGCTGTGATTGTAAAGTTAACTCAGCAAAAACGAGTTCGTGATTCGATATATCAACCGACACTGCACCCGTGCCCACAATGGAGCAGTCCTCAGAAAGAATTATATGATCAATTAGTGGGAGTGTTGTATTAGAAATACGCGTAGGTACGTCAATTAATTGAACCAAACCGAAACTCTCTAAAATACCGTTGTATGCTCAAACGACGGGGTTGTTTGGATTGCAAAGATCTAAATTAAAATCTCCAACACAGATCAATTTATCTGTTTTTGATAAGACATCAAATTCTCAAATTCGTTAAGAAATGTGATTGAATTACATTTAGGAGGTTTATAAACACAGCCGATCGAGATAATTTACTTATTGACTTTAGATTTAAGCCATAAACATTCTAAAGTATCATAATATGCTAGTGTTTCGCAAGGAATGTTTGTTTTTATGTAAACTGCCACACCTCCACGCCTATCCACCAACCTATCAGTTCTATATATTTTGGAATTTTCTATATGCACTATATCACTAGATATATGCGGTTTAAGGCATGTCTCATTAATACCAATAATTTTCGCCCCTGATGGAATCTTTAAGTTCATTGAAATGTGCCGTAAGTGATCCGATATTTATATGACAAATTCTAAAATTACCTGCTGCGCTTGGCATAACTTATAACTAAATCGATAACGTAAATATCCCACTAACCAAAAGGTCGAAAACTAGATTACCCCCAATACATAACAACATCCTAAGTTTAAAGCAGCAGATTTCAATTCATATTATGTGCTTATGTATTAACGGTAACATAAAGAAATGTAAACGAAGTAGAAAGGCCACGCCATACGGAAATAAACAAATAAACAACAAATTTGTATATGAAAAGTAGGATAGCATATAGAAACTATAGTGCCATCATCTACTCGTTAATGATCCCAAACTGATGCGTGCGAAAACAGATAAACTGTCGATCTCCATAAACACCAACTGACTTACCAAAATTTGAACCGATAGAGAAGGAAATAATAATAAGCGTAGTGAATAGAAACCGTACTTATACAATCACATAAGAAATTCGAAGAATAGAAACCGTACTTATACAATCACATAAGAAATTCGCACTGTACATCAATTTCCGCCACCAACTTATGCCAATGATCCTCCGATCTAACCACAATTTTCCGATTGTTATGCAATATGAACACATTCCCGTTGTAAGTAAATGGTCCCCCACGATATTAAATAACTTTCGAGTGTTTACTGTCAACATTTCGGTAATAAGGAACTTGGTACCTTTGAGTTTTTTCTTAGCGAAGAAGATTTGATCGCGCATCCAACGATGCACGAATTCTACTGCAATAGGCCGTGCTTTTTTGCTGCCATTTTTTGGATCTAAATGAAAACACTGCCTAATAATATCCTTGACAGATAAACATAAGATTAGAAGGTTGCGGTTTTGCGAAGATATTCAAGATCTTGATCTATTTAAAATGGTTTTGTGGACTGATATCCTACCATTACAGCCGCTGGAATTTAGTGGAAAAATACCTAAGCTTTGTGCAGAATGTAATCCAGTTCTGTGGCCACCAAATAGTATAGATTTGACCCCCTGAAACTTGGATAAGTTCAATAATTTCTGTTTTTTCAGAATACTAAACATTTAGACTAAAAAGTGAGAAAACCGTTAGATTCGTCTTAAAAGAATTACATCATTGAATTGACATTGAAAGCCTGACAAATAATCTACTGGAGTTCCAACTTGAAGTTGTAAATGTACATAATATAAACGAGTCACTACCGATGTTTTATATAGACATCAAACCCAAAGAAAACAACAAGCAAGTGTACAATATAGATAAACTTGGCAATAGTATTGTCAAATGCAAACACCACATGGTAAAAATTATACTGCAATGAACAAAATGTCACGTGGACATAGAAAGATGGACTACCGAAAAAGCTTCAAGTGGGTAAAAGCGCTTGAAACAAACGATTGCACTGCAAACTCGTAATGACTAAGTAAAATGGGCCAACTGTGGGAGTAATCATCTGGCAAACTACATGAGGTGGTTATTTCATAAAGAATAATAGCAAAAACTATACCCCACTCTACGAAAGAAAACAAATAAACCACAGGTAACACGGCCCATATTAATTCACCAAACACGCACCCAATCGTCGTCAGAACACTAGTTTAACGGCGAAACAACAAAAATATAAATTAGTCGTTTGGAATGCTAACGGCCTTCAGCAACATGCTCGAGAGCTTAAAATATCAATATCATATTGATTTCTAAGACACACTTCACGGACAGACCTTACCTACCTATTCCTAAGTATAAACCATGCCATACGAAACACACTGATGATAGGGCACACGGAGGAACTGCTGTTATCATACGAGCTACACTAAAATATTACGAAAGGGAAAAATTCACCAAAGATCTGCAGCGTAACCACTACTACCAATAACTATGTCTTCTTTTTACTGCTCACCTAACAAAACAAAAGACAGCACTTTGGAGAATTCTTCAACACGCCAGAGGACGTTCTCAAGCTAATTATCTACTGGTCAAGCTACTTATTGTCCATCAGACATAAACAAAATACCGAATGCAATTTTGTGTCACTAACAGTATCTATCCGAAGAAATGATAACTTTTTTTTCGCAAATCTTAAATAAAGATAGAGATCCGCCCTTGCATAAAAATAAAACTGATTGGAATGCATTCAGGGAAAAATTAGACAAACTAATCTAATTAGACCAACCACTTAAAACAGAACTTGGCATAGAACTACCAATTGAATTGTTAACGAAAAATACACAAGAAGCAGCATGGTCAGTTACTACTAGCCGCGAGACACCACAAGGGGGACTGAAATATTTCCGGCTACGGGAAAATGGCATTAAGCAAGAACTGAGGAAAACAAGGGAAAGTTAAACAAAGTGAATAAGGGAATAAAATATTACCTGAAAAATATCTCACTAACATTACTCCCTATGGAAAGCAATAAGCAGGCTTAAAAGGCCTGAGCTACACAAAAATGCATGGACACCAATGAAAGCCGAAGCTGTCTCTATAATACAATTTAAACCTTTCCCTTCAGAGTAGAAGGGCAAAATAAAATAATCAATTCACTGAATGCACCATTTCTACTAGACTTCCCCCACGAGAAGTTCACAATAAAGGAAATTAAACAAATTATTAAGAAAGAGATCAACATAAAAAAGTGCCTGGTTGTGATCTCTCGAAAAGTATTACAACAATGATTATAAAAAAGTTACAAACTGTACCCAGCTATGTACCCAGTATTTGGAAAATAGCGGAAGTCATTTTGATTCTCAAACCTGGGAAAAAGCCAGAAAACGTCTTCTCATACAGCTTACAAGCTTACTGCCACTCTTCTCCAAAGTATTTGAGAAGCTGTTTGGATTTCGCAACAACCTGGAAACAACTCCTTCAATCTTACATAACTGACAGACAGATTTATCCTTCTATATATAGCAGACCTACGAACAACAAAAACTACAAACTGTAGCAAGTTACGCTGACCACACTTGTGTTATGTCATCTCACACTGGTCTGACCATGACCTCAAGAAATCTACAAACCAATTTAATCAAATTGTCTAAAAATATGGCGAATCAAAGCCACAGAAACAAAATCCACCCACGTAACACTCACACTACGTAGAAAAATATGCCGACTAGTAACTATCAACAGCTGTCAACTTCCGCAAACAGATGATGACAAATATTTCGGCATGCACTTGGATAGACGCATGATATAGGGAAAATACATATTCACAAAGCGTAAACCACAAGGACTTAAACTAAGCCAAATGCATTGACCCGTGGGTCATAGATCTAAGCTATCCTTGGACAACAAAGGGTTATTATATAAAGCTATCCTAAAACCAATGTGGACGTAGGGCATCCAACTGTGGGCACCGCCAGTAATTCCAACATCAACATTCTTCAAAGGTCTCAAAACGAACTGTTTTGCGTGCAATAGTGGACGCACCACCATGACGTCTCGAACAGCGTAATACATCACGATATCCCGCTGTAACCCGTCAAGGATGCCATACATCTCTTCAGTGTCAAGTAATGTGAAAGAATGTCTGTGCACCCCAATGTACTAGCCAAACAGCTAAATGTGCGTATCAATAGTGAAGTGCGTCGATTGAAACGCCCAGTTAATTGGAGTTGCATAAACTATAGATTTAACACTTCAGTTATTATTTAGATTAATTTAAAAATTTAAAAATTTGAATTCATGTTCTACATAACATCATATAGGCACATAAACGGTTATTACCTATTATGCAGATTGAAGTTCTTTTACAGTTAAAAAAATTTAAATATATTCGAGCTTCTTTGATTTTGTTAATATTATTTAGCTAAAAGACAGTAAAATATGTTGACAGTTTACATTTTTTTTAAATTTGTGAACCATACCTAATATATAATATGTTATATTTAAATCACGTCACGGAATAAAGTGAAAATTTGGTTTTAATTCTGACCACGTTATATTTATTATATTTTAGTCACATGACCTTTTATAAAAGGAATAGCATGCAACACGTTGATAAATTTCCTCAGTCATTCGTTTATTTAGGATTCGCTCCGCCTGTGTCAAATGAAACTCCTGAGTACAATTATTTTCATCAAACTTGTTGCCCATAATAAACTATTAAATCACAATTTGTAAAATAGTGTATTATTAATGCTCAATGAAATCTTGTATATTAAATACCATATTATCTTTGATTTTTAGGACAAAAATTTGCAATTTTGGAGATGAAAGCAGTATTGTGCGGCATTTTGAAAAAATTCCGCCTCGTTCCGATAGACCTGCCAGAAAAATTGACACTGTTTCAGGATTTGGTACTTAGACCTCTTGGAGAAGTCAAAGTTAAATTTATTTTGCGATAAAATGTCTTAATGGAACGTAATTAAATATTGTGCTGATTTTCGTTATTTGTATAATAAATGATATCCGTATACTTGGTGGCCAAATAAGTGTAAAAAGTTCGAAAAGTACAACTGGAACCCTTAATTAATAATCCTGTTACGTTTTTAAACCAACAAAAATTGTTCAGCTTCAAATTTATTTCGTCCAAAAAACAAAGCCACAAACTAGGGGAAATGTGCCCGTGATGGACCAAGGCGATTGATGGACTACTAGCTGTATTTTCAAATGTAGCGCGAATAAGGCACTGCCGCCCTCTTATTAGGGTAATTGGAGTTCATATTCAGTTATTTACGAGCGAAGGAAATATCAGCCGTTTGTTGGAAAATAATATATTAAGTTAAATTTGGTGAGTATTGATATAACAAGGTAGTTTAGCATGATGATAGGTTACGCTTTTTTATGCTTAGTTATAATCTGTTTTAGTAACCGCTTCTTAAAGAAACTGTTATGTAGTTATCAAAGGGTGATAATTGCGCTTATGGGCCTGTATTCACTTTGATTAGTGATTAGTAGTGAGGGTAATTAGTGCAGTGGTGTAGTGCGAGTAGTATCCAATCCTTGTTTAGTGACTTTGTTAAGTAAATTCAGTTGTTAGCCGTCGACCAGCAAGTATGGACGAATATGAAGAAGCATGCTTACAATTGTTGGGAGAAGTACTGAAAAAAATATTAAATGCGGTGGTGTCCGAAGGCGAAGAACTTTTGGAAGCTGGACTTACAAGACCAAGAAAAGTATGGCTTCGCAAATGGATTAATAGAAGACCCATCCATGGCACAAGTTACCAACTCTTCAAGGAATTGGCTGCTGAAGATACGACAGAATATTACTTTGCTCTCAGTTTAACTGAGGAGTCGTTAAATATATTACTAAATCTCATTGCACCCCTTATCCAGAAATCCGATACATATATGAGATCTGCTTGGCCGGCTAAAGTGAAATTGTCCGCTATTTGATACTTATTAGCTAACCAAGTTAGTTTACGCCTCTTGCTACATCTATTCAAGGTACCAAGATCGACAACTTGTAACATCATATATGAAGTATGCGATGCTATTTACAACGCACTGAGAGATTACATAAAGGTGCGTAACATTAAAAACTTTTTTTTATTAAAGTAGGTTTATTTTCAAATTCAACATATTTGCAATAAACTTATTAGTAAATAGTATTTAGTAATTAGTAAATCTTGTGTTACTAGAGTTGCAGTTTGAGATTCACTGTTCTCAGAGCACATAGTCATTGTATTATTATTATTATTTGCCTGTAGTAGGTGGATAGATTGGTTAGCAAGAGAAATGTTATCAGTAGCATCTGGTGTAGAAGATTGTGGTAGTTTTGTGTAATGACAGCCTTGCGGTAATTGTGTGTAAGGGGAGTGTTGTGATGGTTGCGTGGAAGGAGAGTATTGCGGTGATTGTGTGTAAGGAGAGTGTTGTGGTGATTGTGTGGAAGGAGAGTGTTGTGGTGGTTGTGTGTAACGAGAGTGTCGTGGTGGTTGTGTGGAAGGAAAGTGCTGTGGTGGTTGTATGTATTACGAGGAACTGGCGATTTTCTTTGTTGTTCTTCATTTTGATTACTTCGAGATTCAGGTGCTGCATCAGTGTACTTTTTTTCAGCAGATTCATTGTGTTGGGATGTGGAAGGTTCCTCTCCATCAATTATTTCATGTTGTAAATCCAGGTTCTGTAAAACAATAAATTGAGTAATAAACTTATACTAAACCATCCCTTAAAGTCAGAAATAACATTTCCTTTTCATTGCTATCAAAAAAGGTATGCTCTGTTCATGAACTTATTTTTGTTTTATTTTAGGTGCCTAACGGAGACGAATGGAAAAGGATAGAAAAAACTTCAGAAATTTCTGGAATTTCTCACGTTGCTCAGGTGCTATAGATGGGAAACACGTCACCCACAAAGCGCCACCAAACGTTATTACTACAACTACAAAAAACTAAAACCATATATGATGAAACCATATTGTTGCGTATACCCGCGATAAACTACCCGTTTAACGTAGATACACCTCGATTCGGTTACGGTTATTCCCGGTACAAAAAAATTTAAGGATGCGAAACGACCCTTTTCGCATAACAACACTTTATTATTTTTGACGCATTCATCTCCTTGACTACACGGCCACACCGCGCTGTTGAAATTTCGCGACATGCTCCCACCCGAGACCCGTCCTAAACATTACAATAGAGTCTCGAATTAAAACATAAAGCCTTAACCTAACAAAATCAGCCATGTAACAATTAAAAACTGTTAACTATAAAAATTATTTAGGGATTTGTGTTACTCGTCCGCTTCGTGTAGTCGCACTAACTAGTGTGTCGGGTACTCTGATTTTTTTCGATCTTGGGCTATTTCTAGCTCATCGCAGCTCTTGAGGCCCGAGTTCTAGATCGAAGTATAGCCAAGCCCCTCCCACAATTTAGACGAATCTAAATACTTGAGGGAACACTCACGAGATGGCAGATCGGCGGGATTCAAAACTCCGGGAACATAACGCCAATCTTCTCATGACATTAAAAGACGAATTTCGGTCACAAGGCACAAAGGTACCCCACACTTCATTTCGACGAATCCACGAGAGGACGGTGGAGGAATCGCTCCAAAAATAACCTTTCACATTCATCTCTAGGGTTTGGACAACGGAAGCATACAGTCTTGAACCGATAACGTCTGCTAGCAGCGTGGAATTGTAATCTCTTTCAGAGGCGACACACGGCTCTTTGCTGCCAGTAAATTCACAAAGGCATCACCGTCCTGTGTGCATCTCAGAAACAAAACAGCTGCATAGGCGTTCTTACTAGCATCTCAGAAAGTGTGTAGGCTCCAATCATTAGCTTCATCGGGGATCTTCACATCCACTAGGTGTGGTAATTCTTTGGTCCATTGGCGAAAAGCACTTTCAATTTCCTGATTCGGTGTGACGTCCCATCCTATCTTTTCCTTGCAGATTTTCTGCGGTAATAACTTCGCAATAATGGTAGTCGGACAGGTGAATCCTATAGGATCAAACACCTTTTGCGTTAATGAAAGCATCTATCTCTTGGTGACAGGTTGATCTGCTGTCTTGCCTAACTCTTCCATATAGCCTTTGGAAATGGAAAAAAATCACTGCTCGTATCCCAGACTAATCCTAGCAGAGGAGTAAGTGAACACTCTGATGAGACGTCCATTTTAAAACGGTTGATGCCTGATCTGCCACCCCCCGTAAGTCGAAACAGGCTTCGGCCATAGCACTAGTAGACTCTGATAAACTTGTTTAAGGTGAAACTTTCAGACACACTCGAAACACAATTCTCCAATCCTTTGGACATGGGGCTTTATTTCCCACGCATCTTTCCAAACAACGAGATATATGTTATGGTAGCCCCTAACAAAACACCCCGATTCGACGCGGTCTGAACCTGAGTAAGATGTCCGGAATTAGCTCAATGAAGTCCACCCCCTTCTCAAGGAATTGGTTCAAAGTGTTCCTTAGTACCCCTACTTTTTGAATACCTCACTGTACTCTTCCAGAATCCCTTCAGATCTCAACTTCCTGAGCACAATATCCAGTCTCTTATGTGCAACATCGTAGTTACTTCGCAATGGCGGATGACCCTCCACCCATGGCAGTCTGATCTCATAACGGCCCTCCTTATCTACCTCTACTGTGTTGAGCAAAAAAATCTCTTGCCGCCAGAGCTAACTCAGCTTTTGATTTTTTTCTCGCTGGGCTGTGTGATACCCAAAACATCGAGTTGCCACAAGTGTGCAAGAGATGCGTTATTTACCAAAAGAGAAACGGCACTCATTGTCATACAGACTGAAGAATAGAGTGGCACTTTGCCCATTAAGGTCCAGCCCAGTATCGTCTCAATTGCCATCAACCCGCATGCTAGTGTATATTTTACCCGCCATATCTGCCCCTAACAGCAGCTCAATGGGGTCAAATTCGCCACAATCAGCAATGCGGATATTCAACCTCTCCAGTTCTTCAGTCTAGACGCCATGAAGAACAGGAGAAATATCATTACAAATCACTGGTTGAGACAAAGCTTCAAAGGTATGACTATGATTATCATGGCTGAATTTTACCTCATAACAGTCATGATTCTGATCTGAAGTGACTCCTCCGAACAAACAGGCTACTATCTTCTGCTTTCGCTGGGAAGAGTAGCTCAAAGACTGCGCAGTAGATTTCAAAATGCCACAACAAACTTTGCGCTTTGAAGCAATTCTGACTCGCGTGCTCCCCGTGGCAAAATATACACTTCGTAAACCTGTCGCGGTAGGAACATTCGACTCAACAGAGTTCAACGCACAACGTCTATCTCCAATTCTGCAACTTGAACCTTTCTAACCTTCTGTGGATCGCAAACCGAAACTCTTAGACGCGAGGGAGATCCGCTGCTCGTTCTCAATTTCGTTTTGCAAAAACTGCATAAGACAATCTAATCTTTTTTCTAATGTTTCCCGCCGAATTCTTCGGTTTACCGTATGGTGAACGTTGCCACGCGCGTATTAAGTCCGCAGGTAAGCAAGATTCAATGAGCGGATAGAGCATAGTCGCATATTTGTCAGATGTTATGCCCAGTATTTCTAATGCACGCAACTGTGTCTAGATCTTATCGGGAAGCGACGACAACTCAATTTTTTTCTGCGACACTGCGTTATCATAAACCTCGATTTGCAAGTCTTCACGGCCGAATCGCGACGTTAAAGAGTTCACAATCTTGCTATAATTATCCCCCACAGCCGGAAAACTTTCTACCAACCGTCTAGCCCTACTGCCTGCTACGGTAGCTTGTGTCAAATATTCGACTTTATCATTTAAGTCGATATCACTGTCTTCATGTACTTTCCGGAACTGGGACCAGAAGGACAGCCAGTCTTTCACATTGCCGTCAAACTTTTTAAACTCTATAATGGGTAAGGTAAATTTGCGCTTACCTCTTATACCAACTGCAACTATAACCAATCTGGAGCAATACTGTTCACACTTTACATTTAACAAAGCAAATCTTGAGTTATAGACCTCGGTTGCCTCTAATTCAGCCACTGGGTCCTCTTCATTAGCATTCTTTATCAACAAGTCAAAAATCTCCAGTCGATTGTTTGGAGCTGCTCTGTTTTTTATCGTAAAAGATCCCAGGACACCCTCACGGCCTCCACGTGACTGGCCGTCAAATTTTTCTCCAACTCGTTGGTATTTTTCGTAAACACAGTGCGAAGCACCTTTCTGTGTTTCCGTTTCTGGTTAAGAACCATCTCTGAACAAACAGAAGACTTTTATAACGTAAGAAAGTCACCACGACAAACTGTTCAAAAACACCTAACGTTTGCCAAACGGGGGCAGCACGAAGCTAAAGTTCGTCTACGACCTTTGACGGGAACTTACGCCCGCGCGTCTTCCAACTCAAATCCAACGAAAACCGCAATCCGTCCTGTCACGGTCGCCACGATATGTTGCGTATACCAGCGATAAACTACACTTTTAACGTAGATATACTTCGAATCGGTTAGGTTTATTCTCGGTACAGAAAAAATGTTTGGATACGAAACGACCCTTTTCGCATAACAAGACTTATTATTTTTGACGCATTTATCTCCTTCACTACACGACCAAACCGCGCTGTTGCCAACTTATAAACTAATCCTAACGTCGTGACATATATGGTAGGAACCAATTGACATTTAAAAAAAAATAAATTTGAGATTAACAAGGGCAAGACGAATTGTCGAAAATGCTTTTGACATTTTAGTAAGTCGATACAGAATTTTCGAAAGGATTCTACACTTTTTTCCCAACAAAGTGCACAAAATCTTAAAACACTGTTGCGTCATGCATAACTGGGCGAGAAAAACCAAAGTACCCGTACATGTCGCCACGGTTGATATACTTACTATGAGAATGCAGATAGAATTGCACAAAACATATGCAAAGATTATACAGGTTATTTTGTAGGAAAAGGTGCAATCTCGAATGATAAATTCAATTAAAATGTTAAATTGAATTAAAATGTGATTTTGTGTCGTCATGTAATACAGAAAAATAACATATTTTTTTACCTACCAAATTACTTCCTGAGTCGCTGCACTGTATATTTATAGCTTTTAAAGCGTCGTTCAATAATTTATTTGTGGTTTATATACGTCATCCGTTCCAGCTCCAGATTTTGTATTCTGTTTAACTCTTGTAAGTTTCTTATTTTAGTATAAACTTCTTTACTTCCAAATCCCAGTATGTTCATAGCTTCACTTATACGTAAAAGTGCCGCATCTCGAGCTCCCTTCATTTTGTAGCTAAAGGCTTTACAATTATGTTTTACGTACTCCTGCATAAATTTATAGGTTATATCTTCGGTCCATTTTGCCATTGTTTGCACAACAATACGAGAGTCAGACGCTAAACAGTAAACACTAAACTGCCTGTGCCTTGTCCAGACGTGTTTAGCGGTAAGCAATCTGCGAGTGAACGGGTCGAGAGGCCGCGCGGGACGTAACTACTCGCAATCCACGCGCATAAAAATAAAACACGCGACTAACTAATCACTTGCACTAATCAGTCGCTGTCCACATTTATTTTCTCCTAATCACTAATCACCTGCACTAATCACTAATCAAATACAGGCCTTATAGCAAAACAAAGAATGAAGTAGCTTGAGATTTTTCCGTGATTTTTGGGTGACCTACGATGGACCCCTTATAGATGGACCTCTTATGGATGGACCAGAACCATCGAAGAAAAGGCAACTATGGGACCGGTATGACATGCATACAACACAGCACAAGGGTAATTTGCAAGGATAAATAACAACTCTCTCCACAGCCATCGAAGAGATTACAGGTCATATAATTCATATGAAAACACGTTTTTTTGTCTAACTTCTAGAAATTTGCTGCCGATGGTATTTAACGTAGCAGAAAAATGTTTTTAATCGCGAAATAAAGATGGCAGGTTAGAAATGGATAAACACCGTCTAATATCGTGGATCAGTAGAATTGATTAATCGAAAAAATCTATAATATGGTATCGCATGAGACTTTCGTCGACACTTTAAAGAAAATATTGGAAAGAAAAAAAAGAAAGTATGCTACACTATTACTACTCAAAATATGTGATGATTAGAAAGTGTACATTATCGATGGTTTAATTGACGAGCTTTTCCAAGGATTTTTGTGTAAAATACTGTCTGAACAAAAATCTTCTGAAGCAGCAACTCACAAGTTTAAAAGTGATAAGCATGACTCCAAGTGGAGTGGACTACAAGAAACCTGCCCACATTGCCAGATATTCTTTCTTCAGGCCTGGAAACTCCCTAGAAAGCAAGAAAGCGTGATGAAAGGTCAAGCAATGTAGCTATTGCAGTAGAAAAGGCTACCTTAAGGAACAGTGTTGGCACTTAAATCCGGCTAAAGTGCGGCTGCGACAAAGGCAAGTAGCCATAAATAATAGCTACATTGTTAATGTTTATCTAAATGGTGTTTTATGCAAGGGTTAAGGGTTACATACACACCGCAGGCCAGATGAACGTGACCGACCATTCTGTAATAAATATATTACAAATAAAATTGCAACCTTCCAGTATTGTAATTAAGAGTTTTGGGAACCAAATAACTTGTCCTAAAGGAATCGAGATTGTAAATTTTAAATTTAAAAATTTCTCTATGAAATCACAATTACTTCTTTGGATGATATTAACCATAAAAATAAAATAATTACTGTCCAGGGTGATAAAATCAAAAATAAACAACTTTATCCAGTAGTACTGAATGGATGGAGCATATGATGTATTGGAGGGTTACTTTATCTACCACACTGTTTTGAATAAACTTTATTGACATAAGGGCAAGATTTTGGATAGAGCTGTTGAAATACAAGGCTGTGAGGTCTCTTAAATGAAAAGAGATTAAAATTAACCTTGATGTCTCATAAAAAATAAAATAACGGCCGTATCCAACTTTCCTACAACCAAAAATTTACATGAGTTGACAAAGTTCTTATGGTTAACGAAAATTGATTAAAAACCATGCACTTATTAAAAACAATCTGTCACGCAGTAATGGAATTCTGTGGAAACAAGTTTCTTTATTGACATTATTGAGACTGAATTGCATACATACATCAGTAGTACGGGCATCGCTAGCATTTTACCTCAAGAACATGGGGATTCATTTAAAGCTGTTATGTTTTATAGTCGCATGACTAACTGAGGGTGAAAAAATTACCACTCATATGAATTAGAAACTCTAGCTATAGTCGAGTCAATAAACGTATTTACAGCAATAATAACACATTAAATCTGTGACTTCAAATGAAAGGGCCACTTGAAATTGGTACTGGCAATACTACGAAACCTCTCGACATAGCCAAGGATTATAGAATTATAGAATATGGAAGTTTAATCCAATATTGGATTGAAAGTTGACGAGAATATTGCTTTAAACATCTCCAGATGTTCCACAGCAGTAGGTATTATTGAAAAGTTGGAAACGTTGTATAGAAAGAAAAGTTAAAGATCTATCGACATGCTGGAACAACAATTTTTTGCCTACAAATATGATGAAACGAAAATTTGCAGTTGAAAATTATTTGCTAATAGATGGACTGGCGCAAGAATTGAAAACAAGTAGAGAAGATATTATTAAAGACCTTGCCTGTCTGTAGTTGATGTTCACAAGTTTAAGGAATCCACTGAAGCAAGAGGAAATATCTATAATGTAGTATGGAGTTACGTGTTCTATGAATTATAATAACTAGTTGTTTGGACTATGAGAGTACTGTCCAAGTCATACTCTGTGGTTGGTTGTTACCAATAAATAAACTGGGGTAGGCAATTACTTTTGATAGCTTAGTATGCCTAAGAAGCACTGGTGAGTGTTCTTTTAATTTGTATTAATACACTTTGTGAATTAAGATGTTGACTTTTACTTAGGACTAGAAAATCTTGAATATTACATGGTGTCAGGTTTTGATTTTTCAGAAGGCCAAAACGAAAAGTAGAAAACCATAATATCCAAGTTGATGCCCATTGCTCACCCAAATTAGACCATTGTGCAAAAGGAGGGACAAAACATTGATAGTCTTTTAACAGAACTCTGTAAAGCAGTTAAAATGAAATATAAATATCTAGAAGATATCGAACGATCAAAAATAGTCCATCATCCGGAAACAAGACGGAAGAAAAACTTAAGATGAAGATCCACGAACTCGAAACACTAGCTGAAGGTCATAGCTCTAATGCAAGTACAGAGTCCAGCCACAGCAGTGATAGATTTTTTGTCGAAGAAGTGAAAATTGTAAAACTGTAGTTGCTAAGGATGATAATACCACATGGAATGAAAAGGTGGAAATCGACAACAAAAAGGTAATTTTTAAATTAACCATTGCTGTAGAGGTGAGCGTAAAACCGCGTGTTCTAAATTGTTCTGCTCCTAATAAAAGTGCAAAAATCTTGTTCAAAAGGTCAGTTGCCTTTATTAAGCCCCCGAGCATGTATACAGTTAAATTTAATACAAAGAGTTGCTAATAGACTTTGCCAAAATGGCAAGATGTTGAGTTCAAAATGATGAAGTTGATTTTATTTTTATCTTAAACATAATGGAGACTTCAGTCAACGTGACAACAGGGCGTTGCACGCCAAACCGGGCTAGTCTACACTTTTGCTAGACGAGTAACAATTTTTTAGGGTCACGAGACGTTCACGACACTGGTCGCGGCGAAATTTTTAGTCCATTTATAATTAAATAGCCCCAATAGAGAACGTGTTTTTTGGTTCTGTGTGGAATTTTGAAGCAATTAAGAAAATTGAAATTAGTTTTCCCAAACTGATGGAGGATAACTATTTCGAGTGGTCGGCAAGAGTGAAGACTACTTTCATCCAGAAGGGAAATCTGTCGATTCTGGTTTTTGTGCAGAACCGTGAAGAAGTAATTATCGTAAAATATCACAAGTAGGTATTGAATTGTGAAACCCAAACCCTCGCCTTAATTGTTCTCATTGGTCTCTCGCTATGCTAAAATATGAAGGCACAGTAACGGATTTTTTGAAGAAAAATATATGAAGAGAGATGATTCCCATGTAGCTGGTAAGGTCCCGAGCAGAGAAATTGTTCCAGGCAGCTTCATGCACCAAGAGAGCCGGTAGAAAGCTCATCTGTTTCACATGCGGCAAACCAGGTCACAAGGCATGGAAGGGAGACAAGTTCAAAGAAATGTTGAAAAGTACTGAACTATCGTCAATGGAGAAAAACGAAAAGAAAGCATCAGTTTTAACAAACACTGGGGATGTACCTGTGCTTTGTGTTCACAATACTTCTATTCCAATGTACTGTTAGCCGGTGTACTCTACGCCCCCTCGCTGAAGGACAACATCACTTCTATGGGCGACCTGAAAAGAAGAACTGTGAAAAATGATGGGAAGTCAATTGTCACTGGTGAAATTAAACTCATCTTAATCACTGTTCACGTTGGTACACTGTGCTCAATAACAGAAAATGTTGAGGGTACTCTTAGCCCTCAGTTACTATCGTGGGGTATTTCGACACCTTATAACCTATATTTTGTGCTACAGCTTCTATGTTTTTCTAATTTTATTTTTTTGGTTTCAGGTATTCTCACAGCTTGTCTAAAGCAGCAAAAACGTGCAAAAAAAGTTTATTTTTTTTAACGTGTTTTCGAAATATTGACCTTTCGGGTGCCAAAACACCCCACGATATTACTTAAAGGTGTTTTGTTTTTTTTTGGTGGACTTACAAAAATGAAAAGATTTTTTACCCAAAAACAGCTTCATCAACTTCGTGAGAATTTTTATGATGATGTGGATGACTTAGAAATTGAAAATGAACAGATTAGTGACTTAAGTGATGCTCAAAGTCAGCACAGTGACCGCAACACTGGTTCCGAGTTCGAGGTCTCCTCAGATGATGACGAGGTTTTGTCAGCTGGTGAGAGCGATAATAACGACCTGGAGGAAGTTGGTGCTAACGAATACTTGTATGGAAAAAATCGGTACAAATGGTCCAAAAATCCTCCGGCTCCCTCAAGGACAAGAATGGACAATTTAGTATTACATTTACCAGGGCTCAAAGGTCCAGCAGCTGCCACACCGCCTCAATCGCCATATCCATCTTGGTCACTTTTTTTTACTGAAGATATTTTAGCTGAGATCCTGGAACACACTAACGCCAAAATAACAGAACTTAGCGTAAGATATGGTCCTACCGCTTCCTATCTAGGGCATATCGATGAAATAGAGCTCAAAGCATTTCTTGGCATAACGATTCTTTGCATTGTTTATAAATCCAATCATAAAGACTGTAGAGGTATGTTTGCAACACACAGCACAGGGAGAGATATATTTCGAGCCGCTATGTCTAAAGAACGATTTTTATTTTTTCGGAAACAAGGAGACAAAGAATTGAATTGATTGATAAATTGGTGATAAACTGGCTGCAATATCAAAAATTTATGAAATTTTTAATTCAAATTGTAAATCAAATTATGTTTGTAGAGAGTTTGCTGTTATAGACGAGATGTTAGTTGGCTTCCGGAGAAGATGTTCTTTCCGGCAATATATCAAGAGCAAACCCAAAAAATATGGGATCAAGATAATGTGCTTGTGCGATGCTAAGACGCGCTATATGATTAATTCCTTTGTTTACACAGGAAAAACACAAGATCAGAATCCCAAGAAACTCTCAGTTTCTACCTAACAGAAATCTCACAGGAGATAATTGGTTTAGTCCAATAGAACTGGTGGAAGAACTGCGAAACAATGAAATTACATATGTCGATACCCTCAGGAAAAATAAAAGAGAGGTTCCCCAGAATTTCTACCCAGTCGAAATCGTGCTGAAATGTAGTCAATATTTGGGTTTACCCGTAACAACACTATAGTGTCCTAGGTTCCAAAAAAAATAGGAGCGCGGTGCTTATTTCTTCCATGCATCACACCTCACAAATTGATGAAAATCAAAAGCCAGAAATTATAAATTTCTATAACTCCACCAAAGGTGGAGTTGATGCTCTAGATCAAAAATGCGCTGCATATTCATGTCAACGATGCAGTAGAAGATGGCCAATGACTATTTTTGGAGCAATGTTGGATATTTCTAGAGTCAACAGCCATACTTTATTACTGGCAGCAATGCGTGAAAACTTTGGAATAACTCGCAGCAATTTTTCCATCGAATTAGGAAAACAGCTTATACAAGACCAAGCAAGAAGACGACTTGAAACTCCCGAGCTTTCTCAAAATCTAAAAGGAATTATACAAACCTTACTGGGAGTTCCGCCCAATCAAGATCCCGCTCCATGCGCCGTAAGAAATTATGGAAGGTGTTATCTATGTCCACGTCGCAAAGATCGCAAAATCAAGATGACGTGTAAAATCTGCGACGTATTTGTAAGGAACATTCTGAAGTTATTGTATGCTGCCAGAAATGCCAGTAAAGGTAAGGATCGGTTTGCAAAAATAAAATAATCATCCTGTATATATATTGCAAAAATTAAAAATTGCTGTTTTTTTCTTTGTTTTTTACAATTATATATCGGGTGATCGGTTATACAGGTTGCTTTTCACTGACCCCACACTCATGACATACGACGCCAACGCTTTATATTATAAAAAATTGATCGTGAAACATCCTTGTTTTTTTTTGTTACAAAAGTAATAGAAGTTTATTTGTTACAGGTTGCTAGCCACATGCCTCAGGAACGAAGAACTCTAAGGATTTTTTTTTTAAATGAACTGTTTTTTTTTAATTGGTTTTTTAAGGAACACATGTCTTTTAGTTTTTAATTTTGTTACCATAATGAATATTATTAACCACAGAATACATTTTAATAAAACTTAATGTTAATTTTTGAAATAATTATTAGCTAATTAACCCAAGAGTGACTATACATTATCAGATTTATTTTATATCTTAATAAAAAAAAAATACAGAATTTAAAAATTTGGGGTGTCGAAACACCCCACGATAGTACTTGCGTGACCCAAAATAGACGATAGTAACTGAGGGTTAAAAAAATGCAAAAGAAGCTAGAATTTTTTTTACAACATGGCTTGAGAAGTTAGGACACGTACACCTTGAGGCAACCAAAACCTTCTTGTGGACTATACTAGCACAGAAGTTGAAAGTGACATGGTCAAAAACTGGGAGACGTGCATAAACTCGAAAAGAAAGAAATTGCAACCTTCTTAAATAAAACGCTTCAGTGTGTGTTATTAAACCCCCAAAATTGAAGTGGTTATGGGCCCAGATTACAGAAGCGAAGGATTGTAAAATAAGAGCTGTAAACAGTTTGGAATTTCGTACTTTTAGCTATGACTGGAATACAGAGCAATACAGTGCCAATTTTAGAAGCAAACAATTTTAATAATTGGCAAGTCAGAATTGTAACTTTGCTTCGAAGGGAAAACTGCCAAGAGGCCATCCAAGGTAATAAACCAGCAGAAAGTGTTACTTCGAATGAAAAGGAGGAATGGAAGAAAAAGGATTATAAAGCACAGTCAATAATAGTTCAAAGTATGTCGGACAAACACTTGGATATTATTAAAGATTGCAAAAGTGCAAAGACGCAAATTGAGGCATTGAAAAATGTGTTTGTAAGGTCTAGCTCTTTTACAAGATTATCCTGTTGGAGAAAACTGTTACATCTAAAAACTACCGCGAATGAAAGACTTGAAGACATTTCCTAAAATTTGATACAATTATCAGGAGCATGGATCAGACCTAAGTGAGAGTGATAAAGTTTGCCATTTACTATTGTCACTGCCTGTACAATATGATACCCTTGTAACAGCTTTGGAGGTTATTGGACGAGGAAATAAAAATGAAATCAAAAGCTAATTGTAGCAATGAAGCTAGCGAAATAGGCTTCAATGTAAGTGGCAAGAAATGTTTTGCGTGCTTTAGTCCCCAACATTTTCAAGCATAGTATCCACGAAAAAAAGGGAACTTTCGAGGCAGGCAACATAGAGGATTCAGAGGTAACCCACGTGTTGATAGAAGAAAAGGAAGTGTACAAACGTCGGAAGATAGAAATCAGAAGGCCAACACAGCCGAAGAAGACGCAATTCTGTATGCAGCAAATTACGGAAATCACATTGAAGGTATGAATTTCGTATTGGACTCAGGAGCAAGCAATTATTTTGTACAAAAGGAATTGGAAGGAAAAATTCTAGTGTGCAGGAGCTACCAAATTATGTGTCAATACATATAGCCAATGAAGAAATTTTAAGGTCCAACAAGACGGGAGTGTTAAAAGCAGAGTGTCAAGGGGTCAAATTGTCAATTGAAGCACTCCTTGTTCCAGGTATGAGGCACAATTTGTTATCAGCCTCAAAGCTAACTACAATGGGGCACAAGATTGTAGTTCACAACTATAAATGGTAGAAATTTTGTGTTGAAGAGTGAAAACAAAAATGGACTATATCTGTTACCAATGAACAAGATAATAGAACTGTTGCCTCACCAGAGTGAGGCAACAGTGAGTAAAACAGTGAGTAAAAAAAGACAACACCATTTTGTGCGGTTATAACTGATAAAATTTCAAGATCATGGGATTTTTTAAATGTGATGTATTTTTCAACAGTAACGTAAAGCAAGATTTTTTATGATAAAAGATGGTGGAACTTTATAGTGCATCGTGATTCTCTATGGAAATTTAAAATCAAATTAAATATTATGAATGCTAAAATCTAAAATTTGATCAAAATTGATAACAAAGTATAGAGATACTGTTGCATTGAAACCAGGATTATATAAATATAATACGGTTACTTTACAGTTACAACCTGATGTGAAACCTGTCTCGTCAACCCTAGAAACTTGCCATATGCATATCGAAATCAACAAGAAATAGACCAATTGGAGAGAGAAGGCATCATAGAGAAAGTGGTGAACAGTCAGTGGGGTACCCGATTAGTGGCGATTCCGAAGAACCATGGAAGACTGAGGTTATGTGGAAATTTCAAAGCTACCATAAACAAGTACTTTCAAGAGGTGAGACACCCGATTCCAATCGTGCAAAGCTTTATCGAGGTGAGAGATTTAGTAAAATTGATTTGTCTCAAGAGTACACTCAGGCAGGGAGAAAGAAAAATGTCTATTTTTCCAAGACTCAATAAATTTTTTGGGAGTTGTTATTACTAAAGATGGTATCAGAAAGATAAAATTAAGGCAGTAGGAAGAGCTGGTAGACCAACGAATAAAGTCCAAGTTAGGAGTTTTGTGGGTTTAGTTAATTACTATTCCAAATTACTACAAAATTTAACAACTCTATATGACTTATTAAAGAGAAACTCTGTATTTAGATTGACTAGGGAGTGTGAAGATGCATTTAACGAGATCAAACGGAGAATAGCGGAGAATGAGAGCAAATATGGTGTTTCTGGTAGTCTCAGCCAGATCGAGAGGACGGTACGGAAAGACGAAATGCGTGTATATCAGGTACACTGATGCCAAGTAAGTCTAACTACATTACACTTCAAAATTTATTATTCAGTAAAAAAGTTTGAAAAATACTTGGTAGGAAAAAGATTAGTTCTGAAAAAAGACCAAAAGAGTCTTACAACAATTTTGGAGGAGTATAAAGACTTACTAGTGATGCATGCTAATAGAATGCAAAGATGACCTCTTTATTTGGCGGGTTTCTCATATAAAATACAGGGAAACAATAATAGTTTTGGTTAGTTTGGTTAGAGTTCTGTTAAAAGATAAATTAAAAGAATTCAAGGGCAAAGGAGAATACTTAAAGTTTGTTGATACAACTGCAGATTGGCCGATAGATTGGGATAGAGTGCCTGCAGAATCGAGACTGGATGTACATCTGAAGAAAATTATGATGAAAAAATGATCAGATCTCATACCAACGAGGAATTTTATGCTGGAATCATGTGAGAAATTAAGGTATGGATTATGACAGGATCTACATACATCGTATTTCGGAGTTAACAAAACTAAAAGTTGGGCGAGGTCTTATATATGTTGGCCTGGGATCAATAAGGCAAGCGAGATGATAATATCCAGGTGTGTATAGTGTTTGCAGGTACGCAAAATCCATCTAAAGCTCCATTAACCCTCCTAAAGAAATTTGGGAAAGAATTCTAATAGATCTTTTGAAATTGAACAAATTTTATTAAATTATGGTAGATGCTTGTAGTAAATATCCAATAGCATATCAGATGAATAAAATGGCTGCGCATATTCGATGTTCGGAATACCCAAAATGTGAGGCAGAAAACTCATTGAAAACGTTGAAAGCAAAATTAACAGCAGCATTATCACATCCTAAAAACAAGAAAATGGATCTCAGTTTTGATCGCCCGTTTTCTCTTTTCTATATAAATGCAGAATATCAAACAAGCTCCAACTATGACACTTTTTTTGGAAGACTGAATAATCGAACGTGGAAAAATGGACCCCAGCTTCAGTAATTAATCAAATAGGGAGAAGAACGTACCTGTAGGCTGAACGAAAATGGTAAAATATGAAATATACATGCGGATCAATGGATCTGTAGATTTGGGGACGAAACGAAACAAACAACAACAGGTGCTCGATAGTCCACAAGTACTTGGCAATCCACGGGCTCCATGGGCCACAACAAGGGCTTGGTAAATAGCAACGAAGGCTCAATAATCCATAACAGGTACGACCCAAAGGCGACAAAGGCCAAATAGGGAAAGTTACAGCACTTCAGAGAGACTGACAGTGCAGCAGCGTTCAGACCAAGCCACAAGACGATATGGCCAACCATGTTCAGAGATTTTGCGCGGTGGTCGAAAAATTGTAATTGTAAATATAACAACGTTTTATATATCTGATCAAAATATCAGAGTTTACATATTAGCTTTAATTACTCCTAAACCAACAAACTAAACCTTTTAATTGGAAAATTCCCTTGATAAGTACCAACGGTTACTAATTGTGGAACGCTGTCATAGTATGATCCCAAAAAAAAAATGATTACAGCAGAATTCATTTGTAGGCATGACCGATCTCTAACTACTAAAAACTATTTTTCTTCTAGTATTACACCATCTGCAGATCTAGCAAATATAAAGTGATTCAAGCACTAAGAATTTCAACAAGCTAAAGGATTATATGTTGATATAGGATTATATGTTGATATTTTTTATTAAACCTGAACTGGTGAAAAGCATTCCAGGATGTCATTAACGAAGAGGACAAAATGTGAGATTGTGAATATTTCATCAATAGGAGATGAGAGTTCGTCAGACAACGAAAAATATTATGATTCTCTATAATTTAATTTATGTACAATGTATTTTTCTTATCTTTAATAAAAATAATTCTTAATTACTACTTAACTATCGCTTCTTGCAACTTCGATCAGTATAGAATAGAATAAAATAGTTCAGACTAGGCGAAAATCACTTTCCTTCCTCGTTGTTGCTTTTAGTATTTTTCTTATTTTAGAATTATGGTTCAAACTTCTCAACAGTGAAGGAAACATTTGAATTCTCACTCCCCATCCTATATTCGAACGCTTCATATCCTTGACTGTGCGTCTTTGCACTAGCAACGTTCGGTTTCTAATGCGTTTCCTCACTGTTTTCATATAAAATGGTCCGTCCCCACAATCTGGCACTTTAACCCTAAAAATTGTGGTAAATATTACAGAAAATTGAATGCAAGTGTAACTAAAAAACCGATGTGCAAAACAAAACTAGTACAAGGTGGGTAAATAAGCAAATGAAAATAATTTTGAAGGTCATATTTATGCCTCAAGGGGGCGTTACAGATATGGTCTGGTAGAAGAATGCATTCCTAAATAATGTTCTATTATAAGTTGATAAGACCCTGTAATTGTCTTTTAATCGTAGTATCATCAAATATGGGCGTAGGGGACTGATTGAAACGTCTATAACATAAGTTTAACTCAACATATTTGAGCAAGGCCTTTAAAAGAATAAACCTTGCTTATTCAGAAAAAAACATATTTGTGATAAACGGTTTTCACTGCTCTCACTAGAGGGTGCCAATTCAAACATTCATATTTTTTTAGTGTTTCTCCGAAATTTCAAATTTCAATTATTTCAACAGTAACAGAAAGAAGGCCGAGTTTGCAAGAAAAAACCTTCACAAACAAGGTTGATAAGGAAAAGTGCAAAATCTTAATTTTATCCTGCTAATATTATAGGCATTTCAATCAGCCAGACATCTCTCTTTCCCTTCACGCTTATTTAATGCCCGAAAATTAAAAGTTATGGATCATTTAAATGCATAATTTGGCAAGGCTTACAGTGATCCTATTCCTTTTCGGAGATGCACCCGCTTATTTTACTTTTCACTACTGTTTCATAAGAAATGAATATTGATCATTTAATCTCTCACCTTTTCATGAACTGCAGTCGATCAGGTTGAACACATATCCTGGAAAATAATTTACTGCTGTATTAATACTTATTTGATAACACATGACATAACATACAGGACAAATTTGGTTTTATTCTTCATGATAACGTTACCGGTTATAATAATACATTTTAAAAACAAAACAAACATGTTAAAAATCTTTAAAAATTTTATATACTACATATAATTTACATTGGTTTTAAGGAAAACAATCACGTTGTTTTCATTTATTTTATTAATTATTTACATTAATTTACTTAATGTAGTTTGATATGTTGTAATTAATAACTACTGTCTACTCTTTTCTTCTGCTTATGCTTTCCTTTTTACTCAGTAGTTTGTTAACAATATCATAAATTTCATAGCACATAGCACTGATTTAAAACCAAGCTATAACCGGCACAACATAGCAGTAAGATTATCGTGCGTTCAACTTATCTTGATTATATTTTGATTGGTTGTACCTTTTTTGTTTTTAAGTTAAAAAAGAAAATATATATATAGAAAATAAATATAATAAATAAACATCTTGTTTATTCAATATAACGCCTTAATTCCATTGTTTTTTTCTTTCGGGAAATAGGCAATAAAAGGGTTATTCTCATATTTCCATCAATAAAAATTAATTAAATTCTTTTACGATTCTAAATACAGCTGTGTATGGTCACCATTTTCTTGCGGCCACATTATTAGCGTTGATATATTTAAAGTTAGATCTTCTATACAGGGTGGTCCGAACTATAATGGAGAAACTTCAACAGCATACCCAGCTGATAAAAATAGGTAAGAAAAATCATATCAACTATGTCCAAAAGTGCTTCGTTTTGGAGAAAACTTTTCTAGATTTTGATTTCAAACTAAGTAGGTACTACTGCCACCAACAAACATGTTTATAGCATAAATAATAAATTATAATTATGTTTCTACATTATTATGGTGATGGTTAAATAAAAATATTGTCAAGACTTTAATAAACGATAGCAAAATAGACATGTCTAATCGTTTTCACAAAACTTCTGGATTCCTCCTGCTTATATATTAATCGAGGGGGGCGGAGCATAAACACCGTCTTGGATGACTGATTCCCATATTGGTGACAGGTCGCGGTTAAGATTGTTAGGTTGCTTATAGATTTCTATAGACTCTCGGATTTTTCGTTGGTAGAAGAATTGATTACATGCAAGCATTTTAGTTTTGTAAAATAAAATTATATGTCCGGTTTCGTGATTGTGTTCGGCAACCTAGTTGAGGTTTTTCGTCCGGTCTCTCCAATGTATTCTTTCCTGGCATCTCAAATGGAATTTTGTCTTTGACGGGTCGAATATGTTGAAAGATTTTTGGACAAGTGGTACATCTGGTTTTGAAGTTATATTTCTTTAGAACTTTCGATATGTGGTCGGTGATATTTTGAATGTAAGGAAGGATAACAGTGGCAAGTGTGGGATTGTTGTCGGCCTCATTGTTATTTGCTGGTTGTGGTGAAGTGTATTTTGTGTGGTAACGCTTAATATCTTTAATGTGGAAATTATTAGCGAGAAGAGCAGGGATAAGGTGTTTTAATTCTGGGTTCAGTGGCTCGGGCTGAGATAGTTTTATGATTCTGTAAACAAGAGGTGATAACCGATTATTTTTGGGCCGGTTGGTGATGTGACAATGCATTAAGGTCTGTGCGCGTAGGTTTTCTATAAACACAATAAACCAATGTTAGGTCTGATTTTCTATTGATAACAATATCTAAAAATGGGAGGCTATTATTAGTTTCTAATTCAAAGGTAAAATATATGTACATTCAAATGTCGGAGAAAATCTACTACGGATTCTTGACCATGAAGCCAAATAACAAAAGTATTATCGACGTAACGTTTCCATGAAGAGAGCTTTCTTGTCAAATATATTCGCGATGAGTGGTGATAGTGGACAACCCATAGCTGTTCCCGATGTTTGTTTAAAAATTTGTCCATTATAAGAAAAGAATGTTCCAGAAAAGCAGTTTTGGTTCAAGATTCTCGGATTTTAATATATCTGAAATGATGTTGAGAGTTTCTCGAATAGGGACTTTAGTAAAGAGGGATTCTACGTCTAAGCTAAAGCAGAATATTTTGTGTATCTAATATAATGCTTTTCAATTTTTCAATGAAGTGAAAGGAATTAAGTATGAACCTATCAGTTTTCCCTGGAAAGGGTTTTAATAAAGAAGCTAGATCCGAGACGGTGTTTATTCCCCTCATTTAGCTCAGCCCTCCTGAAACAATAGATAAGCAGGTACAGAGTAAAATGCGAGCCAGTTTCAGTTAAACTCTGAAGAATCCAACAGGATGATTGGCGAAACGTTAGAAAGTTTGATTCAGGAAGAATCGAGAAGTTTTGTGACAAGTATTACAGTACCCTGTGGAAGTTTCTTTAACAAATTATGTTCTATTCGGTTTCTTCGATTTTAACAACAGTTACGAAACAAGACCGTAGTCAACATTGCCAATTGGTTATTGTACGTAAGTTGTCTTAGTCGTGTTTAAAAAGAAGAACATTTATGAGAAACTTAATTTATCTGTGCAAGGGGTAAACAGGCACAAATGCTGAGTTCGTTAATAATACTGCTTACTGCAGGTTAATTAATTACTAAATTTAAATGTTCAGTTTGATATACACAATGACTATTAAAATTATACCCTTCAAATAGGCCTGGAAATGAAGAGCAATTTGGTGTCTTGTGCATGATTGTATTTCAGCTATTAAATTTCTGGTGGCCATTTTATTTAGACCAAAATAAGTTAATAAATATCTCGTTGGGAATTTTAAAAGGATTGCTATGATACCTTACCATATTACCAATATTCCAATCTTCTCTACCGAAAGATCTAAAAATTGTTTAAATATTTGTTAATAGGGGAATAATGTCGAAATAGATCTAAATAGATCCCTTTTCTGATTTTTCACATTTTTTAGGGCAACTGAAAAGTTTACATAAAAATTTGCAGAATGTCTTAAAAGTTACAAAATAGCTATTAATTCACCACACGAAAAAAATTACTCCCAAAAATTTCAAAACTGTCAAGTGCAAAGATGTGATTGGTAAATTAGCTAATAACCAATCAGTTTAGCAATGCATTGTTAACTGAGTTTTAAAAAAAATCGATTTAATTCGCAATATTGCAAAAGCCTGTATCTCCGAAGTGATGCACTTTAGGGCTTAGGCTTATAAGAACTTTTTCACTTATTCTCAACGGCCATATACGCTGGTAAAGTCTCTCCGTTATGATTCGGACCACCCTGTATACTGTGCTCTTATGTGTTCTAAGACATGGAAACAATGATTTCCAGCTAATTTTTGAACTACAAATATAAGACCCAAAAAACACCACAGCAAACTATAACAAGCTAGTACTAGAGTACTTGAATCCGTCCATAATATATATATATATATATATATATATATATATATATATATATATATATATATATATATATATATATATATATATATATATATATATATATATATATATATATATATATATTACGTACATTAACCATTTGCTATTTTCCGAGCGTCCGTCTACAACCGGGCGTCCATATATGAACGGCCGGATGCAGAGCTATAGAAACGGTATATACAAGATCTAAGTAGTCTAAATTAAAATTTTCAGAAAGACGCTACGATCATAGTAAACTGAATTTTCTTGTATATTGTCAGTTCAACTGTATACCCGGTAGAGGAGCGAGACCCAGTCTCTGTATATTTTACAAGATATATTCTACTTTCAGCTCGTCGATTTCCAGACGTCCTTTGCGCCTTTGTTGCGTGGCAACACTGTCACTATTAACTTTTGCAGACTGGCGCGAAATTGTGAGGTAACGGATCTGCATCGCCTAGTTGTTTTGTTTTTCATTATGAATGAAATCGATTGGCGCTCCATAGTTTGAGCATGTAGAGACGGTGGAAATAGAGAATTTTATTTTTTTTACCACAAATTAGGAATTAGGCTAAGTTAGAATTAACGTAAACGCAACATAAATACACAAGACTTTTTTTCTATTAAAAAATTAAATAATTAATAAAAATTTATTTTCGAAATGTGTGGTAAAGAATTCAAAATTTACAAAAATCATATTTACATCCTGTTGCCAATGTGTGTGTGACACACATCGCGAAACTCTTTTGTTTCGCTTGCTCTCCTCGTTCTGAGAAAATCCGCTCATTGCATAAAGTTATTCTTTTTTCAACTACTTGTCCGCCCGTTGCAATTTTTTTTTACCTTAATTCAATGAACGCAATAACAACACCCAAGGCTCCAGGTGGGAATCAAACCTACAACCTGCTGCAAGTCAAGTTGGCAGGTCTAACGACTTACCAACCGAGCTATCCTCGATCACTTAAAAAAATTATTGTTTTTTTATTTAATTGCACGAATTGCTATTTTTCGATTATTTAATTATTATTGCATTATATAAATCTTCAGCTCCATTAAGCAATATTATTAAAATAATGTTTTAATTAAACAAAGTGGCACCAACAAGTTTTGGTTTTTTATATGCGAATATTATGCAATAACTTCTGAATCTTTTTTAATTTTTGGGTACATTTTTAGAATTATTACGTTCTTCCGATAATTTCTGCTAAATACTATTTAGAGCGATGTTCGAAATATTAAAAATTTCGAATATAAATATTTATATTATAGAAATATTCAATATAAATGGTTGTCTAATGCAATTGGAAAAGAAGTTGTTGGAATTTGCAAATTAAAATATCATTTGCTAAATACTTATCTAAATAATTAGGTAATAAAGTATTTTGATTTTATCGTCTAATAATATTATCTTAACATATAAAAACTATTTTAAACTATTTTATTGAACGATTTAAGTTCTTGACTTTTGCTTTTAATCAAATCAAAATAAATTTGAAAAGTAACGTTTCTATATTTTAGTAACAATTACCATTTTCAAATGAACTTTGATAAAAGTTATTCGATAAAAGTGTTCTTTTTAATAGTTATTTTTCTTCATTGTCCCCTAAGATATAAATAAAAATAAAGTTGAACAAGGAATGAGAGGGATAAAAAGTAAAGTACGGAATATTCAATAATGTGTCATCACTGCCACCGAACAATATTTGGCTATATTACTTTTTTAACAATCTTTTTCTAAATATACTCTCAAAGTGCATATTTAGTTTATAGACCTCTGAACTAAAGTATCTTTTTAAGTGATTTTCGACATATTCTCTATAAACTTTTGCCTCGAGATAAAAAGTGTCACTTTAGTTCCTTGGATACCATCTAAATCTTTTTCCCAAATTTATTTTTTAAAAATCTCCCTTTCAAATTCCTGCTCTAAAATTCCTATTATTCAGTGTGGCTTAAAGACGTTAGACAAATAAAGTCATAAGCAGTTGCCGAAAACAATAATGAAACCGAAATCTCACTCGATCAAATTAAAAATTTATCAATGTAATCAATTCTTCTACCAGGGAAATATTCGAAAATCCATAGAAATCTCTAAACAACCAAATAATCTTAACCGCGTCTCTGTCTTTCACCAATATGGAAATCCGAGACAATGTTCATGTCCCTTCTTTAGCTCCGCCTCTCTGAAATAGTAAATAAGTGGATTCAGAATAGAATGTGCGCAAGCTTCACTTAAGTTCTGAAGAAGCCGTCAGGATGATTGGGGAGACGTCAGCAAAAGTTGACAAACGATGTAGAAGGGATCTAGAAGATTTATAAATAGCCTTCTGAAGAAAATATTAATTTTGTTGAGTAAAGAATGCCGCTCTCATCGCAGTTGTCTGTGTTCTTTATAATTTGATAAAAACCTCTAATTATTCCTCCTAAATATTCCAAATAACTAGCATCGGCCCATTTTAGACCAACATTAAACACACAAAACACAGTAATATGATGCCTCGGTTGACCTCGTAAAAGAAAATAATTGAAAATGACATTAATTTCGGAATTAACAGTTTTTCTTTATTGATCTGCAAATAAGCCAACCGTCGAGAACTTAGAAAACATTTTAAAAAAATAGTATTTAAATATTAGTATTTATTTTTTACACTGTTTTCCTCCTGCGTCGGTTTTTGCTGGGTCGAAATTGCTGACATTTCGCCAATCATCCTGTTGGCTTCTTCAGAGCTTGACTGGCTCGAATTTTACTCTGTACTTGCTTACATATTGTTTGAGGGGGGCGGAGCTAAATGAGGGACAGAAACACCATCTCGGATGACCGATTCCCATGCTGGTGACAGGTAAAACCAGAGTCGCAGTTAAGATTTCTACAGAATCTCGGATTTTTCGTTGGTAGGAGAATTGATTACATGGAAGAATTTTAGTTTTATCGAATAAAATTTTATGTGCGGTTTCGTGATTGTGTTCGGCAACAGCTGATGAGTTTATTTGTCTTATTTGTAAGGCTCTTTCTTGTTCTTTGAGCCTAGTTGATATTTTTCGCCCGATTTCTCCAATGTCTTCTTTGCCGCATATGCATGGAATGCTGTAAACTCCTGGCATCTCAAATTTAATTTTATCTTTGACGGACCAAAGATGTCGAGAGATTTTGGACAAGTGGTAAATCTGGTTTTGACGTTATACTTCTTTAGAACTTTTGATATGTGGTCTGTGATATTTTGAATGTAGGTGGCAAGTGTAGGATTGCTTTCGGCCTGATTGCTATTGGAAGGTTGTGGTAAAGTGTATTTTTTGATCGACCGCTTAATATCTTTAATGTGGAACTTATCAGAGAGAAGAGCAGAGAAAGAGGTTGAATTAATATTTTAATCTGGGTTCAGTGACTCGGGCTGAGATAGTTTTACGGCTCTGTAAGCAAGAGAGATGTTGAGAGTTTCAGGAATAGTAACTTTGGTAAAGAGGGATTCTTCGTCGAAAATAACTAGAATATCTTGTGTATCTAATGTAATTAATTGAACACCAATATGGGAATCACTCATCCGAGGCGGTGTTTATGCCCGTCATTTAGCTCCGACCATTCAAACAATATGTAAGCGGGTACAGAGTAAAATACGACCCAGTTTCAGTCAAGCTCTGAACAAGCCAACAGGATGATTGGCGAAACGTCAGCAAGTTCGATTCAGCAAAAACCGACGCAGGAGGAATCCAGAAGTTTTGTAAAAAGTTTTACAGTAGCCTGTGGAAGTTTCTTTGAGAAATTAATAATAGTATTTATTTTCAACTATTAAGTTGTAAAAAAAGTGGTATAGATTTCCATTTAAAAAATATTGGTTATTGGGGCACCCCTGAAATTAACACTTTTTATGTAAGTTTAGGTCCAACCAGCACCTGATTAACGTAGTTACAAGTGCAATATATCTGGAAAACATATTGCCTTACAATCAATCAAAGAATTAGTTTCCGAAATCGGGCGACGCATTAAAGAAAATATCTACACAAAGAAACTAAGTTTAGCAAAGATTTTTAAAAATTAAAAAATCTACCAAAAACAAATATAATAAAATAAAAAAATAAAACAGTTCGCAACAAAGTATTATTCAAAATATAGCGAAAATATGAATCGCCTTATACCCGCTCGACTGTGCACCGTTATGTCAAAAACGAGAAGCGTGTTCTGAAGACGATAGCTATTTATATGTAGTTTAATACACAATCAATCGGGCAACGTTGCTCGGACGCTCAGAAATCTGCGCAATAAATGAAAAATATACATAAGGACGCTAGGATGCTGGAATGTAAAAGTTTTCCCGTGTATATTGGACGCTAGCAAGTTACCTCTATGACGCCGACATATTAGTATCTTAAAACTTATTCATAGATGTTAAGTTGGCGAAATGTCATTTTAATAATAACAAAAACTGTGTCAATACTGTATCATGCTTAGCAATATGTCAAATGGAAAGATAACTTTAATTGTCAGTCCCAGTACTCCTCAAAATTATATGTAAATATATTGTTGCAAACATCTCGAAAAGAAGTGAGATCAACATATCAAATAATTTACCGAAAAACGTGATTGCTAACCTTTCATGTAGTATTCTTTATTTATGTCGATATCTGAAGAACCAAAAAAAGTTACAGAAAATCAAAAAGGTTTTTTAAAAAATATATAACGCACATGCCTATTAACTCACATTAAAAAAACTCACCTGTTATGTGATATTTCTTCTGTAATTGCATCATTACTGTCAGAAAGGTTCACACATTCCCTCTGTGCGATTTCTTCAAGAGCATCTATTTCATGGACCATGTAAGTACCTGATGATGATGGTAATTTTTTGGGTGTTCTAAAATTGAAAAAAATCGTTGGAAATGATGAATATTCATTTCTTCCTTATTGGTTACCCTGTTTGACCAGAAAATTCACGAGAAATTAGAGAAGCTTTTGATACGAAAAACACTTCTATGAGATTGCCCCAGTTTAGATCTTGAACTTTTGCTATTGTGCACAGGGAAACATTTTCCACATTTTCATTGTTACACTTACTAGTACAACTGGAAAGCAGTAAAATGTATTATTGATATAACTATTTTCTTTTTATTAAAACAGTTTCTTTTAAAGGTTGAACAGAATTTATGATTTAGTTTATGTTGGTAGATTCGTCCATATATTCCTGTTTCCCATTCAAACTGTAAAACTTAGCCTTAGCTTATTTCATAGTATTGTACCCTTGGCGATTGTCAAGAGTATCGAACCGGCAGGCTGAACCGGCTTGTACCTAATTCTCTTATTCTTTATTGAACTCGGCAAATGCTAGATCTTATCCCTGTCGTGTCTGTTAAATGAAATATAATGGTAATTCGTGTTCCGCCATTTCACTTTTAAATCCCATTGATTCGGTATGGGCGCAAGAAAAAGGGGTTGTAACAAGGCATTATACTACTTCTAAAACGAAGGAATAGGGAGGAGGCAATAAAGATAGAGGATTGTGAAAATGAAGTAAGTGCTCCTCAAACATATGATTAAAAAGGAAGAAAGAATATCGGAAGCCGATAACATGCTAAAAAACTCTGTGAAGATCCTTATTATTTCTCTGGACTCCAATGACTACTCGGAACAAGATGACTAAAATTTACAAATGAATTTTTTTTTTAAATAATAATTGTTACAATTTGTGTAATTCAATATCATTTTTACTTCTATATAATTTTTTATATACTTGATCTTAGAATAATTAATGTGAGCAATTATCTGCCATCTCTATAATTACAATCATCTATAATTAATTTAGCCACTTAAAGTACTTTTTAGTTCAGTTTGATTTTTGGATAATCTTTCCAACATTGGAAACTTTTTATAACTGGTATCGTAGTCTTTTGGTGCATTTTACCATAATTGCCCTTACATAAGTTAAATACTTCATAAATATTGGAGAAATTAAATCCAGATTGCATTTTCACAAAATTCAAATTAATTTTATGGACCCTTAAAAATGCTATATATCTAAATATCTAGGGAATATAGTTTCAACACTTTTGGGACAACCTGTAGAATATGAGAGAAATTTAAAAAAGTTACCATAATAGAAGTTGACATATCCCGAAAATATAACTTGTTTAACGACCTGTGAGTATTGCAAAATTAAACCAGGAAAATTGAAAACTATTACAAAACATGCCAACAACTAATTTGTTCAAAGAAAACTGTATTTCAATATGTAACCCAAATTGGCACTAAGAGAATTGTATAGAAATTGGTTTTAGATAATACACAAATTAATATAATCAGTATAAATTGGATTTTATTGAGATCTGTCGCCTTTAGTATAGGGATCATGGATTTTCCTTATGCACTTTTAGCTATTTAACACCAACAAACACTAAAAGATTATTGTATCGATATAGAAAAAAATAAAAACAAAATTCTAAAAACATTTTGCACGAAAAGTTATTTATGTCTGCCATAAAAAAATTGCTAGGTAAAAATACATGCATTCATAGCAATTTTTATCTGTTAAAAGTACAGGTACAAAAGTACATGTGGAAATTGTATTATGTCTACTGGACTTTATATGCTTACTTGTGAAAGGGCAGATTTGTACCACAAACACTTCTTCTTGCAAACATCCTACACTGCAATGCAACAATGTAGTTTTGGTTTCGAGAAATATGGACTTAACTTAACCTCGGGTCTTGCCTCAGGTTTCCCAAAACAATATCATAGTAACAGAAATGTATTTTTCAGTGATATATAGATTAATTTTATTTTGATTTGATAGCTTAGAGACAAATATATCGGAAAAAGTTATTTGAAAAAGTGGTTCCAAATATTATTCTGACCCCACATACCAAATTTCATGAGAATGGCATTTTCAGTTTTTTCATTATTTCGGTCAATACCAACACAAAATTATTACAAGTTCATCTTTTTACTTTAGTACGATTTTATGTTTGTCAATTAATAATAAAATTTAAAATAAAAATTGTGTTATTTAAATGTCGATTTCTTAATATGTACCTTAAAGAATTTTTCATAAATTTTATTTTTTCATTCAAATTTTTATTGTTACTTTGTACCCTGCATTTATTTACTTTTACACCTACAAACCAAAAACGTTACTTTTGAAATCAACTGTAAAATATGTCAAAAACGGGAGCTATAAGGTTTTATATCAAATATAATAACATTATAAAAATAGGGTGTTGAAAAATTTTTGAATTCAAACTTTTAATGCTAGTTTTTCAGTAAAAGAAAACTATATTTACACCTGCGAATTGAATTGTAAATTGCTTTGGTCTCCCATTTAAAAGAAATTTGTTACTTGTCCCTGAAAATACAAATATATATGTATAGCAAAATATTGTTTTAAAAATACAAGTAAATGGAGAGACCTTTTATCACTTTTTGACATTCTTTACAGAATCTGGCATAAGGTATGATTCGATAATAAATACGACATCCCGTACCACTTTTGTTTTACAATCAATTAAGATATTCTTGTAAAAAAACTTGGATCAATAGGGGCAATAGCCAAAAATAATAAAAAGACTTTGAAAAACGTACTGTAGGAAATAATTACTTAGACACTTGAAATTTTCAATGTCGCAAAAAGAATTATTGTCAAATAAACTTCTCTTTTAGGAATCATTAAATAGGAAAATGTGTAGGGTGGTTCCATTTAAAAAAATATATTTTTGTATAGTCACGTTTTTACGGAACACCACACATGATTAAAATCATTTAGAAATGTATTTAGATTTTATGCAACACTAAAACAATTTTTTGAAATTCCGGCAAAACACCATGTATACAGAGCTGAATAATTTCTACCAAAGTTTTGGAAATTTTAACCAACAGTTAAGGGTAAAAATGTAGAATTTAGTTACATTTTCTTTGTGTTGGAATTTCATAGAATTACTACACAATTATTGTAATGGGTGATTCATGTAGAGTGTCCTATTATATATTAGAAGTTTAGAAGAACTAAATTTTTTTTCTTCCAAATTTGGTATATGACCCTAGTACACTGTGACGTCTAGAGTTGTGAAGTCAACTCAAAGCAGAGAATGGAACACCATATTTATTAGTACATTTTCTGCACTTATTCAAAATTCTGTGCAATTTTTGTTAACATTTCCCTATTCCTAATCGAGGAGGTTGGAGCTCTTCAAGAACAAATTTCTAAATTTTGTGAAGTAATGTACCTACCGTTTTCTTGGAGGAGACTGTGGTGGAGAATAGGACAAAGATGAAGACCTAAAAAATAAATGAATGATTATAATAAGAACACTTATATTTCAAAGACAAATTAAGATAAGTATATTCTGTACCTTGATTTTTCTGATCTAAAAACTTCAGCATCAAATATTTGCGGAAAAACATCCCGTTTTAAAAATTTTACTCCATCGCATCGAAAATCGAAGTCTGAAGTTTTAAAGTGGTCACTACAAATTGCAGCTTTTTGTCTTAGGACTTTATTTTCTGCAAATCCTAGTAGCGCACACCACACTTTACGTCTTTCGACGTTTCTTGGAAACCTACAATACATTAGGTATACTATGCACAAATACCGCACGACATAAGAAAATAAAAAATAAATAAATAAATGCACACCCGCATTTGAATACAGCAGTGAGTTTGTTTACATACCCATGAAATGAGACGTTGGAATCTAAACCGCCAAGTTTATTACAAACTTCACATCGTTGCGTCATTTTCACTATAAGTCTTTAAAACATTGTCCTTTTCACTTTTAAAACCCACTATTATCACAAAAACAAGGCATACTTGGTATTACAACGTACCATGTAGGTTAAACCAAACAACAAACTACCTATCCGACGTTGTCATATTGTAAAAGAACTTTTCTTGCTACCATTTTGCTATTATGATGAAAAAATGTACTTGCAATTTTATTGATTATGCTTAATGAAATGGTAACACGACATTTTATTCTATCTATACTTTTATAAGCCTAATAATATTATTTTAATAATATAATTTTCGACGATATTGGCAACATTGCGCTTTTTGAGTCGTAGGAATGATTGGAAATAACGACTATTTCTCAACAGAAGTTACAGAAAGGGATTGAACATTTATATTTAAGTCGCAGGGCATCGAGCGTATCTTCAAAAATAGTGGAACCATTTGTTTTAAGAACTGCTTTTCAGTTAGAGTGGTAATTTTCCAATGTTATAAATAGAGGAGGTTTCAATTGAAGAATAGGAGATGATTAAATATTAGAACATTTTGTTTACCTGGGATATTCAGTAATGAAAGCTTTTTGTTTTTAAAAAATTTCAAAAAATGTTATTTTAATTTTATTTCCCACGTTCGATAATATATAGTCGAAACCACACACAATCGCAATGACGTCATGCTGGTTGGCAAAAAACGTATATTTGCTGATTATTACAAATTACAGCTTGCTAATTGACGGTGCTAGAGTTATAAACGCTTTAATACTGTAAACTGCTGAGTAAAGGTTCCCATACATATTATATTACTTGTTTCTCAAAGCGTCAGCAATTTGTCTGTATAAAACCACGGTGCGAACCACGTCGCTAGCTTTTTTGTCATCTCGCTTGAATAAAGTTTTTTAAAAAAAATCAAATTCGTTTTCCACGACGAAAACTGGCGCAGTCGGTAGGATTTCCGTGAAACAAGCATTCCAAAATCGACACTGTTTGGTCTCTCTCAAGAGTTTATTCGCGAAATCCGAACAACACAAAAAACTGTTCAAGTGGGTGCAAAGTGCTCAATTGGCCAGGGGAAGGAACAAGCATCGTCCACAACCCTATTGGTGCGAAATAAGGAACAAAAATCGTCCGAATTTCATACGTAGCCCAGGGAAGAGACAAGCATCGCTCATCCTATTGGAAAACTAGATTAAGAAACGAAACAACCAAGAATGAAAATCGTCGTTCTCTCACTGTTAATGTAAGTTTTTCTTTTGTAAATATTTTTCTGATTCAAACTGGAAAGATTAATTTCTCGTTTTGAAACATTAGAGTTAAAACCTAGAGTAGCTTCTGTCGATAATTTTAATACATCATCTGATTCCGATTCCGATTCTGACATTAATTTAAACACAATGCCGGATACGGTGAATCTTCAATTAGTTAGGTACCAAGCGGATAACATCCCTCATTTCGATGGCAATCCTAAACAAATAAATCGTTTTATTAGAATCTGCGAAAATTTTCTAACTAATCATCAAAATGTAAATAACCCAAGTGCTTCAATAAATGTTTGTTTAATCGATACAATAATTAGTAAATTAATTGGTAGAGCAGCTGATTTAATAACTTCTCGTTCTGAACTCGATAGTTGGTTAAAAATTAAAACAGCCCTTCTGGCAACGTTCTCCGATCAAAGATCAGTTGATTGTCTTTTACAGGATATAATTTCAATGAAACCCAATAGTAGCGAAAGTGCGCATAATTTTGGTTTACGCTTGCAAGATGCCCGTAGTATTTTATTTTCAAAAATTAACTCTACATGCGAAGATATCAATATAAAAACTCTAAAAATTATCCAATTTGAAGATCTAATTTTAAAAACATTTATAAACGGTCTTAATTACCATATGCAGTTAGTTGTACGTTTAAGAAATCCAAAATCTCTCGAAGAAGCCATGTCGTTCTCGTTAGAAGAAGAAAATTTTATCGCTTATAAAAATCGTGTTGATATTTCAACCAAAACTACACCTGTTGCAATGCAAAATAAACCAAAACCTCTATTAGGTTAATACCCAATTAATTACCCATTAGCTCCACAAAATTTCACTAGCCCATTTCAACCGCCAACAATTCGACCAAGTTTTAATAATTTTAACCCCCCGAGATTTCAAAATAATTTCCAAACAAGACCTTATTTTCAGAATATTCCAAGACCAAATTTCCAAAATAATCAAAGACAAAACTTCCCGAATATTCAAAGAATTAACCCGATGATCCAAAGACATCAATTTAATCCAAGACCTTACCCATTTATGCAAAGACCTATGCATTCAACTACAAGACCGATGTTTAATCAATATAACCAAAATCCAACCCCAAAATTTGACAAACCGGAACCTATGGATACTTCATCAGGCAATACCCGTATAAATCAAATTCAACCAAATAAAAATTACTATCTAGCAAAAGAGATTGACAATCAATCCACAACCCCCCAAGCTAATTCAAACAACGAAATACCAAATTTTGAAAGTGAAAATCCTTATGATTTTTATTATCACGAATATCCCATCCTTGAAGAACAATACACCTACGACACAAATTATGATACACAAGAATTTTCCGATCAAATATATCAATTAGACGAAAATAACCACTGTTATAATGAACAGGACGGAAATTTTCAGGAAACTCCGAATACAAACAACCAAACTTAACGCAAAATTTTCCCCAAAACTACACTTCAATATATGTTAATAATTATAATCATTCTGATTTACCAATAGTTTATTTTCCTGAACTTGATGCTCAATTTCTATTAGATACAGGTAGCGCGAAAAGTTTTATAAATCCACAGTTAGCTTATAAATATTACCCAGACTTTATAAATATTGAAAATTTTTCAGTAATGTCAGCTCATGCAACATCCGTTCATAATGAAGTAATGACAATACCATTATTTCCTTCTTTCAATTGTCCTGATCAACATCATAAATTCTATCTTTTTAACTTTTCTCCAAAATTTGATGGACTTATAGGAGTAGATCTTTTGAAACAAATAAAATCAAAAATAAATATTAGCGAGTCTACACTGGAAACACCGAATGTAATAATTCCACTGTATTACCAACATAATATTAAAAACACCCCAGCGGATCCAAAAATAAATAAAATTTTTGACGAATCCAAATTTAAATTCGATGAAATTATTATTCAACCAAGAACAACACATAAAGTTAAAATACCCGTGACAGAACAAAATGGTATAGGAATCTTAAAATATGAAAAATTCGTAAATGCTGAAATGCCCGAAGCTTTAGTAAAAATTGTCGGTTCATTCGCGTTAACAACCATTACTAACACATCTGAAAATCCTGTTAGTATACAATTTATTAAACCTCTAGAAATAGAATTAATAAATGAATGTGAAACTAATTTCATAAAAAAATTAGAAGATAACAATGAAAATTTAATCGAACATTCAATAAGTAATTTCGACAATTTGCAAAAAGAAAATCTAAAAAATTTAAGACTGAATCACTGTAATAAGGAAGAATATAAAGTAATTAGGAAGTTATGTTACGAATATCGAGACATATTTTATTGCGATAAAGTGCCATTATCTTTCACGAATCAAATTAAACACAAAATTAATCTAACTGACGAAACCCCCGTTTACACAAAAAATTACCGTTATCCTGAAATACATAAAGCCGAAGTAAATAGACAAATAGACGAAATGCTAAAAAATAATATAATCCAACCCTCACATTCCCCTTGGAGTAGTCCTATATGGATCGTACCAAAAAAATTAGATGCATCAAATAAACGTAAATGGCGCGTTGTCATAGATTACCGGAAACTTAATGAAAAAACAATTGATGATAAATTTCCCTTGCCTAATATCTCAGATATTCTTGATAAACTCGGTAAAGCTCAGTATTTTTCAACTCTGGATCTAGCTAACGGTTTTCATCAGATAGAAATGCATCCCGATGACATCCCAAAGACAGCCTTTTCTACTGGTACTGGACTTTTCGAATTTAAACGCATGCCTTTCGGATTGAAAAACTCACCCTCTACGTTCCAACGTGTTATGAATAATGTGCTAAGAGGCTTCCAAAACGAAATCTGTTTAGTATATTTAGATGATATTATAATTTTTTCCACATCCCTACAGGAACACATTGATCGATTAAGAAAAATTTTTCAGAGACTAAGGGAGGCAAACTTTAAAATTCAATTAGATAAATCAGAATTTCTACATAAAGAAGTAGCGTATTTAGGTCATAAAATCACTAAAGAAGGCGTTAGTCCAAATCCTGATAAGATAAAAGTAGTAAAAAATTTTCCTCTCCCCCAAACACAAAAAGAAATTAAGTCATTTCTAGGATTGGCAGGATACTACAGAAGATTCATTAAAAATTTTGCTAAAATCACAAAACCAATGACCTTATGTCTAAAGAAAAAATCTAAAGTAGAACACAGCCCCGAATTTATTACAGCTTTCAACCATTTAAAACAATTACTAATAAATGCCCCAATATTAAAATATCCAGATTTTTCAAAACAATTCGTGTTAACTACAGACGCATCAAATTACGCGTTAGGTGCCGTATTATCACAAGGCACACCACCAAACGATAACCCAGTCGCATACGCGTCTCGCACACTTAATGACACCGAGCAAAAATACTCTACAACGGAAAAAGAATTACTTGCCATAGTATGGGCCTGTAAATATTTTAGACCGTATCTTTTCGGTAGAAAATTCCAAATTTTTACGGACCACAGACCATTAGTCTGGTTATTTAACCTAAAAGAACCAAATTCAAAACTTATGAGATGGAGACTTAAACTAGAAGAATTTGATTACGAAATTCTTTATAAAAATGGTAAACAAAATACAAATGCGGACGCCTTGTCACGAATAAAATTAAATGCTTTAGAAACCGACTCTATTTTTAATAATCCTGGAGATATTGATCTTGATATTAACAAATTTCTAGACAACGATTTCGATCCGAATAAATTAGACTCAAATGAAATTTCGAAAACACTCGAAGAAATAGAAAACGAACGTCCTAGGAGCCCAAAAATAATCATTCTCGAAAACAAACT